TCCAATTTCATCAAGTTTGCCGAGATTTGCTTTTTATTAAAAAGTATTTGAATATTTTGAAATTTAAATTCAAAGGTGAAAATAATTTGCAAGAAAAATTTGTTAAAAAAACCGTCTCCCTCCTACACTAGCTAAGATTGAGGATGCCTCCTTAAAAAGTCGCTGGCAAGATGCTGTGAGGTGTAATTAATTTGAGGGCAAATCCGTGCTGCTGCATTTCGAGCCGGAAAGGAGCGGCGCGAGAATTATTCAGCACCACGCCTGACTCATTAATCACGTCGAGCTAGCCGAGTTATATGCATAGTATGAGAATCGAGTCCTCGGCGGCCCAGATGGCGGGCCGAATCAAAATCACACTTGCCACTCAGGACAATCCGATTTGCCCTCTTGATGCCTCTCAATTCCACACGACGGGACACGCGAGAGCGCGCCGCTTTTCAACAGAGGCTAACTGAGTGCCTTTGAAATCGAATTTTCTTGTAATGCGACATGATTGGTTTTGTTTGTCCTCTGCAGTTTCAACTTTTAATTCATTTTGTATTTTACAAAAGGGCCAGAGAAAATCACGTAGAAAGCTTAATTCATTATCAGTAAATTTTAGTTGGAAAAAGTTTTTTCAACATCTACATACGCATTAAATACAATAAAAGTCAATAAATATCATTTACAAGGACTTCAAAACTGTATATAAAATTTTACAATTCACTGCTCAATTTTAAGATGAATATATCATATATTCACAACTTTGTAATTAGATAGCTTTTTCGTAATCAAATTTTTCATTACTGTATTCTAATTCACAAACTTTTCGGCACGACAAAAGGCGCGAATCGCATGCAACTGCTGAACGTTTAATTTACTCTACCGGCGCGTTTTAACTGCAGAGAGAGCATAATAAAATGGGGTTGCATGCGGACTTTTTGAGCAGCAGGAGAGAGAGAGAGGAAGGCATTTGAGTGATGTGTTTTGGCTGCATTGCCACGTATGCTGGCCGGGGCGTTAGTAGTTGTAATGAAACGAACGTGCAGAGTGTATTTTAGCGGAGCGAGAGAGAAGACATGGCATTATATTGTGTTTGGTATAGTGTTGCGACTTCCTGCTGCAGGCCCTAATAATATGTATGTGCAATAAGTCTGGTGCGTGACACCTCGCGTGACCTCACGCCACCGTTCCGTCCGGGCATTCACAGACAACCCTTTGGCATCACGAACACAATTATCGGCCAATCTGCGCCAAAAGACGCCCTCCTCGACATCTGAGGACACCGCTAAAGCACTTCCGGCCCCCTTTGTTAGGGGTGCAAAACACGCCCCCTTATCGCCGGCCACATCTACGCCAAACAAAATTAGCATTTTCTTTTCACGCTCTCGCCGCACATGCAGAGGTGTATCGGAGTTTTCATGTTAAGCATATACACACAATACGCGGAGCGGCTCAGCGGGAGATGCGGAGAAAAAGCAAAGAAACCCTCTATATCACGTCACTTCTTTAAAAATGATAATTAGGCCGCACTGACAGAGACAATCAATATTTTAACTATAGCTGAATATTATTTTTGTGTGTACTTAAATAAAAGGAAATAATAATTAAAGGATTGGACAAACTCTATGCTATTAACAATAAGAAGAGCAAAATTCAACAAGTAAAGGGAGCATAATTTTTATAGTTAAATTCTTCAAACAATTTTTCCAAACCAGGATCAACACTAAAACGCTTTTATATTTTTTCTTTCAAGATTTATTTAAAATATGCAACCTACACACCGTGTGTGTTAAGTGAAGATTGCCTAAATTACGATTTTTTATTAATTATATCTGATGTGAATCTCACTTGATTAGCGTGTTTCTAGCAGGCCATATCTTTCCCCAAAAGATTATCACCACCTTCAGCCATTCTCTCTGTTGGCTTGAGGCATAATTTTAATTTTTCTGAACTTCATTTTACATTCACATTTATTTGAATTTCGAAGCTTCTTCCAACTTGACAGCTTTCCAGTGAGCAATCTCTCTGTATTCTCCACACAAAGCGCCAGGCCAAGTCCTCTATACCTTCACATTATATTAAATTTAGCTCAACTTTGCTAAACAATAAGGCAAGCACCCCTAGCTTGAACCGGAAGACAACGATTCCTTGAGACGCAGATCGGCTTTGCGAGAGAGAAGTGAAGCACAATCACACTTGGTTCTCTTCTCTCCACAGGTGCCTTTTCTGGATTTCAGTCTAAAAGCATTTCCTGGTAATCCAGAGGCACACGCTTGACTTTTTCTCCCTCGTTTTTTTTTTTTTTTTGCTGCGGTTAGTTTTCGTCTTTTTCACTCCTTTCAGCAGTCAGACAGCGAATCGATCAGGCTAATTAGCGACGGACCTCCTTGAGGGTTCGGCAGCCTGCAGGTGCAAATCCTTTGTTTCCGCTCTCGTTCGCATTTAATTAGTGGTGCTTCGGCCACAGATTAAAAATGAAAAAGCAGCAGCAGAGATGAGAGGGAAAACGCGCGCGCGAGCCTGCCGGCGCAGAGATGACGTAAAAACCCGAAACAAAAGAATATTATTCATCAACCATCAACTCTCGTGCGGCGCTCTGCCGGATCAAAAATTACATTTCAAGAAATACAAAGGAGGGAAAGGGCTCGCACTTTGCCATCTCTCTTTCTCATCCCTCTCTCTTCCGCCGTTTATTTTGCTTTTCGCCGTCACGCTCGGATGAAAATTTACTCACCCGCCGGCGGCGCCGCGTTTGCACGCAGCCAAAACAAAATTATATATTCCTAAAGCATTCGGCATTCGCAAGTCTCTGGCAAAGTTTACCTGCCACAAAACTTCTGACCTGCCTATAGCATATTCTCTTTCAGGCTTAGTGATATTTAGTCTGAATTGGATTATTAACTGAGAATATTTTACCACTCACGAATGAAATAAAATACTCTAGCAATTTCCTCTGAGGTAAATCAATTAGGAAACATAATTTGAAAGGAAAGTGGTAAATTTTTTTTTTTTATAACAAAAAATACAATAAATTTTTGTTTTTAAAGTGTGGCTAGAATAATATATCTGTATTCATCTAATCTTGATTATTCTTACCTGGAATCATGAGTTTTATAAATGATTGCCACAATGTATCACGAAGGACTTAAAATAACTGAAAAAATCATATTTTCTTTCGTTTTTATTTGTTGTTGTTTGTCTTTTCTGACTTTATACCGTATTTATGCACTTAGTTTTGTGATTTACTTTAAGCAATGTGTAAAATAGAAAAATGTGGAACGAAGTCCGCAAAATATATATATTCATACCATGAGTGTCTTCGGCAAAAAATTTCAGCAGTCTTCAATTCCTCTCTGACTCTTGACCTTCTGACTAATGTAAGAAGCACACAGGGTAATGAAATTCCTCAGCAATAACAATTTATTGCCTTGGCCTTCCTACAGAGCGCTTAAGAGAGAGACAGATGGACGTATAGAAATATTTTCCAAAGCTGAATTTCGAGAGGAGCAGAACAAAGGCGGTCGGCAAATGCAATTTGGCCGTTGGCTGCGAAATAAATAAAGAGAGCCAGGGCCAAATCAGGTTAGGCGAATGCAATTTTCCATTTCATATCTTGGGCAGCCGGGCGTGATTAGATTAGATGCGGCGCGTGTGTGTGTGTGTATATGTGCCGCGGCGGGCCAAGCATACTATATAGGCGAATCCCCGCCCGCCTCTTTGTTTAATGGAATTTTTAACCTGCGTGCAGCCTCACCTGAGGGCCCACGCGCTGCCATATTTAATTCACCGACCCTCTAATTTATTGCCTCAACCGGCCTGACCTGATGCGACCCAAGATCGACTTCGGCGCAGAGATTTGGTTGTTACGCTCGGGAAAATTGCCGGCAAATCGAATCGAATTGCTGACGAGGAAAAGGTAAACCTTAGAATGAGTTTTCAAGATTTGATTTGGCACCCCATCGACAAAATTGCTTTTTCTTCCAAGGGTCAAAATGGTCAAAGTTGTAAATATTTAGAGGATGCTTAATTATTGTTTCAAAATCTGTATTTATAAATAAGAAATATATTATGAAATCAATTTCCAAGAAGCAAAAGAAAAATATAATAAAAAAAATACTATAAAAAGACGTAATTTCCTTATGCTTTAAAAATCGAGTAGACTAGGTATAGTTTTTGAGTTTATGACGGGCTCTAGTCAGTATTTACTCTGATTTCTCTCTTACTTTAATGAGTAAACAAAATCAATTAAAAAAAAATTCTTTTTACTATAGTAATTAATTAATTATAATTTTTGTCTCATGTAAGTAGCACTTTTTTTAATAAAAATTCTCATGTTATGAAAAAAAAACACAACTTTCACTCTCTTAACCCCCCTTTCCCCTCCATGACCTTTTTTGCTCATTTAGCTAAATTGAGTATGATTGCAGCGTCCTCAGTCTTTTAAAATGTTAGTTCATAGGTTGGCTTTTAAGAGAGCCGCCGCCTCTGATGTGGCTCTGAATAATTGATTGCGCTACAATATTCGCGGAATTAAAAACAAGCCTCTTCTTTTAACCTTTTATTGCGTTTTTTTTTCAATTTGCGTTCCCGGCGCTCTTTGTGTGCCGTTTGTTCTCTCAGCTTGCTGGTTGCTGCGAGGGAGAGCTAAAGTTGCTGTAAACAATTTGCATGTAATGCAAGCTGAATAAAACATAAGTCGGCTCTCCCGAGGACCATACAAAGAAATGTCCCCGGCATGCATTTCGCTGCTCATATTGTTTGTGTTCTTTTACACACCTCATGCTCTCGCGCTCGGCTAAAACGCCTCTCTAAATTTGTAATGCATCGTGTGCTCTTGCAACTGCCTGTGTGAGCAAAGGGAGAACACAATAAAAAGGAAAAACGCCGTCTCCAAATGCTTTACACTTCAATTGAGAGAAAAACAGATGCTGTTGATTCTCGATTAAAAGCGTTAAACTCTACTTTACTCGCTTGAATTCACCGCAACAGGTTCGATGACAAATAAATAAGTTCGATAATTGCACATGAAAAGGAGCAAATATTGCAATTTAATCAATACACTTCATTTTTCTTTCTTTATGCTAACGGTTATTACAAAATTGATGAAATGCAAACTGATGGATCCATAAAATTAGGTGGGAGCTTCTTGTCTGTCAACCTTCAGTCCGCGCCTACCTTCTGCTGTAGTATCTTTCGCGCTCATCGCGGCTGGCCCTCTCCCTCCTGTCCCTGTCACGCTCCCTTCTGTCCTCCCGGCGGTCAGAGGTTCTTCGAAGGAACTCGTCCACGCTTCGATCATACTAAAACAATGAGAAATTTCATTAAATACATTTCAAATTTAGTTAGACTGTCTTACAACATGTGAATCATAGTCAAGCCTTGAAGATCTTGAATAGTCTGGAGGGCTGTCGTAGTACCTCGGTGGAGGTTTGGGTGCAGATTCAAATGGCGGCTGAAAGAACAGTGAAATTCAATACCTGCTGAGATTTTCATTTCTAGCAAACTTACAGGAGCAGGATAGGGCAAAGGTGCAACTGGAGCTGATCTGTGAAGTTCTTGCATATAGTAAGAGTAAGGAGAAGGCTGGAAAAATAAAAGAAAATTATGTGAATTTATTGAAAGGTCAGGAAAATTCAAATTTTAATGGTAAATGTAGGAAATAAATTTTTCTAACAATTTTAATGTATTTGCAATACGAAAACTCACAGCTGTGTAAGATCTGTCTGAGAATCTAATTGGAGATCTGTCACGCATTTCTGCTAAGTCCACCACTGCCAAGTCTGGAAAACAAACAAGAGCTACAAAGTGTATCACTGCACAAACTAATCCCATCTCTCTTATAGTCTTGACTAATTCTTATGAAAATCAAATTAATACTTGCGACTTTTTTTAATATCATAAAGGCTTTATATAATATTTATATCACTAAACAAAATTTCTAAATATTTAACTTGCCAAAAAAACTTTCACTCTTTTTTCATGACTCATTTAGATCCGTAAATTACCTCGAGCACCTCTACGAGGTCTGTAATCATCATCGTCATACCTGCTGCCTCTGCGCGGCATCCTAAACACACAATAGAATGAAAATTGGGTCAAAGGGCACCAGGTGTGACAGAGAGAGATGGACAGAAGACTGCGGGAGGGCCAACCGGAGGCTTACCCTGCTTTCTGCGGGGTGCACCACACAACTCAAAATCCATATTTTCTTTCTCATATTTGAACAACTCAATAACATTCTAAGCACCACCAAGTCTTTTTCTTTTTGCCATAAAAGTCAATTTTTTCAAACCAGTTCTTAATTTGTTTGCACTGAGTCCGCACCTCCCAAACTCCGCAGGTCGGCCGCCGCCGCCGCGGCGCCGACCGAGACGGCTGCGCGGCGGTGCACGCCTCATCCGAGTTTCCAGCCGCCGAGTCTGCACTTCTACGCTGCCGCCAACACGTTTTGAAGCTGCTTTTGACTTGCGCAGGATCGGAGTCATGTCGATGTTGGGATCCTCTGGAAACAGCCGACAAAGCTCCTCAGCCACCCTTGGCTCAATTTCCTAGAGAGAAATGTCATATTTATTGCTTTATTCTTTAATAACATTTAAAAAAAAAATGGCATGGTAAAAAAATCTTGATTTAATAAATCAATAGCTACAAGACTAACAAAATAATCATGTGAACTATTGTCTTCCACCTACAAGTATATACTTAATAAATCAGAATTTTCCAAGGAAAATCTGGGAATTTAAATTGCAGTAAATTATTACCTGTCCATCTCTGCCAATTTTGACAGCCTTGCTATCATTCCAAGGGTTGTAAAGATGCAATGTTTTACTAAAAGGAAGCTCCTTCCTAAAATTTTAATTTTTAGGACCTTAAGCACCCTCCTGCACCGCTCTGAACAAGCAAAATACTTTACCTGCAAATCCAGTCCACATCAAAAACCCCTCCCAATGCCTTTGCTGAGAGCCCACTAGGTAGCACCCAAGAGACCGGAGCAACGTCTCTCTGTGATTCAGTGGCCAGTCGGGCAAAACCTTCAATGAAAAAGATGTAATATAATAATAAATAAAATTTAACTAAAAAAATCTCACCTGCAAATTTCCCCGATTCTTTGACGGAGTAAACAAGCAAGACATTCCTTGATTCTCGAAAAGCTTGATTAAGTTTAGTCTCGTTAATAGGTAGGGTGGACCAAACACCCTTGGCTTTGGACAGAGCAATGTTCTCTGCATTGTTGCTCTTCATCAAGAAAAATCTAGCACCTCTGAACAAGTAATTCAGCTTTGTGGCATAATCTAAAAATGAATTTAAAAAAAGAAAATTTAATATGACTGCAAACAAAATCTGATTAGCTACCATAGGATTTTGAAGAGACTGCTGTCCTTTTGGGCGAGGGGGTGCGCCTTGAATCAACCACTGTAAGTGATTTAAAATTGCTAAATTAAGTAAAAATGTTTGTCTTTACAATTTTTTTTACCTATGGGACTTCTTTTCTTTGATGGTGGAGGGCTGCCTTCCTTCTCGGAGAGGCCATTGTTTTTCCCAGACCGGAATGAACCTGCTTAGGGGTAAAATAAAATTATTGTTCAGCTAAAAATGTAACATATATTGTTTAGTTTAAAATATCATATATATTTAAAAAAGCAAATTATGTGTACCAGAAGAGAGTGAATGCTGAGATGCATTAGAAATTTCACTCCTCGTATCATAGTCTTTAAGAGTGTCCTCGTCCTTCAGGTCAAGGTGGTCGTTCGGAGACAGTTCTGCCTCCAAAGCAGCGTCAGCCGCCTCCTCATCCCCAAAAGAAGTAGCTTCTGCTAGGGAAAACTATGTCAATTTGTGAAAACCAATAATGAATTGGTGCGCACCATCGGCCTTATCGTTTTTCAACAACAGGTCCTCCTCCGAAGTATCCAGGTTCTCGGACACCGCCTCTAAGGCGACGTCCATGTCTGCTGATACTTCCTCTCCCTCCAGGTTGACAAAGTTTCGCAAATATTGTAGCAAAAATAGCCGAAAATCAGCTTTCGGTGTCACACAGTAAAATGTACGAAAAGTGCTTATAAACAAGACAAAGACAAACAACGCACGTAAATCGAAATGCAGACCAAATAACCGGTTGTACAATTGAAATCGGTTATGAACATTACAATTATTTATATATTTTTTCAAAATTTCCCCAATAATTTTAATTAATTTCAGTTAAATCGAAGCTATTTTGCCAATTTAATGATTTAAAAAAATCTTAGCTTCAAATAATCAGAAGGGAACAAAACGTGAGAACGCGTGAGAATAGTGAATTTGTAGAAACCGGTTTAAAAGTGCCACACCTCTACTTCATTTGTTCTCATATTTGAACAAAAAAGTGAAATTTGCGCGAAAATATCTGAACATTAAATATTTAAAATTTGACTTAAATCAAATAAATTTTTTTCAACTAAATACCATTAAAAACTAGATTTTCATTCTGCTTTTAGGATTATTGAAAAATGAAACTATAGAAGTCTGATTCTTTCTGTTTTCACATACCCCGCCCAAAGTTGAAGATATCATTATGAGATTTTCACCACTTCACCATCTTAGTTTGGAAGCGACTTTCCTAAATTTTTGACTGAAAATTTTCAAAATTGCGGGTTTTGCGGGACATTTTGGAAAAACAAAAAAACGTGATTATCTCAGCTTCTAGTGGTCGTAGAACAATTTTCCGGGTACGGCTGAACTCGTCTCAGCAAGATTTACAACTTTGATGTTGAGCGTAAATTTTTAGGTCAAAGGTCAAGGTCATTTTTGGTGACCCGAAATTTTCAAACTCAAATTTGGAAATGTGCTGCATGATGAAAATCATTTTTGAGATTGCCATTCGATTCATCATGAAATTTTACATAATATATGTCAAAATTGCGATGTTGATATTTTTAGTTTAATTTAAATAAAAATAAGAATATTAAAAAATGTGGTTTTTCGCACCTCGGCAGGCAGTGTCAACAATATAATCGTCTGTAACTTTTGTTCTGATGATTTTAGGTACAAAAGAGTAATGACCAATGTTAATCTCCACTTCAAGACCAATCGATTGGTGTGTATGTCAATGACCTTTGGTGACCTTGAGGTCAAAGGTCACTCAGGTCGGTGACCTGGGGTCACGCGACTTAAATGTGTGATACGTACTTAGAAAGGTCTTGTCAAGAGGATAATTTTAGTCACCAAATTTTTTACTTTACGTCTACTACAAATCGAATAATTATAATTTTTCCTAATTAAATGCAGTATTTTGCGTGAAATGTTTTGGAAATTAGAGATTACTTGCTTTATAGTAGACGTAAAGTAAAAAATTTGGTGACTAAAATTATCCTCTTGACAAGACCTTTCTAAGTACGTATCACACATTTAAGTCGCGTGACCCCAGGTCACCGACCTGAGTGACCTTTGACCTCAAGGTCACCAAAGGTCATTGACATACACACCAATCGATTGGTCTTGAAGTGGAGATTAACATTGGTCATTACTCTTTTGTACCTAAAATCATCAGAACAAAAGTTACAGACGATTATATTGTTGACACTGCCTGCCGAGGTGCGAAAAACCACATTTTTTAATATTCTTATTTTTATTTAAATTAAACTAAAAATATCAACATCGCAATTTTGACATATATTATGTAAAATTTCATGATGAATCGAATGGCAATCTCAAAAATGATTTTCATCATGCAGCACATTTCCAAATTTGAGTTTGAAAATTTCGGGTCACCAAAAATGACCTTGACCTTTGACCTAAAAATTTACGCTCAACATCAAAGTTGTAAATCTTGCTGAGACGAGTTCAGCCGTACCCGGAAAATTGTTCTACGACCACTAGAAGCTGAGATAATCACGTTTTTTTGTTTTTCCAAAATGTCCCGCAAAACCCGCAATTTTGAAAATTTTCAGTCAAAAATTTAGGAAAGTCGCTTCCAAACTAAGATGGTGAAGTGGTGAAAATCTCATAATGATATCTTCAACTTTGGGCGGGGTATGTGAAAACAGAAAGAATCAGACAGAATGCATTTTTGAATTTTAAGAAAACAATCATTTGCATTTTTTTTCCCATCCAACTCACTAAATTTAATATGGGCTTTCTCTGGAGTATTCCCACTTATGCTGCTTAAATTTTGCATGATTCATCACTCTCACTTAGTCAGAATCAGAAAAATTACTAGGATATCCAAGACAAAATAACACACAAAGTTTCATAATAATTTAGTTAATAATTCATTTTTAATCAGCTTTTAATTTAAGAATAAATAATTTAATCATTATTAGATCATTTAAGGCATATCCTGCAAAGTACAAAATTGACATAGCTCAAAAATTTAATGCATTTACAGATATTAAAGGTTCTAGATTAAATTTGGTCTGCAACTTTCAAAGCAAAGTGCAAGTCATCAGGGTTGACATTGAGAGATATCCTTTGCTTGAGTCCAGCTCTGTCTTGTGCAGCCAGGATTAAGCGGAATGATGCTAGACGTGCACAAATTTCCATTACTTTGCTGCTCGTAAAGTCAGTCACTCCTATCGGTGAAGCATTTTTAAAAATCTCAATCAACATCACTGAAGCGAATTACCATGAAATAGTCCTTGAGCTTTCATAGAGTTTTGTACCTCGGACAAGGTTGTTTCCTCCACTCCAGTTCTTTGAATTTCACTGGCTATACAGTTCAGGAACAATTTTTCCAAGGGGCCAAGAATCCTTTTAATAGTGAAAGTTTAAAACACAATATTTTAAACAGTGATGTTATTACTTTATAGCAAGAACAGTTGGTGTTTCCAGCATCTCTTTTAAAGCCTCCAAAACATGTGTCATTTTGACAGCGGAATTGTTGGCCAACTCAAGGGACCGGCGGCAAATTTCCAGAGCCCTTCTTGCATCACCGCTGAGTGAAGCCACTTTCCTAGTTTTAAAAAGATATTAACTCATATAAATAATACTCATTTTTGTTATGTAGGTACCTTGCTACTAGCTGCCTGGCATCACTTCCAAAGTCACCTGATTCTCCAAGTTTGACTTGAACTATTTTTTCCAATTGATCATAGGTGTAAGGGCGGAAGGTCAGGCGAGTCAACCCCTGATAGAAAAAATACACCATGATTTAAAGAAGAATAAACATTTTAATCAATTTACCATTCTGCTGGTGACTTTTCCCTGCAGAAGTCTTTCTGGAAGATCCATTGTGTTGGCAATCGTCAAAACTATAAGCCTGGACGTTGCTTTAGTTGGCCAGTCAAAGAGATGGTAGACAACATCTTGCTTTCGGGTGCACAGCATGTCCAACTGATAAGTTTTTGGTAAATAAGATCTATACTTGTAAAATAAGCCTTATTACCTCGTCAATTATTAAAATAGTAGGCGGCCGCTTCTTGTCTTTGTTGTTGAAATATTTGGTCAGACTGTCCAGGGCGATTGACGCAGTCATATTGCTCCGTTCAAGAAGAACTTCTGCCATGCGGCAAAACACCTGTTGTGGCTGAGTCAACTCCATGCCACTCACTTTGATCAGCTGGAATGGCATTTTATGATGAACAAAAACTAGAATTGCTTTATCAAAAATTACCTTGTAATCAAGTTCGCCGCTTTCCCTCCTTTTGGACAGATTTAGTAAAACTTGATTGACTGACGCTGTTTTTCCAGTGCCTGGAAGGCCACTAATGTACATGCACCTAAATGTAAAAGAAATACATGTTATTTGCAAGCAAGTTTTTGTTCATTACTACCCTCCGGTCAGATCTTCTATCCTGGACTCAATAAAGTCTTGTATATTAGCCATTTGTTCTTCCCTGCCAGGCATTTCTTGTTCTTCAATGGCAGTGCTTTCCTCTCCAACTTTCACATACTTAAAAATTTTCATTAAGCTTGCATTTGGTTTAAATTTTTTTTTTTTTTTTTATTAATTACCTTTCCTCTAGTTCTTTTAGGAGTTGCTGGAGCTTTGCTGGGAGTAGATCCAGACTTGCGGGTCCTTCCTCGGCTCACTTTGGGGGTCTGAATTGACGTCTTGAGAGCAGGTCTGAGCTGCTTCTTAGGGGTCTTCTTGGTTGTCTTCTTAGGTGTCTGGTCACTGCTGCTTGAATCGTCATAACAGACTGGTATTTTTGCTGAGCGACCTCGTCTTCCTGGAGTATCTGAAACAAATTTGCACAAAAAAAATCAATATTTTCTCAAAAGATTTTTTTATTTCCGGCTAGTGCTTCGTTTTTAAAAATAGTATAATATAATTTTTCCAGGAAGGAATTTCTCAAAGCCAAGGAAACAAACAGGTTATGAAAGTGAATAACAAGTATAACTTCTGAACAGAGGCAATTTTATTACCTGTTGTAGTTTTCTTTGTACTGCGCTTCACTTCTTCTTCACTGACCGCTTCAATCCGTGGTGCCATGGACACCCTCCTTTTACTTGGAGTCCTTTCCGGTCTAGCAATTTGCAGACTTTTTCTCCTGAGACTTTTGGATGGAGATCCTTCTGGTGATTCTGTTTTCTTGTTGGGAGTTGACTTTTTCTTCTGCGAACTTCCACGTTGTCTTGGTGTTGAAAATCCAGCTGTGGTTTTGGGACGACCTCTTTTGCCTGACAAAGGGGTTTTTGGTTCATTTTTCCTCGGAGATTTTGAATCAGCGGTTCTTGTTGATGTTGCAGCCACATTCTTCGGAGGCCTTCCTCTTCTGATTTTACTTGGCGTGTCTTCAACAGGAGTGTCTTTAGGTTTTTTGTTAGCAGTTGGAGTTTTAGGTTCCTCCTTTTCATCAGCTGATTTACTTGTTGTTGCCACTGCACTATTTCGGGGCCTTCCTCTTCCTCTTTTGCCCGGAGTGTCTTCAGATTGAATGTCTTTTCCAACTTTTTTTGGAGATGCTGTTGAGGCCATTCTTGAGCTTTTCTCTGGGGAGGAGAAAACTTTAACCCCTTTGTCTGGAGAACGAATTTTCATCCTCAGGCTGCCGTCCTTGGCGGGGCTTGCAACCAAAGGCCTTGTAAGTTTCCGACCATTTATTCGTATCTCGTCTATCACCTTTGGAACATGTTTCTCCTTTCTGCTCTTTTTCCCTGAGACTATTGGTGAGCTTGGCACAACTGGGGCATTCTCTGACATTTCTTTGCTCTTGGTACAAAGTATAGCAGGCACCACTTTTGTCTCTCCAGTTTCCTCGTCAGAATCTTCCACCTCACTGGCAGTCTGGTCGCTGTCATCGATTGCATCAAACAGGACACTAAGCTTTCTAGAAACTCTATCTTGAGCTGGTGTGAATTCTGAGGGCTGATCACAAAAGTCCATGGGAATTTCTTTGGCAGAAATTGATACATCAGGTGATTCATCGTCACTGCCATCTCTTGCGACTTCATTGAAAAGAGAGTCCATGCATTGGCAATCAATTCTTTCAAATTCAGCATCAACTTTCTTCATATAATAATCAATATGGAATTCATTGTCAGTAGCTGATGCCTGAGAAGCACTACGAGTTGTTACCTTTGAGCTACAATCTGCTGGCCAACTGTTCTTCCGTGGACTGGAAATAGAGTTTGAATGTTTTTCACTCTCTTTGGAATGTTCATTTTCAGCTTCCGCTTCCTCCTCTTCTGAAAATTCCATCTCCTCAGCCTGGTCTAATTTTTTGTCACGAACAGTTTTTCTCTCTTGAAATTTGTAGTGCTGCTCTTTGTAGTCAAACAGAGCTTCGGCCAACTGTGTGCTGAGGTCCAGTGAATTGTTTGAACTCTTTTCAGAAGGTTTAGATTTTACAGGTGACTCACACCCATGGAGTTCACGCATTTTTCTGAAGAGCGTCTGGTTCATTGACTGGAATGTTGTTTGTAGTAGACTCGGGCCTTGGCTTTCCTCCTGCTGAGATTCCACTTCTTGTGGACTGCCAAAGGGAGTTGCGTACTCTTCTGACGTAGCAGGTGACGGAACACTGTTTCCAGGTTTAATCACACGACATTTGGACCCAATAGGAGCTCCTGGAGGTCGAATTGTTGGTACAACAACCTTATCTGATGATGTTGATGATGCAGATTCTTTCTTGACTCTTTTTGGTGGCAGAGTCTGACTTACATCAGAAAAGACTTCTTCAATTGCAATGTCTTCCTCTGGAAGATAACAAGCAGACTTTGTATGGCTCTGAGAACCTGCTAACTTTATAGTTAGAAAATGCTAATTGCTAAGCCAAAAATAAACACACATAACTTATACTTTAATTTGTTATTAGTGTTTCTACAGTGTATATTAAAGAAGAGCTAGATTTAAAATTAACTCTTATATGGTTATTAAGTAAAAAAAACTTTGGTTACCTTCAGTGGTTCCATGGTTTGATTCAACTTCAGAGATGCGATTTTCTGCCTCTTTGTCATCCGTTGGTTGTCGGTGAACCATTAAGTTATCTTCCATTTGTAACAATGATTTAACTACTCCTTCCAACATAACCTTACGTCGATTGGTGCTAGAAGCGTCCTCATTCACTAGAAAATAGGTAATTAGAATTTTAATTGATGGTATATTGATTAAAAAATACCATGGACTTTTTTAGCATTATTGACAAGCAGGGTAGACTGTTTGCGCTGGTTAAGCTTCGAAGGAGTCTCTTTTTTATCTAATCTGAGACTTATCTTTCTAGCAGATCTTGAAGGGCTTTGAGCCTCCAGCCTGTTGCTAGGGCCATCTGAATCCGAATCAGACATAGTGAAGACATTCCTTCTGATTTCCAATTTTGGCCGCTTCACTTTCTTGCTAGCAAACTTTTGAATGTTCGATTCTTTCACAAATCCTTCAGAATCACTGCTTGAGAATGGGTTTGATGATCTCCTTTTAGTTGCTTTTGCCACTGGATTCAGAATTTTGGTTCCTTCTTCTTGGTCAAGGCTTGGCTTGGGTTTCTTTGCATTGGGCGAATTTTTGTTTGCCCTCGGTGACTGCGTTGAACTTCTAGAACTGAGGTGCTTACTTTGCTCCCTTACAGGTGTTGCAACTTTCATTGGAACTCTGTTCTCGGGTAAATTGCTGTCAGATTCATCATCAGATTCTGATCCGCTAGTCAGAATCTTAGTTGATATATTGATTAGCGATTTGTTCTCCTTTTTCTCTGCAATTTGGGCATCTTGACTGAATTCGAACAGCCCATCATCTTGAGATTTTGTTTGCATATACAGAATAGCAGCCTCTTTCACTTTCAACAACTTTGAGCGTGATTGAGCAAAAGGTTGTGTATCCTCATCCTCTTCAGACTCGGCAGGCACATTGGACAAAAGCACCGAGGTGGCTCTGGTTTTATCCTTTGTAGTAATGCCTCTGCTCATAGGCTCATGCAAATTTTCAGTATTATTTTTTTGGCTCCGGATACTGATGAAAGTGGAATTTTCAACGACCATATCTTTTCTAGTCTCTCCTTCGTCTTTACAAATGGAATCTAAAAAAGATACACGCAAATTAATAGAAAATAAAAAATGTTTGAATCGATACATGATTGGCCTTTGAACTCAGTTCTATTCATTGTTAAAAGTCAATAATTAAAATAATTAAGTGGGAGAAAAATTGAAATGTTGGTTCGATAAATTACCATTGACAAAACTAAAATAATCTAAATGATCCTTAAAAACTTTTCTTAACTTGAAACAAATTATTAATTCTTAAGACTATTACAAAATGATATCTTTAACATAAAACTAACCTGAGTGTGACGTAAGTTTCCTAGGATCATAGAGCTTCTTTTTCTTGGACTTTTTAGGCCAGAAGGCAGGATGATCAAAAGCGGTATTGCCCTCATGTTCAGACTCAGAGTTTCCTTTTTGGGTGGCTGGTTTCTTTTTGGGGTTTCTTTCAAGGGTGGATTTCTTCTGAACAGATGAGACATTCTTAGGATTTTCCTCCTCATCATCTTTTTCCGAAGACAAATCAAAATCTTTAGACGCTTTTTTTGGAAAAAATTGTGTCTTCTCAGACTTGTCCTTGTGATCAATTGTCTCACTAGTTGCCGCAGAAGCATTTTTGTTCACTTTAAATTCCTTCACAAATATCTCATCATCTTCACTGGATTCATCGGAATCAGGAGCTCTTGACGGTTTATTATTCACAGCAGGTTGATTCATCTTCGACTTACTAACACTTGACTTCTGACTCTGAGCCACACTTTTAGTTTGGGCTCTACTTTTTGAAAGCAACTTCAAAGACTTTGCGTCATCCTCCTTGGAATCATTTGAAATGGAAGGCTTTTCAGCATGTTTCTTCATTTCACGTTGATGTTTGTGATAGCTTCTTGTCTGGATAACGTTCTTTTGAAGTCTTGTCTCAAGGTTGTCCTCGTCTTCAATTAAGACAGGTGTTCTTGTATTGTTTGAAGTAGATGGTGCCAAGTTGTCCTTGTTTGTTAGTCTGTCACTGCTTTTCTGTCCAGTCACACTTGCTGATTTAGAGTCTATTGTTGAAGGTGGAACCGAGTCAGTTTCACACTTTTCCTGAAATATATTAAAATAGGTGCCTCAATAATAATCAAGAAACAAGCACTGTTTACCTTCAAGGTTTCATTGATTTTTGCTGCATCAACAGGGTAGACATCATTCTTCAGGTCAGTTTGTTTTAAACGAGGAATCAAGATTGTTTTATCATTTTTGTACACAACATCAAAGCGCTGGATGAACTCCATTCCAGACTCTTCCAGTATCTCCATTGGGTCATCACGAAAGTGGACTTTAACAAACTGGTGATAATAAGGAACCATTAAAAATTAAGTTAAACCAATTTAAGATTTTTCCAAACCGATCTGACAGCTGCAATTTGATGATAAGTCACTGCACCATAGATAACTGGAGATCTCCTATCCAAAATTACGTCCTTTGAGGAAAAATCTGGAAATCTGAAGATTCTGTCCTTGGGAGGAGCAATTGGTAATCTTTTGAATTCTTCACACATGGGGTGGAACCAAAATATCAAAAGATATGGTCCTTTTTCTATAAAAAAATAAATGCACGAGCCATTATTAAAGATCAATCTAAATTTCAAAAGGATTTTTACCAGTTTTTAAAATCCTGAAGATTTGGGCAAATTTAGGTGGAGGAAGATTATCCTCCGACCCAGGAACTTGAAGCCTTTCAACGTCTTGCAACTCAACAAATGAACCAATGGTAATCTTCATCTTTTTCAGAGTAAGAAACCTGCAAAAGTTTTGTTATTAAAACAAATGGAATTTAATATTACTTTATTACTTGTACTGCTGGAATTGTGCGAATGCATGATGGTACAACTTATCAGTGACGGGGACCTCTGAATGATAGCGATATGAAGGGCCATGCCAGCTGCTTGTTTTAGGCATTTTTGGGCTGGTTTCTTGTTTTTACTTTATGATCAAAAGCTAAACTAATAATTAATGGACGTTGACGATTTGTATTGAATGTTAAAGTTTGTGTATTTTCAATGGCAAACCTGTGTTGTGCAGTTGCTTTTAAGCAATTCTTTGCGCGCGCAAAGAAGAGAATGCCGAATCGCCAAAGATTTTGTTTGATTGACTTTCCATCGTTTAGCAGATTTGCAGACCAATGCAGTTGAATTGAATGCCTTGCTCGCCCCTTTCGCTACTCAATCTTGAGGTAATTTCCAGCAATTTTAAGTTCTCAAAACTAAAACAGCGACAAAGCGCCCAAAGCGGGACGAGAAAAAATAACGGCGAGTTGAGTTCGTATGTGGTTGTGGTGTGGTGTGGGTTGTGGGAAAAAGTAAATGGGATGGGCCGAGAATCTCGGGAGGAGTGCACTGAGGAGTCACACTGTACTTTATTATGATGTTTATGTTTTGTAAGGAAACGATATTTTTTGTATAGGTTTAGTAAAGTTTTTAAATTTTATCGTTTTTAATTGAAGACTCTTTGGTAATTTTTTATTTAAAAACCGAGGGATTTTCAATTTCAAAACTTTAAATGGAAAAATACTTAACTCTTTTGTCAACACTCCTGTTAGGGCAGGAGAAAAATAATAAGAAAATTGATGATGGCCGCCCTACGAAATACAAGCCTCGTGCCGGTGAGGTTGATAAAACACGGATTATTCAGCCCTGTTGTGAGGAGAGCTCGGGCAAACACTTTCAGCTCGCTTGTCCAACGATGTCAGCCGACGTTCAGCTACCTTTCGTTCACAAATCACATCTCTTCAAAATTCTACAGCACCACCAAAGCCACCACCGATGCCAAAGGCCTTGCCGAAGAAATCCTCAAGTCCCGGCTGCAGGCCGATGGTGGCGGTGGAAAGGAGCAAAAAGACGAGCAGAAACAGGAGACCGAAGAGGAAAAGAAAAAGCGAGAGGCCGCCTGGAGGACTATGAAGTACACTTTTATCGCTTTCGGTGTCACATTCACCAGTCTCGGCATTTGGGTGTTAGTCGAGTGTGGTATGTTTGGAGCCCCAGTAAATTTTCTCTTTTATCTCAATTTTCAAACAAAACGTTTTAGGCGCCCCGTTAAAAGACCCTGATGGCAATGACATAGAAGACGAATACAGTGGCATGCCAGTCGTCCAGCAATATATTGCCCGATCGTGGAGAGAGTTGGTTTCATACAGAAAGGTTTGCATAATTTGTTAAGTTTCCTTAATATATCACTAAATATCTGAATTGCTGCAGATGATTCAAGAACCTTCAAGAGACAAACTGCTCCCCGACCCTTTAACTGAGCCCTATTATCAACCGCCATACACGCTAGTCCTTGAAATGACAGATGTTCTTGTCCATCCAGATTGGACAGTATGCTTGTTTTCTGTAGTAACTTGAATAATTTTAATAATGCCTAAATTTAGTACCAAACTGGCTGGAGGTTCAAGAAGAGGCCCGGCGTCGACTTTTTCCTTACCCAAGTTGCGCCTCCTTTATTTGAAGTTGTTATTTACACTGCTGAGCAGGGCTTTGTAAGTGATTCTGATTGTTATTTTGCAATGTGATACTGAATTTTTGTGTTTTACCCTCAAGACTGCATTTCCCATTCTTGACGCATTAGACCCACACGGTTGCATTTCCTACCGTCTGTTCAGAGATGCCACCAAGTATGTGGATGGACACCACATCAAAGACTTGGAGAGTTTGAACAGAGATCTGAGTAAGGTCATAGTTGTCGACTGGAACGACAAGTCCATCAAAGAAAACTACAGCAACGCCTTGCTGCTTCCTAGGTGGAAGGGAAATGACGATGACCAAACTCTCATTGAGCTTGCGGTCTTTTTGAAAAGTGAGCTGAATGCTTTTTTTCAATTTTGGTTTTGCTTATTAAAATTTAATCTTGCAGCAATTGCTACTTCGGAAGTTCAGGATGTCAGAGAAGTTTTGAATTACTATCACCAGTTTGATGATCCCTTGGAAGCTTTTAAAGAAAACTTGCAAAAACTCCAGGTATTATAAATTTGACGTAGTTATTATGTTCTGATTTTAATAAATACTTGTAGGCACAAGAGGTAGCAAAACAGCAGCAGCTAAGTGAAGAAAAAAAGAAGAGCCCGCTAGCAAATACTTTCCTGAAAAGAAGGTAGCACCAATGAAGTTTCCCGGAAATATAGACAAATGAACATACTGAAGCCTCACTTTTTCCATCTACTTAACTTCTCGACCTTGGCTTTCTCTGCAAATATGGCACCTTGGTCTGCAGCCTGTGATTGTAAGAGAAGGCAGGAATTGCTTTTGCTGCTGTGTGGCTGACTTTAACGTAATGCTTGGCAGCAAATTACAAATTTCAATTCACTGAAATATCCTGGAATTAAAAATAAAAATGCTCATTTCATTGACTCGCAATGAGCTTTAATGTTATTTATTTAAATTTTTTCCAACAGTAGAGGTGACCTTTCTTTACCAACAATGAACAACGTACATCAGTCATTTTTTTTTAAATTTGTACATTTTCTAGAGATTTTAGATACAGGATAATTATAATATATATTCACAGTTGACATGTAATAATGATAGTGAGTCTAACCGTGTACATACTAGTTGGAATGCAAGACATACGTTGAAAGTTTGAACAAACTGTCAAAGTGAATTTCCTTGACAGAGGTTTTATTTTATAAAAATGCTCTTTGCAAAGAGCTTGTGAATGTTTGCTGAACTTGCAACAACACTATAAATTTTTAATATCTCTGTTGTTCCATAAATGTAGAGGAAAATTGATTAACTCGCATATACCAGTGGGGACTTTGGTAGTTGATGTAAATAAGTGCTGATAAGACTTAGAGAGTGGGACATTTTAGAGCAGCCTTAGAGAAAATGTTGTAGAAATCAAAGCTGCCTTTTGCAATTTCAAATTCGCACACACATAAGTATTCTGGCCCTGAATCTAGAACATAGGGGCTGAAAAAAATTGTAATCCAAAAGAATCACTTTTTGGCTTGCGTGGGGTTCCTCAAAACTCCTGCTTGTGTCAGTTCAACTTGAAAGATTTGACAGCCGGTTTCGGATGCCACCTGAGGTGCGATAGTCTTTGAATGACCACTTTTTCCATTAGCAGCGACGCGGCCATCCACAAGGGGCCGTACTCAAGGGTAATGAGACCGTTGATGTTGTAATCGAACGCTGAGTAGTCCCACGGGCAGGCGTTGAGAGAGCGTAGGACAAAGCCGGACGAGTACTCCCAGCAGTAGATCCAAACTAGATAGACGAGGCCGCGCCATGGCCAGACCAGACCTCGGGAGAGCATTTTGTCGGCCAGGACTTCCATGACTAGACCGGAAATTCCGTAGATGGGAAGGGACCAAATGTTTGAACAGCCTGTTGATGAGAAAATTTACATAAGATTTTATTTGCGTGGATGACGAGTGTTGGGTAATATGATATACCTGCTAACGTCCATTTCTGCATCAAGACAAAGTCCCAAGTGGCCGAAAATAACACTTCAATAAGGAAGCCATGCAGAGCATAAACATACAGCCTGTCAGCCACTGTCAAAGGAGACCCCATCGCGACGCTCATCCTGAAATAAAAAGTAGTTCAGCCCTAATTAGATTTTTGTAAGGAAACTAATTGCCTAAAGTAATAAATTCTTGAACATTTTTTAGCAGATCTCTGCTAGTTGTTATACCCTTTTGCTCATTTTTTCCATTTAATTTTTTTTTATTAACTTCATTGATTCAAATAAACAATTATTTAATAAAATAATCTTAATTTTAAACAAATATCAACATAATTATTGAAGATCTGGAGCATCAAAAATGAAAATAGAGCCAATTATTGAGGCTTGCTTATGTTCACTTAAATTTTAGATTGCCATGATTGGATGTATAAGGGACTGTATTGAAACAGACAGTTGAAGAAGATTGGAGATTTAAGATCAATTTAGGCTATAATATGTTTATAATTACATTTATTTTTATTTTGGTAATAAATATTTTTATATCACGCGGCAACTAAAAGCAAAATCAGTGTTAACATTTATTATCAGCACCAGCAGTAGCAAACGATGAAAATGCGTGCATGCAAAAGCACTCTGCTGTTATTGCCTCTTTCATATTATTACATGTGTGCGGTCGTTCGCATTAATATTATCAATCGTCATATCCGTTGCATTAAACAAGCTTCATTTATATGTGCCTTGACATTTTTAACTTTACAATATATTGATCCTTGATCGATTGGAATTTTTTAACGTTAATTCTGCTTTTCAACAGGATCTCGTCTCTATTAGGGTTTTATTAAAATTTAAATTGAATTTTAATTTTCTTTTCTTCTCTTCCGCAGAACAAATTTAACAAATTAATATAATAAACGTGGTTGGGACAATGACTGCGGCTGCTGAATGATTCATTGTGACTTATTATTGCAACTAATGCAATGAAGCCACAATTGAATGCATTATCTTGTTGTCCCAATTATGTTTAGTTGCATGGTAGAGAAGCAGGCAAGTGCAGAGCGCAGTTTCAGAGGCGTATATAGCTGAGCGCAGCAAAAAGTTTAATCTCTCTACTGGAAATTAAAGACTTATCCGTTGGACTTTTGAATAGAAAAAAAATGAAGATGTCAGAAGACCAAGGGAAAATACCGTCTTTTAACGTTGCGCAACTATTGATACAAAAAATGTCGTATATTTTTATACACAGCTTGATTAAAGTCTACATCACTATTTTTTATGCACACTACACTCAGCTATTTATACAAATTTTGACGACTTTTGACGTCATATAACAGGTGCTGCTGAAATAAGTTCCTATAAATGTATTCCTACACTTTTAGCCTATGAATTTCTAGCGTGTCACATCCTTCGAGGGCGAAAATCGTGTAGATCTCTCACGAAGCACCCACCCCCAGACCGATCTATGAATTAGTTATAATAATATCATGGTATGGTGTGCACATAAAAAAACTAATAAAATTTTAACCCATCTTCTATGAATATCAAACCTTGGTACTGCCTTTTCTCTTTTGATGTGAAAAAACACTACTATTTTTAAATCAAATAGGAATAAAGGCTCAAAGATCAAAGACGAAACTTCAATAATTGTACTTTAGTTAATGATCAATTTAGACGCTGCAGTTTTTGCTTCTGTTTTGCGGTGAGCTAACTGATCATCTTCCGTTCGTCAAGTCTGCGTTTCGCAAGATATATATCATACGCACACTTGCTGGTCATTGCTCTGCGGTGTTTGCCCGCAGGTGCTCAAGTGCGTTTTTTTAAAACGGCTGACTACATATTATTATGCAGTACGCAGCACTTTTATAAGGATTGCTGAGATTTAAACAAATATAATACATTAATATGCGCTACGACTTGCGACTATGTTCAATTATAATCTGCGTGGAAATTTGTGATGAAATATTAAAAACAATTTCTTTTAAAAAAAAAATCATTATTATTAGAAATTTAGCATATTTATTTTTTTTAAATGTAGAAATTTTTTGCATTTTCCTCCTTTAATATTCTCAAATTAATTTGAATGTTTAATTGAATGAAAAAAAGCAAACTATATCTTTTGATTTATTTTAAATATAGCACAAAAATATATGGTGATGCAATGACGGAACATTTCATTGTTTGAAATTTCTGAGATATTTGAATGAATAAATGAATTAAATTTTTTCGTTAACTTTACTATCCTTTTTGTATGGTAGTTTATTACTCATTATTAATTATTATTATGGAATAAAATGAAATTTAAATCAAATTCTGATTTATTCGTCTTCTCACGGTTTTTCCAAGTGATGAAAATTTAACTTGCCGTGGCATTTTCTCTGATAAGATGTATGCAACCCGCTACAAATGCGAGATACGCGGGTTGCATCTATCGCTCGCAAGGGGTGCACGCGTCAAAACGACCTCGCAATAGACACACATGTGTGGCTGCAACTGTAAATGTTGCGAAATTGCGAATTGCGCACCCAGCAGGTCACCGCGTGTGACGCTGCAGCTGACTTGGTGCTTTTCTCTCTCAGCACAGCGTTCTAATTCGGTGATCAGCAGCCCTCGTCACATCTCCCTCTCGGCAAATCGATACCGACAGGGCTGCTCTGCTAGTTCCCGCATAAAATCCAAAGCGAAAAAAATTTCTGCACACGTACCTAAGTAATAAATTTGGCGCCGGAGGACACTCGCACGTTGGCTTGTTTTGGTGTCGTCTCGAGTTGGTGTGGTGCCGACCTAGGACAGCAGCTTTTATCGCGCAGTCGTTCGCCGGCCAGTGGCACCGCGAGCCGAGCGACTCCTCCGTCTCTCTCTCGCCCGCCGCTTTTCCGCCGCAAAAATCGTTCCGCCGCCGCTCTCGGCCTCGCGAGCCGCCGCGGCGCGAACGTCGCTGCACTTGCCGTCGCAGAGCCTAGATGGAGGATCGAGTATCTCGCTCGAACCATCTCTCCATCTCAATGTCGCACTTCAAAGCTCTGCTATCTCCATCTACCAGAACTCGCTTTCTTAAAAACCTGCTGCTGAATGAATAGATAATGAAAAGCAGGTTGAAATATTTTCTTAAGCAATCTTGAAAAGTGTAATATTTAAACGAAAAAAAAAATGAATTAATAATGAAAGCAAAGTTAATGTCACAAACAGAATAAAAAAAAAAAAAAAAAAAAAAAAAAAAAAATGAAAATTTCTGAACAACTTTTAAATTAGTAAATTGTGAACACTGCTGAAAGCTGAAAATATGTAGAAATGGTAATAAAATTAATTGGGATTTAGATAGTATAACAGAGCAAAAATTATCAAAAAGCTTATAAAAAAAACAATAATTATTCAAATAAAATACTGACTGCCGTAAATTGCTTATTTTACTTTGAAGTTTATGAAGAAAACAATTTGCAAATGAGTATGGTTTGCACTGGGCGATGCTACTCTTTATAAATAAGTTGTTTTGGAATAAAAAATTTAATTGATTTCAGTTATAAAAAAACGTAATGCATATTTGAATTATTACGAATTTTCTTTTAATCTAAATTTTAATTAAAATAGTTAAATGATAACAAAAATTCATCTACTATGTAGATAATGTACAAATTCTGCCCCATTTGTTCAAAATTACATTTTATTTTTTAATTTTTTCAATTTTATAAGACCAAACCTTGGCCTGAACAAAAATTATGAAAAATATTAAATTGAATGGTTGTTGACAAAATGTTGAAATTTTTTTTTTTTTTTTTTTTTTTAATATTGTAATCATAAATTTTTTATTATCAATGGGAAGAATTAAATTTTTTAAGTCGATCACACTTCAAAGTTGGATAAGCATAATAATGCTACCAGAGGGATTTGTTTTAATTTTTTTTTTAAATTAAATTTTTAATAAAATAATGAAATACCTGAATTTGAAACAAAACTGATGATTCTTTCAGTTTCTTTTATAAAAAGTTAACCAAAGATAAAATAAGTATAATAAGTAATAAGATAATTTAATAATTTTTTTCAGTCATGTGGTAGTTTAAAATTTCTGTGTGTGATTTATTTTTTATTTATCTTTGAAATTTATTCACGAAATTATTATTTTTAAACATCAAACAAAATAAAGCACTTAGAATGCCACTTCACGCATACAAGTTGCGACTTGCGACCGCCCTGGGCACTCAATAATTTGTTAACAATTGGAGCAAGTAGCGTGTTTTGTCACGCTGCAGCCACACTGTGTGCGCCTCTGATTATTGTGGTCTTGACGAGCACCAAAGTTTTGGCTCTCGATGTAAACATTTTTATTAAGCCGAGTTGACACTTGGCTCTTCTCACAATTCAACTCGCTGACACTTTGTTCATCGGCAAAACCCATCCGGAAACGAAACTGACGTGAATGCTTATTGCCAAATATTCAGCTTAAAAAAAACGCGACAACCAGCTAAAAGGAATTATTTGCTGTGAATAAAAAAATATAATATCATATGACTGCGACTATTTAATATTTAACGCCCACAAATTTTGGTCTCGGGGCTGACAAAGCCGACGGCCGTAGGATCCAAGTCTATGATGGTGAGGGTCACGACGACATCGCCCAACTCAAGTGTCCACGATGGAGTACCGCATGTCACGGGCGACTAGCTCGATTTTCTGGAGCAGGCGACCCGCTCGCTCGGGGTTGATGGCCTGGTCGCCGACTATCGTCAAGTACTTGAGTTTTTTGGCGAACCCGAGCCGTGTGGGCTGCACTCGGACCGACTGCCCGGTGTTGACGCGGAGTTTTTCCAGAATCCTGGGGTTCATAGCCGCTGCCAAAGGTCCTATGTTGTTGTCGCTGGTTTTGACCACGCAGTATTCGTGAAGTTGTGGGTTCTCCACTGAGTACACTTTCACCACAAATTCCTCGACATTACGGCGCCCAGGAAACAGTGCATTGCGATTTTCTACGGCAAGGAAAATGGAGCCTAAAAAAAATCAATTTTTAAAGATGTAAAATTATGATGTTCAGTTTTAGTTATTCACTTACTGCTCTGGTCGTGCAAATACTTTGATTTGATAGCGCACAGTTCCATTTTGAGAAATGTTTTAATCGTGTTCGTTTAGATTCCTCTGAATTTAAAATTTGAAAATAGCTTAACAATGCAAATTTACAACAAAGCACTTATCATGAGCTACACCTTTCAAATTGTTGGGCCTCTGTGTATGTCTTGCAAGAATCAAAAATATAATAGAATTCATAAACGCCCGTTGAAAAATCAGTTAGAATATTAAATGAAATAAATATATTTAAGACTCTGCGTTTAACAACTTGTTGGCCAGAGGTGCTGCCGTTTCTTCGCATTTTATATTTTTGATCCTTTCTCCTGACTTGATTTGTGATAAATGAACAATGATACTATATAGTTTAAGATTAAATTTAATTTTAAAATAAACATATTGATTCTAGAAATAAATGAGTAAACAAATGAATTAAATTTGAGAGTAATTTTAATTGGCATGCCCGCCAAATTAAGTAGAAAATTGCCAGTAGTTGCGAGACAAGAAAACAGCGGCCACGTCCGCGAAGAGGATGGTTCGCACACGGCAGCTCGACGACAAAGTCGGAGACTTCAAAATCAGCAGCATCATCAGTTCATCAGACAAAAAAAATTTGGTTCCCTTTATGAATACTATAAGGGTCTGCTGGATCAGACCTGACGTGCAGGGTGATTTTTTTAAGAAAGAAAATGTAAATTAGAAAGTTTTGCAGCAAAAGAAATTTACTTTCTTTTTGTAATTAGTCATTTTGATTCCATTATTTTTATACTTAATCAAAAAGTGGTTTAAAATTAAAATTTAGTGTTTTTAATAAGAAAATTTTTTTAGAATTTTTTCAATAAAGCCAATCGATTGTACGTCTAATTTTACTACTAGATCCAAATTTTTGTACAAAAATATTCAGCGGTTACAAAATAATCAGTTGCAAAGGTCATGAGCCTTAATGAAGGCCGAGCGGCACTTTTTGGTTAATATTTTCTAAATAAATAACCGCTGAACATTTTTCCACGAAAATTTGTTTCTAGACGTAAAATTAGACGTACAATCAATTGGCTATATTGAAAGAATTCTAAATTTAAATTTTTTTTATATAAAACACTAAATTTTAATTTTAAACCACTTTTTGATTTAGTATAAAATATTGGCAGCAAAATGACTAATTACAAAAAGAAAGTAAATTTCTTTTGCTACAACTTTCTAATTTACATTTTCTTTCTTAAAATATCACCCTGCACGTCAGGTCTGATCCAGCAGACCCTTATAGTATTCATAAAGGGAACCAAATTTTTTAATGGCATACTAAGAAAAATATTGCTCAATTCTTCTACTTTCGTTGTGGAAATTTCCATGGTCTAATTAAACGTGATATAATTATTTATCAAATTTGAGCATAAATATGCACCTCAGAACCGAGGCTATAAAGTGTGATGCTGCCGCCTCATCAACACGGGGGCGCCACTGTCGCCGAGCTACTCTTAATTGACGAAAGCGCCTCTAGTCAATTGAAAGTTTTTTAACAACAAGATTGTTATTCTACTCAGGTCATTAAAAAATATATTTTTTTTTTTTTTTTTTTTTTGTGAAAATTAGTAATAAAGACTAAGGTGAAAATTCTAAAAAGATGGGGCAGTAAAACAATAATTATACATTATCACCTTTATCTCCCAAGAATCGTTATCTCTCGCGGCAGCGATAATTTGCCACATTAAAATTTAATAAGAAAAGAGAAGTCCAATCGTGGTACGCGCAAGCAGCACGTGGTTTTCACAGATAGTGAAAAGGAACTTTAAATATCCTTACTCAAGAGATTGCGAATCAATAATTCACCGCAACAGGTAAAAATTTTAGTTGCCAAGCATATCAAATTTTATGATAAATCAGCAAGCAATCACATTATAAATTATAAATCAAGTTATTATTTTTCAATTCTCAAGAATCTTATAAAATTTCTTTACCTGTAAATAGTTTTTAATTAAGTAAAAATATTAACTTATTTCAGCTACGCAATGTAAATTTCGCCTTTGAGAAAGCTCATTGCTTTTCATTTACGTCAGAGTAGCGCACACAAAAGACGACGCCTCAAGTGCACTGCTAAGCCGAGCATTCTCAATAAACCTCACAATGTCATAACAATTAACATGCACACAAAATGAAGGGGTTTCCCAATCCCAATATAGAAAGAAGTAACGTCATAAAAGTTGAAAGTGCTCAAAACCGTGATGGACGTGATTTAACCGAAATTTGTTTTAAAACGAAATGCGTATGTAGCATTAAAACATTTATCTGATAACTTATTAGTATCATGAATTGTTTGTATATAAATTGACTTTTATATTTATAGCGCATTATTATTCCTTTATCAAATTTTGTGTGCAAATTAACAGGGTCGTGTTTATTTTACATGCATATAGCGCTGTCAAAATGAGGCAAGGACATTATGACTACCTTAATGTTCAATTGGCTCCATTGCTTTACTTTCGCGTGCGTCATATGTGCATACCTACAAGTAAATTTTGAGTTTAATTGATACCGAGTGTTGTTTTTGTCACTGTTATGCTCCCCTCCTCCGCCCGCGCTGTCCGCACTCGGTGCCTTTAGGATGATCGAAATGCATTTCATTTGTGTCATTCCCTAGAACCCCACATTTCGGTAGTCTTTCTCAAGTTGAGCAGCCGGACTCACCGAAATTCGTTGCGCTGCCTAAATTTCTTGCTGAAAAGGTAAGAAAGCTGTATCAGCCTGTGAATATTTAGCATTTTTATTATGGACACTATTTTAATTTCGGGTTTTTCAAATAATTTTTTTAATAACTTTAACTTTTTCAAGTAATACAAACTATTTTGTTGTTGTTTGTTAGATAACATAATTGCTGTGAGGCTTCTTGCGTTGCATTGTTAATTATATTTTATTTTCGGCAAGGTCACTGTTCACAAGTAAGAGTTTTGTAAGAATTTTGAAATAGAGGTAAATTAAATCTCATCTCCAATTATGTAACTATAACTTAACCAATTGTACTTTCATTTATTAGTGCAGAATTATATTGTTAATATGAAAAAAGGATACAATTAATTAGTAATATCTTGTTAAAAAAAAATAATACTAGAAACATTTAGAACTTATTCCTGCTTTTTAATTTTCTTTAGAAGAAAAAAAATTTAATGCTGAACTTAATATAAAAATTTATTATGTTATATTATCTTCTGTTTAAATAAACTTTGCAAGTAGTAAAAATTGGTAAATTAAATAATTCTCACCTCTTTAATATTTACCTCAGATTGCATCAGATTGTACTGGATCAACAAAATGGGCCAAAAATATAAAATTTCTCAAGAAACAGATTTAAAAATCGGGTATTATAAAAATTATTCTCTAATTATTTTGGATTTATAACATGATTTTCAATTATCCAGCAATTCCAAGCTCTCGGAAAGTCATTTAAAAATAATCGATGATTCTGATGATGAAAAATCAAAGAGTTTCTTTGTCAACTGGAGAAACTCAAAACTAGAATCATCCAACAAGAAAAAGAATAAGAAGGAAGGATCCCTTCCGCCAGTTTCCTACTTCAAACTGGTTTGATACGTTACAATTTTTTTAGACCCTTATTTTACTATAAAAATTAATTAGTTCCGATTTGCGTCCACTTGGGACTTACTGTGGATAGGGGTTGCCTTGGCGGCGGCAATGGCCACAGGCGCTCTCATGCCTCTCCTGATTGTCCTTTACGGCGAGTTCACCAACGTGCTGGTCGACGGAGCACTCGAAGCGTCGCCAAACGTCACCAGACAGTACAATTCCAACATTTTCATCACCTTCGACGAAAAAGGGGCGCCGTCTTCGGACGATCCTGATTTCATGACGGCGGTGGCTACGTTTGGTATCAGTTGCTGCGGCCTCGGCCTCTTGCAAATGATCCTCGACTACATTTTCGTCGCCTGCCTCAACTTTACATCAGAAAAACAGGCAAATATAACAAAATATTAATTAAAAATTTTCAAACAATTGAATGAAAAAATAGCACTTCCATAAAAAATTAAAGTATTGCAATTATTACAAATAAAAAAATTAAAATCCCTAGATTTTGAGTATCCGCCAGGCGTATTTGAGGGCCGTGCTGAGGCAGGACATTGGTTACTACGACACAAATCAGACCGGAGATTTCGCAAGCAGGCTGACTGAGTAAGTTACTCTCAGACTATTCACTAGAAAGACCCTCCTCAAGGGATCAATTCTATCCAGAGACCTAAAGAAACTGCAGGACGGAATCAACGAAAAGCTTGGAATGTTCATCTTCCAGTTGTTCTCGTTCATTTTTTCCATCGTCCTGGCGTTTCTCTTCGGATGGAAACTCACCCTTGTCGTTCTGAGCAGCATGCCACTGCTGATTGCCTCCACTGCTCTCGTAACAAAGGTATGCTTAAAATAATAAATAGGTAAACATGCTTTAAATTAATTATAAGATGCAAGCGTCTTTGACTGAAAGAGAGCTCAAAGCCTACGCGTCTGCCGGCGCCGTTTGTGAAGAGGTGCTGACAGCTGTCAGGACTGTGATGGCCTTTGGAGGAGAAGAAAAAGAAACTAAACGGTTTGTGCTATTTAATTAATTTTTCCTTCGTGTAATGAAATAATTCGCTGCCCATTATTATAAAATTATACGCTGGGAAAAAATGATTAAAATTTAAAAATAAATTTCATTGAAAAAATAAATATAAAATTATTTTTTATACATTTAGTTATGCCCAAAACTTAATTCCTGCTCGGAAAACGGCCATGAAGAGAGGCGTCTACACCGGAATAGGAAACGGCGTAATGTGGTGTGTCACTTTTGCCTCCTACGCCCTAGCCTTCTGGTACGGTGTAACTTTGGTCCTAGAGAGCAGATTAATGGAGGAACCAGAATACACTCCCGGCTCAATGGCTATAGTAAGATTAATTTTAATAAACTAGAAAAAAATTGATGCATTTTTTTAAATCAGGTATTCTTTTGCGTTTTGTATGCCGCCACAGTTATCGGCCAAGCCGCTCCATACCTGGAAGCATTTTCAATGGCCAGAGGAGCGGCGGCGATGATCTTTTCGGTCATCGACCGAACACCTCAGATCGACAGCCTCTCCGAAAAGGGCCTCAAACCGAGCAGCATCATGGGAGAGATCAAATTTCTAGGAGTCAACTTTAGCTACCCCTCGCGGAAGGAAGTGCCTGTGCTGAAAGGGCTCGACTTGAAAGTGAATCGCGGCGAAACAGTGGCGCTGGTTGGCACCTCTGGCTGTGGAAAGTCAACTTGCTTGCAACTGGTGCAGAGGTTTTATGATCCCGACGAGGGACTGGTATGATTTCTTTTTTAATTGATAGAAACCTATTTATTTATTTTTTTTTAAATCAGATTGAAGTTGATGAAGTGGACATAAAAGAATTGAACATAAGTTGGCTCAGGAGCAATATTGGAGTGGTCGGACAAGAGCCAGTTTTGTTTGATGCAACAATCGCTGAAAATATTAGATACGGAAATCCGAATGCTACTTTTGAGGAAATAAGATTCGCTGCAAAAGAATCCCAAGCTGATGACTTTATCATGAAGCTCCCAAGTGTAAAAATTCATTAAAAAATTAAATTTGGAATGTTAAAAATATTTTTATAGAAATATGACACGCTTGTTGGAGACAGAGGAGCTCAGCTGTCAGGAGGTCAAAAGCAAAGAATCGCCATTGCCAGAGCCCTTGTTAAAAAACCAGCGATTTTGCTCCTGGACGAGGCGACATCAGCCCTAGACACAAGCAGCGAAGCTCAAGTCCAGCAAGCTCTGGACCAGGTATTTTTAATTAAATCTTTTTATTTTGAAAATAAATTTTTTTAAGGCGAGCAATGGAAGAACCACAATTGTGGTGGCTCACAGATTGTCAACGGTGAAGGGAGTAGACCGGATTGTGGTCTTCGAAGGGGGCAAAGTGGTGGAGGAAGGCACCCATAATGATCTGATGGCCAAGGGTGGTGCCTATTACAACTTGGTCGCAACTCAAACTGAGCACCAAGCGTCAGACCAGAGTATTTTGTCAGAGGCAGTTAAACGAGGTATGTACCAAAAATAAAATTATAAATAAATGCGCTATATTTTTTTTTTATCCAGAGGAAAATGAGGTTGATGAAAAAGAGAGGAAGGCAATCGCATTTAGCAGACAGGAAAGTATCCTGGAAAATAATAAAGAGGAAGGCACATTAGGATACCCAATAGAGGTTTAATTTTCATGATAATTTTTAGAATATAAAAATAAATAAAAAAATCCAAATAGGGTGATCCTGAAGATGTAGAAGCACCAGTTTTGGCGATTTTAAAACTGAACAAACGCGAGTGGAAGGAAATAACTTTTGGTTGTATTGGAGCTTTCATCGTCGGGTGCAGCATGCCTGTTTTTGCAGTGCTTTTTGGAGATGTTTACGGAGTCCTTTCCCTCCCCAACCCCGAGGACGTCAGAGAGGGCACAGACTATTTTTCACTCATGTTCTTACTTGTTGGCGTTGTGACTGGTGTGGGAGCATATTTACAAGTAATCACAGATAATTAAACCGTTAGTAGTAAAATAATAATTAAATTCAAATTAAGATGGATATGCTGAATCGCGCTGGAGTGAAAATGACAATGAGACTTCGTGAAGAGTGTTTCGCAGCTATGCTGAGGCAGGAGATCGCGTGGTTCGATGACCCCAAAAACAGCACTGGTGCTCTTTGCGCGAGACTCTCTGGAGATGCTGCCAGTGTCCAAGGGGTACGCAAACTTGAAAATCTAGGAAAATTTTCTCATCAAATTTTATTTTAGGCAACTGGGTCTCGAGTTGGAACTGCCGTCCAAACATTCGCCACTTTGGCGTTAGGTCTTGGACTCGCTTTGTTTTTTTCCTGGAAATTGGGACTTGTGACCGCTGCTTTTGTGCCCATAGTTTTCTTCGCCGTTTATTTAGAAGCGAGGATTCTAAGAATGCAGAATGCCTTTGCCAAAACGTCTCTCGAGAGAGCCAGCAAGGTAACATTTTTTTATCTAAACTATTTTAGACCATTTAAAACCAATTTTAAACAATAAGATGATTACTCTCTAAATTATTATTTCATTAGAAAAAATTATTTATTTTGTTTTTTAAGCTTCTTTCGTGAAACAATCACATTTTTATAACTTCAGGTTGCAACCGAAGCGATTGGAAATATCAGGACGGTGGCAGGTTTGGTGAGAGAAAGAGCCGTGATTGAAGAGTATTCAAACCTTCTGAAGGCGCCTCACGCCAAAGCAATGCGAACTGCCCATATACGAGGCCTTGTTTTTGGATTTGGGCAAACCATGCCTTTCTTTGCTTATGGCATTAGTCTTTACTACGGCGGGTGGCTAGTCCACTACGAAAAACTCCCATACGAAAACATCATCAAGTGAGTAAATTGATATTAATAATTATTATTAAAATTTAAAACAGGCACACTTTTCACTATTAAGTTGAAAGTCTCAGAAAAATCATAACCCTTTGAAATAAACATTTTTCACAAAATTAATCATTTTTGTGAGCAAATTTTATACAGACGATTTTTTTCATTTGATAGAAAAATTAGAACAATCTATTTTAAATTTTTTAAACAGAGAAGAAACATCGAATTTGCTTCTTTTAAGCGCCTGCGATAATCCGATTATGCAGCCCGCGCGATAAACCTGCTTTACAGTATGCCTACTTTCCAGGGTGACAGAGGCACTTATTTACGGCACCATGATGCTCGGCCAGGCTCTCGCTTTCGCGCCCGACTTCAACCAAGCCAAAGTTGCTGCAAACAAAATCATGAGACTCTTGGCAAGACAGCCGAAAATTTTCCACACTTCGCATGATCCGCTCTCCGAAAAATCGGTTTGAAATAAAAATAAAACAAAATCTTAAATTTAACAAAAATAAATTCTAGGCTGCGATTGGTGACGTCAACTACAACAACGTTGAGTTTGCCTATCCCTCGAGACCGAACGTCAGAGTCCTTGGGGGAATGTCCTTGCAAGTGAAACCTGGCCAAACAGTGGCGCTTGTCGGCGCTTCCGGCTGTGGAAAATCAACCTGCCTGCAACTCCTGCAAAGACTTTACGATCCACTCTCAGGCACCATTGTATGAATTAAAAATTAATTTTATGTTTTTCCTTTTCCGAAACGCAAAATTTTAGAAACTGGATGAAATGGAGGTGAGCAATTTGCCTATTACTAGGCTGAGGGCCCAGCTCGGAGTGGTATCGCAAGAGCCAGTGCTGTTTGACAGGTCTTTGGCAGAAAACATCAAGTATGGGGACAACGCCAGGGAGGTCAGCATGGGCGAGGTCTTGGAGGCGGCCAAACAGGCCAACATTCACAATTTCATATCCAGTCTTCCAAACGTAGGGAAAAATTTAATACGACGACGAAATGAAATTTATTCTAAATAAATCAGGGATACGAGACTCGTTTGGGAGAAAGGGGTGCCCAGTTGTCCGGTGGCCAGAAGCAAAGAGTGGCCATCGCCAGGGCGCTCGTCCGCAACCCCAGGGTGTTGCTGTTGGACGAGGCCACTTCCGCCTTAGACGCTGAGAGTGAAAAGGTATTAATTTTATTTTTATTAATCTTATATAATTAATTATTTTTATTTAGGTGGTGCAGGCGACTTTGGACGATGCCCGCCGTGGCCGAACTTGCATCACCATCGCGCACAGATTGAGCACTATCAGAGATAGTGATATGATTTGTGTGGTTGAAAAGGGAAGGGTAGTTGAATCGGGAACTCACTCGCAACTGCTTGCCCTCAACGGTGCCTACAGACGGCTCCACGCCTTTCAAGAAGGATAAATAATTAAATCTATCATTTTACATACAAAAAAATAAATTTTTATTCTTGAACGCAGTTGTACATTTTTTTTAAATTCTTTCACCCTTTTCTTTTTATCATTGAGTAACTTTAATGATAACTTATAACTTAATTTAATGCACAATTTAATAATGTTTCAAATAACTGATATTACTTTTAAACAGTCTAAGATAGTATTAAAATATTTGCGCACGTGGCTAATTAGTATTTTTTTATTTTTTTATTTTTGTGTTTTGAGTTAAAGAAAGTCTTAGTAGGCGTAAGGAAGCATTTCCTGATGTGCACACGAACTGCAAATTTTCATCACAAAGCTTAATGTGAAAATAATTAACATGTTCTCTTTTCCCTGAAGGCTTTAAAGTTTGAGGAAGCTGACGTGGTTGCGTTCTAATCAATTTTTCATTATCCTGGTCAACCCAGCACCTCAGATTAATTATAGTACATACATTTAACCAAATCAAAAAGGCAACCAACATTTTCCTCGGTCACTTGTGATAACCGCAATCTTTTCCACATCAGTAATTAACAATAATTCAAAAACCATTACTTTCTTTAATTAATTAGCCGCAGCTCTCGACCGCGGGAAGTTCAGATAATAGTTTGATCTGACGTATCGCGGCTTTTAACCGATCAGATCAGCGTTTTCCCTATAATTAAAAGTAACTTGCTCCATCCCGTCGTCGTCAGTCAGGCTTTGACAACTACAGAGATGTTTTCTCGTCAGCGCCTTTTCCTGCTTGTAGCAGCGGCTGCCCAGATTGCTGTTGCGGCTGATCGTAGGTGAGTTATCTTTTAATTTCAAATTAAAAATAAAATATCAAATTCATTTATTCATGGTGATTTTTCTGTGCAGCCGACGAGGTTCACCATTTCAAACGGAGGTAGTCGACGCGTCCAATAAATGTTGCGAATCCTTGGTATGCCTCTTGAAAAGTTGTTAGACCCCTTTTTTTAATTAGAGCAAACTTAAATTATTAAGAAAAACGCCACTGACAATATGGATGCGTACCTTGACCAGCTATCAGGAACAGTGAAAGCCCAAAATAAAGTAATTCAGGTGAATTTCCATCTTCGTATTTTTTTTTTTAATTTAAATTTATATTCCTATCAAAAGGATCTGAAATCAAGTAATGATGGCACCATCTTGAAATTGGGCAAACTTGAGACGACCCTTGCTGCAGTTCGTCAAGACTCCGACCTGAAGAGTAAAAAATTCTTAGAAGAACTGAGCAAAATCGTTGCTAGTCTGCAGAAAAACGTAGTTTTTGAAAATAATTTAATGAAATTTGTTTTCAAATAAATTTTTTTAGGACGCCAATCTGTCCAAGGTGCCAGAACTGAGCGCAAAGTTGACAGAGCTTTTCAACAAACTTGAGCAAAAAACTAAAAGCGACGCGGAAAAATTCAGCAAAATTAAAAACGTAAGTAAAATTGTTCATATATATTTACAAAACTTTCAAAATTTTTGATTCTTAAGTCCCTGAAAAATGCTGAGGAAAACTTGAAAAATCAATTAACTACAGAAAAGCCGCAATTAAATCCGGTAAGAAATAATTATTTTAATGACACAATATACCTATTACAATAATATTATTCTTTAAAAACACTTTTATTTCAGACGGAGCCTAGTTTATTTGGTAAGTAATTAAAAGATTTGTGTTAAATTTGTCACAATCTAAGATGTAATAATTAAATGCAGATGAGTTTGAACGTATTAGGCTGAGCACTGGAGAGTACTTGTACAGTCACGGCGCGGTAAAAATTAAGAGGATCAAAATAATTAAAACCAATAACGGGGCATATTTTTAGGAAACCTGGGCTGATGCTCTCGCAATCTGCACAAAATTGAGCGCCCAGCTGCTGATTATCGAGTCCGAAGAGCAGATGAAAGAGGTTGCAAGGAACTGTCCTGAACGGAATTGTGAGGAAATCAGAGATGAAGTCAATTAAGTTTTAATAAATCCTCTAAAACAATGCAGCGGCCTATTGGGTTGGCGCCTCGGACATAGGAAAAAAATTCGGACAATTCACCTGGACCAACGGCAAAAAATTGCCTAAGTCGAGCAATCTCTGGGACAAGGTTTTGTTTGGTGGACAACCAAACAACATGCAAGAGGGGCAGGAAACTTGCGTCAGTGTTGAAGAGTTGGGCAAAAAACTAAACGACTACAAGTGCTCAACCACCAAGCGCTTTATTTGCAAATTATGAATATGATCATACTTGCCAATATATTTAAAATAAAAATTAATCAAAGTTTCACTGGTAGAATTTCAATAGTCAGCATAGTCAGCATAATTATTAAATTGAATTTTCTGTTTCCATCTTGTTTTTACAAATATTCGCTTCTCCTTGTTTTAAAAAAGCATTATAAACATTGTTCAATATTTTGATTATCAAAATAAAATGTTTTCTATTGAAATCTTTAATATTTTTGATCGAAATCTATGTTTTATTTCATGAACCTTGAAATTTATTAATTTTAGAGATAATATCATTTTAATGACATAATATTAAACTTGGCGAGAATAAAAAAAATCATAAGAGTTTAAAAACGTGGAAATTCTAGAACCTACAGACATTCCTAATATGCAAAAAAAAAACGTGTCATGTGCTGTATGACAAGGATGATTAATTAGTTTTTGGAAGTGTCCAGGATGATGGAAATCATTAATCAAGAGAAAAAACGGAAAAAAAACTATGGTTACCACTAAATTCAGCCAAAACGTATCCATCTATAAATATATAAAAAATTAAATTGATATAAAACACTAAATCAGTTTTCTTGACAAAATTTGATCTCTGTGAATTCGGTAAAGATTTATTCATGCGAAATAAGTGATTCGATTTTTCGCCGTTGAAGAGAATGGGGTGAGCACTTGGCAAAGGTCGGGCAAAATGAACCGCAGGACCGACCCTGCTTTTATCATAGGGAGCTGCATTTGAATAGCGGAAGAGCGCGGAGAGCGAGCGGCATTGTGGTTGAGAACAAAAATGAGTGCCCGGAACGGGAGGAGGTCGGGCGGGCGGGCGCGCCTCTTCCATTTTCCGTCGCTCTCTGCTGCAAGAGAGTGAGTGCCTAGCTGCGAAACACAATGCGTTGCGCGAATGATAAAAAACGAGCTGCGAGAGCGCAATAAAGAAAAGAAAAAGGCCAAAAGCGACGCCGAATAATTCACTCTGCTTTTACTCAAAACCACCCACTGCTTCCGCCCACGGACACATTTGCGCCCCCCTCAGATCCTCCCTCGTAATGCTGAATCGCAATTTGGCTGCGTCATTTTAAATATGAATTGATGGATGAGGTTTAACGTTATTTCCAGGGATGAAGAAAAATGAAACCAGCCGTGGAATTTTGTTTTACGAGATGTATAAAAATCCACGAAATACAATCTTGATTTATTATTCACTCTTTTAGTACATAGGCGGAGAACACACAATAGTAGCATTTTATTAAATCAGCATCATTAGTTAAATTTTTTAGTGGATTTGAACAGCAACTAAAAATACTGGCAATAGGTTTGCCAGCCTTAATATTTTGTTAAAAACAGAAAACAATGTGGAAGTTTGTTTAGGCCAATCAGATTTGTGTATAGCAAGATTGAAGAAAAATATTCTGTATAAGTACCTGAGGGCCTATTAGCTTTCAACCAGAAATATTTTTTAGCTGCCCTATGAATAAAATTATATTTGCACTTGGAATTAGTCAATGAAAAATGTAATTCAATTTTTAACTTAAACTTTTAAAATTGGGTTGCGCCGTTGATATCTAATTTAATTTCAATCCAAATGTGTTCAAATCCACTTTAAATACACTTGCATTAACCAACAAAGCATGCAGTTTAACAAACAGACTGAAAGACAGCCAGGCGCTCAGTTGTTTTCAATTTAACTATATGGATTTTCATTAGGTTGAAAATTGAAATAAATAAGGGGCATTATTACATTTACATGGCACAATACGTTTGGAGCCAAAAATACGTTGTTCTGGGGGTAGGCCTTGCTGTTTGCTCTGCTCCTTGTCGTATACAGTCTCCTTTGAACTACCATCTACAATTTCTTTCCTTTTAGACAGGCCCTATTTTTTGGTAAATTCCTTTTTAAGTATTAATATTAAGTATTTTTAACCAATTATTCATTGTTATGAAATTCTGTTACACTTTTTAAAGTCTTGTTGCACTCTTTTTTAACGAGTATATAGTATAATTATTATATAAATTCAAGCTTGCAAGAACAATTGGCCCATTTGACTAATTGGAACAAGCTGATGAATTTTAGTTTTTCTTTTCAATTTCACACTTACGATTCTGTAACAAAATTCAGATTCAAGTGATTTTTAAAATTCAATTAGATCAAATTAGGCCATTGATTACACAGTAATTGACAGTTGCACCATTTTAATTTGAATGTAAATTTTGAAGAATGCAAATTCTATGTCACGACATCTAGATGTTCCGGAAAGTCTACAACAACTACTATGACGGAGAGAGAAAGAGAAACACCGTAACAATTTACGTCATTTGAAATCTTTGACCAATATTGCAAAATCACGAATACATGTCTTGGTGGTTCACAAAGCCAAGCTGAATATTCAATATTATATTCATATTATTTACTCCAACTAGCGATTTCCCAACTCAAGGGCGGGTTTTGTTTGTTGTTTTTTCGTCTTCCAACATGAAATTGTTTATGCAACATTTTTGCAATGCAAATGAACAAACGAGGCCCGGTCAATAAAACAGGGTTGCGACGCGGCTCGGTACTGAAGTAATGGAAATGAGCGCATGTTTAGTGATTGTTTAATTAAGGCCCCGTCAAAAAGCAACGCATTCTTAATGTAAGGCCTGCCACGAAAATAAAATTCGATTTTAATGAGCCTCCGAGGACCGCGGTGAATAAATTATCATCTGCTTAAATGTCTCCTTCATTCTATGTCGGAACTAACAATAAACTCTATATTTAAAGGGTCCGAAATGTTATTCATCAGTTTTATTTTTAAGAGGAGTCAAACATATTCTAATATATTATCCTCAAATTTATTTATAAGCAAAAAATTATTTCAATTCTCCCGGAAATAGAATAAAGGTTCAACATAAAATTTTGATTTCATGATGGTTTTTGGACCCTTTTTGAGGAAAATTCATGGCACAAAATTACTTGGAAAAATGGGTTCCGGGCAAAAAGAAACCCAAATTTTTAAAGTTCAACAGGGGTTTGTTCGGACAACTATTTCAAAGCGCAATATGTTGACTTTTCTTTCGTCAACAACCGTAAATTTTTAGCAATCAATAAGTTTCAAAATTCGTGTGGCGGATTTTTCCGATGATCGAAATCGTCCTGCCTTTTTACAACGCTAACACAGCCGAGTCGAACGAATGAAGCTGCAAAAAATGTAATTTTTTTCTCTCTCTCATGAGTATAAAAAAGTAGAGGGTGTGTCTAACTGGCAAACTAGCGAAGCGCGAGTTGGTCCAACGTTATTTTGCAATGGAAATGGGCAAGATTAGGGGTTCACTCGTCCCAGAGGCAGAGCTGCTTCTGCCGGACGGGGTACTCGAACAGGCGGCACTTGCGACACGTCTTGATGCCGCACCGGTACGAAACCATCTTGCCGCTGCTGTCCTTGCTTTTGCAGAACTTGAGCCCGCACGGATACCAACCGATGCACAACTCGAGGTGGCAAGTGCAGTGCCGCTTAGTGTCCGACACGTGCGCGCACCTCGGCGCCCCCTCGGCCCCCTTTTTTGGCACCATCTTCAACAGCTGCGTTAGGTCCTTACCTGCGACAGAAAGGACAAAAAATGAATATCTTCAGGTCAACTTGAGGGTTTTTGCATGCTGCGTTAATGCAAAATTGAATGAAATATTGTAATAAATTTTGAATATGCATGGATAATTTAAAAATGTTGTGTTCTTTTAGAATTCTTTTTTTTTAGAACTCGAAACGAATAGGAAAATTGCATAATATATGGTTTATGTTTGCTGTCCAATTAAAATCACCTTAAGAAAATTAGTTGCAAATTGTGTTTATTGATCTATCACAAAGGCAATTGCTGCCCATAACGGGATACATCATTTATACATTAGTCTATGCTAATTATTTTTTAGATTTTTTAATTGTTGAAGATTTAAGGCAAGATTTTCAGTAACAAGCAATTGTTGGAAGAAGAACGTTAATTTTAAGAGGAAAAGAAGAATGGATAAAAATAAATAAAAAAGTACTAAAAACTGGTGCTTTCAAAAATTGAAAAATCTTCCTGAAATATTAGTAACTAATAAATAATATTATATTTTTTTCTTGAAACTATTAGTAATTTTTTTATTTTTTAGAATATACTCTGATGTACTCGTCAATGAAAGTAATTTTTATATTCATTGCAACTCCAGTAAAAAAAAAAAAATCGAAATATAACAATACATTTTCAATTTTTAATATTATTTCACAAATAGAAAAATTCAAATTTTTTCCAATTTTATGAAAAGAAACGCTATGAAAATCCAATCTGGAAGTCCAGAGGGTCAGTCAGGGCTATTCGTTCTGTATAATACAAAGTTTTAATTCTGTCGACATTTTTTTTTAAACACATTCAGTGGATGAATATTTTTTCCATTTAACTTTTAGGTCAATCATGAAATTCCACATTAGCCTAGATAAGAATGTAAAAAGAGAAGCTTGGAAATGCTATCAACGATATATTTTCATTTTTATCTGATGCATCAATCTCATAAAATTTGAATGAGCGTCGTTTGTTATTAAAAAAGGAACAAAAGAATCCTCCCTTCAGCGCACGTTTCATATTAAAAGTCAGCTTTTCCCGACGCCACAAATTTTCATTTTTCTGTTGATTTTTCCGGAATATTTTTTTTTATATATACCCAAATTACTTTCTGATATGCAAATCCCAGCTGAGGCAGCAAGTTTAACGAAAACAGCAGCCATCGGCATGCATATGCATGTTACTGCTCGGATTTACACAAGCACGTGTCCCAATTTGAGGAGATAAAGCCGGTCAATCTGACTGGCGGTGCATTTTGAGCCAGGATAATGAGCACGCACGTCTGCAAAAGGACGGCGGAGGAGCGCAGCCTAGACATCTGGGCGTCGTGCCACCCGGTGTGAGGCACGTCCAAACGAGCAAACGCTCCATTTCGCGAGAGGGCCGCCTCGTTGTGCGTGCTGATTAATTAACGAGACGCTAACAAATGACAAAAGCGGAAGGGTAAACAGCGTTAATGGAACGCGCACGGCGCATTCGCTCTGATGAATCGTTTTGCGGATAAACGGCTGCAGGGGTGGCTCTCATTCTCATGCCATCGTCCCACGCAATTTTCAGGCCCCATACCAGAACAAACAAACAACTCATAACTGAGCAAATAAAGTGGGCGCAGAGGGAACAAGGTATTTGTTGGAACCACAATTCATCCGAATATAAATGCACGAAAATAAATAAATCGTGGGCGTATTTATAGAACTGTTGAACAAAGGTAGATATCGATTCATTATACACCGAAAACTCTTAACTCTGCAAATTTTGAGTTCTGATTTCTGATAAATTGTTGTTTCTTAAATCTTAACTTTTTAATTTAACTCTTGGAAAAAATTCATTGGTTTATCGATTTTTTTTAATACAGTTTAGTCTCAGTTGCATTTTTTTTAAGCCATTGTTTAGTATTTTACTGAAATTTTTTAACATAACGCCACTGTTTACTTGTGGTAATGTGATACATATACTTATTATTTTACTCGATACTCTTCTCAAATTTTACCCAATATGTATCCCCATATAATATTTCTTTGTAAAAATTGACTAAATTATTTTTATAGTAGAATTTCACGATCGAGGGTTGACTTTAAATTCAAATCACCATTAAATATTATTGTATAATTCAAACTTGCGACTTCTGAGAAATCTCAACTTATGACCGAAAACAAAAAAATTGCTTAAAATTATTATTACCTTAAAATTAATAATAATAATGCAAAATAATTCTCTTTTATTTCAATAAATTAAAATTATTGATGTAATTGACTGATATGAGGAGAGCAATATTCAGACATAGAATTTTTCAAACTTATAGTTGGTTTTTTATCTCGTTTGGAAAAAAAATGAAAAATTTTTTTACCTGCAAGTTGGCTCCAGATGCGGAGGTCGGCAAGAGGCGCGTAGGTGGCGTCCTTGGCCTCGGCGCAGACGGAGGGCAGCAGTGCCGAAACGCTCTTGGCGCCGGCAAACAGATCAAGGAGGCCGTCCATGGACGTGTTGTGTCGGCCGCGGTCCTCCTCGGGGGTGCGCACCGTCGACGGGTTCTTCTGCCGCAACTTTGCCATCGCGTCGGGGGAGATGAAGCCCTCGGCCTTGTCAAAGTGCGACACAAAGCACATGACCTGGTACTGACTCTGGCCGCGCTCCTCCTCGCCCAAAATCAGCGCTTTCAAGATTTCCACTTGCTGCAAACAAATTTGTAAAGTTTCCATGTAAATATCTTATCCAAATGTATAGAAATTTAAGCCAATTTATAAAATCAATAAAACATGAAGTATTTTGAAATGAGGAGCTAAAATATAGAAAGAAGACTAACGTAAAATTTTTGCGAGACATTGAAACACAATGATTTTGAGCAGAACTGATTACCGTTCCTGAATTCTTGCATTTCATCACATTAAAAAAAATCCTCAAATAAAATTTTAAAATTCATTTTAAGATCCGTAACAAAATATTTCCCGCAAGAGATTGACAATTAATTTTTTAAATAATTTTTATAACTTAGGTGTTATTGTAGTAGTGTCCTGAAAAAATAAATTTGCACCTTCAAATTAAAACATTCTCATAAGATAATGTATTAAAATACAATTGAAGCAAATTTCAACTTTTCATCTTCTATTAGATGATATTTGTTAGAATTTCTTCATCCAATTTTTGTGCTTGAAGTATTAGCTCTACTTTTTCCGCAGTTCCGAATCCAATTTAGCGGGTGTCTGGGCAAGTCGCGAGTGCGCGTCTCTTTTATTTGCATTTGCACGTCAGCGCGGCTCAACAAAGAGTCGTGTGTGTGCAAAGCCTTTTGCTCCAGAGCAGCGACGGGCAGGCAGGCAGGCGAGGAAGGAAGGTTGAATCGATCCGCGCGTTCTTTGCTCGGCATGGAAATTTTTACGTCGGCCCTAAAAAACGGACGCGCAAAGTTTTCGGGGCGCAAAGTGTCGTCGCTCGTCTTTTCGCACTTAACGAACGAATAAAAAGGCTCAGCTCTCCAGCCGCACATGGGCCCGGTTGGCTTCGCAGGGCAGAAAGAAAGGCACGCAGGCAGCTTGCTTATTCAGCCCGTCGAGCACCTACGTGTTGCGGCTTGTCTGAGTAAACAAAATAAGAGACGCGCGCTTGTGAAATTGCCACCAGCAGGGCCGACGGGCATCTGCTGAATTTTTATAAGCCACACGCTCTTGCAAAGCAAGAAAAAGCAGCAGCCCGACTTTTCGCCATTCTGCGAGACACCGAGATTTACTTTCGGCCGCCGGCACGTCCTTTCGCCGTCGCTCAGCATGTGTAACCGCAACCCTTTCTAACCAGGGTCTGATGGCAAAAAATGTGTCTCTTTTTCGCACAAGATTTGCCATGCAAAACCTTGCAGATTCAACTGTCAGACTGTCAAGGAGCCACAAACATTTAACATTTATGTGAGCTTTTTTTATAAGTTGCACCTAAAGAGAAAATATTAATTTGAAAATCAATTAATTTAAAATTTACTCACTTTCCAATAACAAAAATTAGTTTTATTGTGAGTCTAAAAATCATGTTAATAAAAATAAGAGTTCAAAACTTGGACAAAATTAAAAACGTTTTATGTGAGGCAAAACAACAGGCATCAATTTAGGAGTAAAATGAGACAACAAATCTTCATTTTCGTGCTTAAAATTTTTTTTCTCATCCTATTAAGTTTAAAACAAATTTAAGTTTTTGCACAAATTTAAGGAATCTAAGGAACATGTTCAATTCAATAAACGACAGAAAATGAAATAGGAAGTCGGGAAAAATATCACTTTTTAAAATTATTTTGCCTAGTTTTTAAATGATACTAATTTCCAGGCATGGGAAAATCAATCGATCTATTTTTCAGGAAATCTGTGAAAGTTTCCATTGTGGACTTTGGTTCCAGGCTGAATCGTGAGGGGTCGCTCGTTCGTTGCACGCGCGTTGATTCTCAGCTTCTGATGGCTTTGTAAATTATTGAGAAAGCCCATGAGAGGGAGAAGAGCGAGCAACAAAGGCGGCGCCCTTTAATTCTTAATGGCCGTGTAGCTCTTCCATTTTACATCGACATAATGTCTTTCTCTCGTTCTACCCGCCCGCCGTTCTGCGAGAGGCCCAACAGCAAATACAAAGATATACCCACTTTTATCTGCCGCACCCCGAAGACAACTTCCTTCCTGTCCCTCTTCTTGACTTTTGCCATTCTCCTCAAACAGAGTGGTCGCCGGCGTCTTTTTGCGCCGCCGTGTTCATTACTTTTGCGCCGTCCAACTTTGATACGGCCTCCAGAGACTCTCAAAGTGCAAAGAGAAAAATAGATCCGCAGAGACGTAGGAAGTAAAAAAAGAAAGAAAGGGTACAGAAAACTTGCTTCTTCGGCTGCAGATCATAAATTTTTATTCGGCCCACTCGCATAAATCGACCAACCACCGCTCGTGGGAATACAATCTGTATCTGGTCAAATTTCAGGCACGTTTTCTGATCATCTAAAAGCAGCAATCTGATGCTGGCGTAGAATATGATATGAGGACTTTTGTCGTGTTTTTGATCAAACAGAATAAATCAATACTATTCTTTTCATTCTTTCATGGACTCCCAACATAAAACAATATTTTTTAAAGAAACAACTTTGAGCAAGAGTAAAAAAAATATAATGAATTATAATTTTTCAGATCTGTATATTGGTGAGTATTTCTATTCATAACTATGTTTTTGTACTTTTCAATGTTTTTAATTGGATTTCTATTGAGTTTATGCAAGATATTGTGTTATTTCAAATGTATTAGAATTGAAAATAAGTAAACAAAATTTCATTTGAGCACTGCCAAAATGAAAACAAGGTTTCCGAGAAAGAGGATGTTGTTTAAATAATTATCAACGCTCCCAAGAGGAAATTCCGCAATACCGCAGGAAGTCGCTGCGGAGAATTTAGGCGGGTTAATTTTTGCATAATTTTTCCGTAATGAAGTTGAGCGGAGGCTGGCGGGCGAGATGTTCGTGCGAAATTTCATTATTTCTCGATCAGATAGCGCGCGGCAGCAGCGCGCGGAGAGGCTCCTTGAACAAGGCCGAGCGATTTCACAGCGGCAGACACTCACTCGAGTGCTTGGGGAAGCAATTATAACTCGGCTAACGAGACGCTTTGAAAGCAGCCAGGGTCCCGTCGCGTTTTTTGTTCGCCACTTCATTTCCCGCCACCGCTTTCTTTTGCAAATAATTACAGCTCCGCGCCTCGTTAGCGTATCATAATAACGGGCCTCCCCACCACCACCAGCAGCAGCGGCTCCAATTACTATGGCATCCGGGGGGACGAATTTGCGGGCCGGAAAATGGCCTAATTGTCCAGCAGCGCAGCGAACCGACCGGAAAGCGAATATGAAAAGGGCTTTTCGTGGCGCGCGGCCCATTTGCCTAATCGGCTTTTAATTATGTCTGTGCGCGGTGGCGATCGACGGGGTGGGTGGTCGCCGCCCGTGAGAAATCTTCATTAGAGGGAATGGGCGTGGGCGCGGAAAAGCAAGCGCTGCCCGGGGAGTTTCGCACGCGCGCGACACAGCAATATCCAGATTAAATGGGCTCGCGAAAGCACTCGAATCGTTATTACGCTCCGTGAATTTTAACAGAATGAGATAAGAGAACGCTTTCAATTGCTCTCATGCAGAGAAGTGGAGTTTCGAAATAAATTGATGAAAAGGGGTAGGACAATGCTGTTCGAGTGGAAAAGCGGAGAAAAGTTTGCATTTTCCTCGCTATAACCTCCGGCATTCATTTCGCGAATCGTTTGAATTCAAAACGTGGCGGTTGTAGGAGAAAAGATGGTATAGAATTCAACAGACACGCACAGTTGAAAGAAAAAAATATATAATGATTTCGTATTTTTTCTCTTTCTAATTAGCGATTTGAACATTTTAAATCAGAAACTTTTCACCGTCTACGCAAGTTGAATAAAATATAAAAAGTTTTCAATGATGGCAAAGTTTGGAATTAATATTAAGATAAAAATACATTTTTTTATCTCTTGAATCTTTACATTGAAGACGCAGAAAAATATAAGTAAAAGGTGGTTTAATCAACTTTTAGAAACTTTTTAATTTCAACTCCGTTTAATTATTCATCACAGTTGGAGAGCAGAAGAGCTGGAGCAGAATTTTTAGTGAGCCAGGACGTGCGGGCTGCATAACCGCTCGAGTCTGCAGGCGTTCCCTGGTCGCAGCTTCCCACGCAGGATGGTTCTGAACGCGTTTGCAGCAACGCTCGCACAATTCTCTTTGAGCCGAGGTCGATGCTGGTCACGCAGGTCAAGCCGATTGCATACTCAATGACCATTGAAGGGCTTAACGTGCGGCCGTGTGTGAGCTTTATGTGAATATACAATTGGATGGCCTTTTTATAAAAATTCTGTTAGTGCTTTGCATACAGCCTGTACCAGGAAATTTTTCCATGTAATCAAATAAAAATATTTGTATATACTTATCTGCCAAAATTAAATCCTAATGAAAATTACAGCAATAAAATATTTAAGCTACCATCCAGTCTGTACAAAAATCCGCCGCAAAATCTGGTTTCTAAACCGCAGAGGGATTATATGTTTTTTGCGGCGTACGCTTGTTGGACTAATGAGCAGCAACAGAGGCAAATTTTTAAAACCCGGGGGGATGCGTGGTGGAGGAATGACCACTAATAAGCGATTCGTTTTGCTGAGTTGGTTTAATGAACACTGGAATCCCAGCAAATCTATTTTCAACCTAGTTCAATGGATGAATGACAAGTTGAATGGAACTTTGTTGGAAGTTTCTCACGCAGTTGTTTCTTGTCCTCGGAGCTTCAGTTCTAAAGTTAACTTAACAGCTTTAAAACAATTGAAATTTCTTTTCAATTTAATTTACTCTCATCTATTGAATAATTGGAGTAATTTGAAACATAAAAACTTGTTTTTTAATTTAAACGCAGCTTACACATATTTTATGGGTGATTTTTTTTTTATCCAAGATTGACATTTTACTTTTTGCCTCCATACCTAGAACGAAAAATTCGGCGAATCCATTAAAAGCTCAGCAGTTTTCCGTGACGGTGCAATCGCCTGTCAAAACGACGAGACGTGCAAATCTCGCCTGAAGCCCCAGTCAAAATTTACACCGTCGACTGGTCACGGTAACGATTCTAGGAGCGGCTGTTAATCGCGGCTTGAATGGAAACGGGAAATCCGGGCTGGCACCGGTCGGCCGGCCGGCAAGCAGGCAGGGTTGCTTGTCAGCGGGAATCAATTTGGCAGCGAGCGCTGTTCATTTCTTGCCGGTTTGGCTTGGCATGCGTTCAAACGGGCCGCCGCGCAAATTGAATGGATGCGCCCCGATCGGTTTTAATCAGCCGGATCAACAGAGCGCAAGTGGAACGAGGTGTTGCGGATTAGGGCGCGCGTTTCTCTCCAAACAGGTTGGTAGGTTGGTTGGCACGCGAATTATGGATGGCTGCAGGCGCTGCTTAAATGTTTGAAGACGCCGGTAGACTGGCCGGGGCTCAAAGGCACTCGCTCGAGTGCTGTTTGCTCACAACTTCTTTGATGCCATACCTTTCCGCCCTACCTGCATGCCATGCATAATTCACGCGCGCCCCACCGCTTGTTCAAACTTTTCCACTCAGACAGACAAGCGATCGGGATCTGCCGGCAGGCGCAGACCACCATCTCCAAATTAAAATTTTGACCTCGCGCCGCGTTTGTGACGGCAAACTTTTGCGGTCGGTTTGATTCGTGAGGTGCAACTTGCACGCTTGCGGCTGGGGATGATTGATTTTGAGGTTTGCCTTTGCAGATGTGGGTCACTGAGCAATAGTGACTGAATCTTCATCACTCACTAGGAATTTCCTTACGAAACATTTCCTTATTTGTAATTATCTTGATTGTGTTGATTATTGAACTTTTTGAAGTTTTATACTCTTCTATTAAACAAGATTAATTCTAAGATTATTTTCAATTTATAAAAAAACATGATGATGTATTTGGGCAGAGAATGCCGGGTGAAACATTAATAAAGACAATTTGCAACTAAATAAATTGATTTTGAACTCAATCACTATTCAACTGAATTAATTTCAAAATAAATTTATTCAATTAAACACCGATTATAAATAATTGTGAATTTTTGAACAATCATAATTTGCATTTATTTGAAAAAAAATTATTATGATTACCTATCTAATCTAAAGTATAAATACATAAATAGTAGCTAGAAAAAAAAGAAAATAAGAACCCCGACAAAATAACTGATATTTAACTGGCCTAAATTACGTAGAAGAAAATCTACTAAAAGATGAGTTTATATATAATTTTGTGAAGTTACCATGCAAAAAGTTTCCTGTAATTTAACTTCCGCACGAAAACAAGGTAAGCGCCGGGAGCAGTTTTTGCTTCCGAAATTGAGTTTTTGCCCAATTGCATCAAGGTCTCAATTAAAGTCGGGCTTCCGTGCGGCAAAATTAAGTCATCTCACGTCAGAAAGCCGTAAAAAGGAAAGAAAACCGATCGGCCTCCTTTTCACTCGGCCGGCTCGTGGATAAAGCGGGGAAATATATCGAGGGCGCAATTTGATTGTGCGTCGAGCAAAAGTGCTTGCTTGCTTTCCAGCCGGGGAATAAAAGGGCTCGAGAGATCCAATTATTGGCAGAATTCTGCTCGGTGCAAATTCGTTTTATCCTCGAGCAGCGCGAAATTCGATCAAGTAATCCGAGGGCTGTTGCTTTTCTTTCTTTTCGTTCGACAGGGAACTGGAGGCGACTTTCGAGTCTTCGGGGAGAAGAAAAGAGACGGCGGCCTGTTGTTGGGCTGAAAAGTACATCTCAATGTGCAGTCAGTAGTGTGTGTTGGCATTGCCGAGTCAGTTCGCGTATATTTATCGATCGCGGGGCGCGCGGGCGCGGGCTCCACTCTGCTCCTCTTTCCCCAGACTGCCTTTTTCTGCGTGTAATCGCCCTCGCCTGCTCTCTAATAATATGACTACTGTTGGTTGCTCGTTCGTTCGTTCGCTAGCCCGTCCTTTCTCTTTCTTCTCCACTGTAATCGGCCGCCGGGGCAAATTGCGAACGTGCTGATAAAAAATTGCTCTCCTCCGCAACGTCGGCGAGGGAAAAAATTCCATATTAAAAATAACGCACGCTCATTTCTGCGCCTCACGGGAGCCAAAGTTTCATCTTCGCCGACAAGACGGGGAGGCCTCTTTAATATTTTACTTTGATAAAAGCGCCGGCCTTTTTCCCAAATCGCGACGTCTTTTCCTTGATAAATTATTCCGGAGCCCAAGGTGCTGCCAAAGTACGGAAATCTGTTTTCCTTTGTAGTCTCACGCTCGATCAGTCTCTTTGATCCGTCAAATCGTTGTTTTCCTACTGTTTCTTTGGGCGCCTGCCAGCCAGAAAATGGAAGTCTTAAAAGAACTAGCGGGCTACATCTCACAAACAATCTACAATTCTTGCTTTTTTTCCTTGGGAAGGAAACTTTTTATACTTTCTTGACTAGCAAAAGGACAGAAACACACATTTCATCAAAATTTTAATATTGTATGCGGGGAAAAAATTAGTGCCTGATATAAAAGAGATATTGAAAGGAAAAAAAGTAAAGTAATTATTTCCTCTAAAGATGTACTGATTTTAAAAAGCTTGTATGTTAAATTACATTTGTCTTACTAAAATATTATTTTCAAAATAAAAAACGGTCTCATATCAGTCCAATATACACAATTTTTTTAAGTAGCAACTTATTTAATTGGGAAAAAGAGCGAATTCATTGAGCCAGATATAAATTTTGATTAACAAGGGAACAAAAAGTATTAACCTTTCAATGAAATTAAAATATTTTTATATAAATCACTCCACTTAAAATTAAGACTTCAGCTTTTAACTAACAAGCTAAAATGAATGATCCTTGGAATGATTCATTCTTTTTATATTAAAATCAATATTTAATTAAGTGTGTATGTTTTCTTGAAGGTAGTAAATTTTCACAATAAAAGCGACCCAGCAGCACTTTTGTAGCCCATAAAGCATACAAAAAAGCCTTTAAATTTCGTAAAGTATTCCCCCCACGCAACTCACTTTTTGTTGTGTAAACAAAAAAATGGCATTGCCTTACAAAAGGAACTTCTCGATCGCGGTGTTTACGTTTCATCAGGATAATAAATCAAAACGAAATCTCAATTGGCGGTGGCGCGCCGGCAATTTAGCAATAATTTATTCCGAGATAATTTATTCACGGACAAAAATACCCATGTCGACGAGGTTTGATTGGATCGGGGCCGGCTGTGGAGGAAACGATAGCGCGTTTTCCAAGTGCTCTCGCCCCCGCCCGCGGCTAGGGTTGAGAAACGAGAGAAAAGTCGCGTGTCGAGCGTATTATAGCCAGCAGCACAAATAAGAGATTGGATCTGATCAAATCTCGCTTCCGTTGCAGCTAGCGAATAATTCGATTTGAGCGCAAAAACGCAATCAAATAAATAATAACACGGAACGCCGGGATAAACGGGTCGCGTGCACACTCGCTTTTTGCATGTGAAAGGAAAATGCCTGGACGCCCGCCCGCCGCTTTGCCGGCGAATATTAATAAAATATGAATGAATGAAAGAGCAACTTACGTTTTTGAAGTCGAGCATTTGGGTGACGAGGGTGCCGTCGGAGCGCTGGAACTCGAGGCTCACCCACTCCTCGCTCACGTTCGCAGCAATCGTCTCTTGCAAAACGTCGCCGCCCTGGAACAAAAGCAAAGAAGGAAACCATGAAACTTTTCGCACCAAAGTTTTTTTAAGAAAGGAAATATCAAACTTTTTTTGGATTTTCATATGGTATGCTCAAAATTTTTTCAACAATTCATCTTGATTCATCTTATGCAATGTAGTTTTTAAATATTCTTTACCTTAATTTTGGTTAGAACTCCGTGTCCGTGGCCAAAATTTCGTGTTATTTGAATTATCTCGGTCCATATTTTGTAATGCCTTCATTTTAACAAAAATATGTTCAAATTAAGATTTTGAAGAAATTCATTGTAAAATTTGACACAAGAAATTTTCATTTTGAATAAAAAGTTGAATAAACTAGCAAAATTTCTTACTATTGATGCAAAAATTCCAAAGTGTTTTTTATTATTATTTAATTTTTAACGACATTGTAAGAATTGTTGTTATTGTTATATATTTTTTTAAATGAATTATATAAAATTTGTCAATCGATAAAAAGAAGAGCAGTCCCAAAAATTAATCAATTTTCAAGAGATAAATTGAGTTTGTATTAATTTTTATAAATTAAAAATGGAATTATTTGAATATAACAAAAATATATTACATAAATCGAAGGAAATAAAATGTCCTTTTTTAGTAAAATCGTTATAGTTTTCGTCCTTCCCATGACAAATGTGTCACTCTCACGGCTTTATTACGATCAAGATAACGCAGAAATTTTGTGTTCATTTATATTCAGCGGGTGGAAAAGTGCTGGATGTTAACGTGCGCGTGGAACAAGCGAGCCGAGTTGTAATAACTTGATCGAGCAGGGAGGACAATGGGCGCCGTAAAACGAGCGGCGAGCAAGCAAGTGTTCCTTCTGATCCTCTTCTTTTTGCACTTTTCCTTCTTTTTCTCTTGGGCCCGAATTTACTGCCGTCGCTCGCTTTCCAGCTCCGCCGCGAAGAAAAGAAAAGAAGGAAGAGATAAAGAATGAAATTCAAGATCGTGACCGTATTTATTACTAGAGCGGCGCCATTCATCCTGCTGCTCAAAAAATGCAGAAATACATACATTGGTATAAAAAAGTGCTCAGCTGCTTGCCAGTGATGAATTTTATTCCGCTCGAGACGCATCAGCTCCGATTTTTATACGGCGAATAAGAAAATCTTTGGGCGATTCAGCAGTTTACGTTTCTCAATATTCTGGCCGATGTGGAGATAAAAAAAAGGAGAATCTTAAGGCTGAGCAAGAGGAAATTTATCAGGCTCACGTCAGCGTATAAACTTCCAAGGGTGAATTTGAATTTCTCCGTCTGCTTAGAGATTAACCTGGGACGAATCAATATGGATAAAAAAGTAGATTATGTCATTTAGAATTGAGTTACTGGAGTCATGAGATAATCTCAAAAACAAAAACTTATAATTTAATTATACGTAAATAATTAGGACAAAGTTTCAGGTGGTTTTATGATGCCTGTTCGATATTCATGCGGAAATGTTTGATCGACTCTGTTTGCAAGTTGCTGTTGGCCCTGTTGCAAATGTAATCCGCTGGAAAGTTGTTAGCGTGGAAATTCACCTCCGACGCAATTAGCTCAGGCAAGATCTGCTGCGAAGAAGTGCCGCCGCGTCGAGAGCAAAAAGGGATAATCCGGTTAATCTGCAACACAACTCGGAGCCCATGTACTTTTCTCGCGCCTCCCCGTCTACCTATGTAGTGATGTACATGGGGCGTACATGGCGCCCACGGACGAGCCGACGGTACATGCAAGTTTGTTGCGAGCATCCAATTGCATTAGGCGAGCTAATAAAATTAAGCGGGGCGACAGACGCTGAGCCAGAAAGTACTACATGTTGCAGCTCGTCGACCGGGGTGGGTGCCTGGGCAAACCAACGGTCGCTCCGACTTGCGAAGAGAAGCGCCGCCGGCTGGATTATGTACTTTTGTATAATATCCAACGTTATTTGCGCGTTACACCGTTTCATTGCGCCCATTAAAAATTATCAACCCGCCCGGGGCGAATGGGACATTACGCGAGCGCAAAATTATTTCTTGCCTCGCAATTAAATGATAACCATTATAATGAAAACAAAGTGCGATTACAACCACCACCGGCGATGGTTAGATATTTCTAAAAATACAACCGTGTAGATTCATGAAATTAAACTAGTACATTTTGTCTACTGTTCCATTGCATGATTTTTTTATGAATAAATGTTTTGTGTTAATAAAGAGTTCAATGAGCAAAAAAAAAGGGAAAGAATTGACTTTGATTGCCATCAGAGTGACATAAAGCAGCTTTTGTGCAAACATAACTTTTTTTTGTTGATTTTTTATTCCATTCAAGAAGCGCCATAAACGATTTAAAATAAATGGTATTCATTCAAAATCAGCAAATTTAAAATAAAAACTTCCAATCCAGGACCAACATTAATTGAAATCTTTTTTGACGCAATGCATAATTATAATTATTATTATATTAAGTACCAGTTAAATTGCATTTTAATAAATACAGGGAAATTAACACTACTTCACATTTCCATCTATGCGAAAATTTCCAAAACCAATCAAGCGATGCTCGAAAATCTGTTCAAAATTTTAATTTCTTGCAAAAAAAATTGAAAAAAATCGTAAAATTTGTTATATAGTTTTTTTTTTAATTTATATGTAACTAAAAAATATTAACGTCTCAAAACTACATTAAATAGATTAATTTGTATTTTCTCGCAGGGAAAATGTTTTTGTTTTGTTTTATAAAAATTGAAAATGATGTAAGCAAGTTAGTGGCAAATCAATTTGTAGCTGTTGAAAATTATTAATTTTTCCTTAATATATGTGAATTATGAATTGAATAATTTATCAAATATAAGAGAAATAATTATTCAATTAATTTTCACGACTTTCAAGACAAACTTCTGAATATTATTTATTGAAAATTTCGAGGTCAAAATACTTAATAATCAACTAAACAGTTACGAGCTCATGAAAAATTAAACAAAATCAGCAGGAGTAAATAAAGAGAATAATTCCGTGCAATGATTTCCCAATCGGAGCCTAATTTAATTAAAATCCGGCATTGGCACTGAGATTGTTGATAAAAATTAGCTGCCCATCCCATTGTTTGCTTTCTGAATCACCATCCGATTGCTCAATCAAATAAACTCAATAACACGGATCACGGCCAAACGTCGTGACCTGACCTGAGATTGAAGGTCACCGTTGCTGGACGGTCACCTGGAAGTCGTACGCACCTGGTTTTTCACGTTGATGAGCAGCTGGGGTGCGACACCCTGGCAAAGCGCCACCAGCAGCCCTGCCAGCAGCAGCCACCACGAGGGTCGCATTCTCGGGCCAGTCGGTCGTTCAAGCCTCGGACAAGCTTGCCATGGAGCCTTCTGGTTGCAGGAACGACTGCCACGGCCTGATCTCTCTGAGCTGTTCCGTACACCTTATGATTCTGCTCCGACCTGCTCCGACGGGAACGCTCGCTGATCGCTCACCAAAACTCTGAGCTCTGAGTGGCCTTGTCCGCTACTGCCATCTTCGGGGACGGCCGTGAAAAACTTTCCCCTTCGCCCGCAAAGAGGCGCCACCGACAATAATAAAGAAATCACGAAAATCATAAACGGCGAACACTACATTATTTATCAAGCGGAAAATCCATTTTAGCAAATTTATTTACATTTCTTGCACTTATTTTTCGTTGAACAAATTTTTGCGCCACTTGGTTAAAAAATGTTGGCCAATTCTCAGCGATTCCGAGTGGTAAAACTGCTTGCAAGTTATTCCTCCACTGATGCGGCAAACACAGGTTTGATTTAATTTTTATTTATTTTCATTTTCTAATATGAAATCACAGATTTCCGAGTCCTCGACCTGAGGAAAGGAGCCGGAGGCGATGGCTTGACGTCTAGAAGCAGATTTCAACGGCGTTCCGAGGTGGGACCGCAACTGCTGCCTCCTCGAGAAACCCGCATGCCCATTGACCAGGACTGGCCCAGTGTGTGGCCAGGACCGAGGTCATTCCACCCTGCCTCGGTGCCTCTGCCTGTGCGTCAGGGCTACCCTGCCAGGAGACTAGATGCTCCCCCAGGCAAATACGCCAACGCAGAGCTCATGAAAATTCCCAACTTCCTCCATCTCACACCGTTGGCTGTCCAAAGACACTGCCAAGCAATCAAAAGTAAAATTCTGTTGTTTGATACTTTTGTCAAATTAAATTTAACTCAAAAATTGTATTCAGAGTTCTGCACGCCGTGGCCAAAGGTGCTTGAAAATGACGATGCCTGCGAAAAACATTTTCCAATCGAAACAACAACCTCTGATTACTTACATTCATCTCCTAGCATTAGAGATCCCTTGGGAAGAATAGTCACGCTCCAGGTACTTTTAGAGTCTCAAAATGTGTTTTAAATTTAATTATTCCTCCTAATTAAATCAGGTCAAATTGTCGAGTATTCCTGTGGAAGGAAGAGCCAGAGACAAGTTTCTGCGGCTCATTAATGAACGATATGATCCAAAAACAGACTTGGTGACAATTGTAACTGACAGGTGCCCAACAAAGAAGCAAAATTTTGACTATGCTAATTTTCTGCTCACGGTCGTCTACCACGAGTCATTGGTAGGAGAAATTTCTTTTAGAAGTATATTCAATGACTAATTTTCAAAACCTTTTTCTGCAGAAAGAGGAGTCGTGGGAAAGTGAAAAGTGTACCTTGGACAACGAACTTTTTGATTGGCAGACTAGTGCATCTAGGGTGTCTATTGAGCAACTTTCTTCAAGAAACAAAAATCTGGAGCCTGAGCATGTTCAACTCTACTCGGAAGCGCTTACTAAATTGATGGACAAAGGTATGAATTTGAGAGTTAACAGATTTGAAGTCTTTAATCTGCTCACATCCAATGAGTATACAAATATACACTAACAGCTGATAATTAACTTATTCCAACTTGAAAATATAAATTCACATGAGACAACAAAAGGTACTTTTGAGAAAGGTTTGCACTAAATTAAAAAAATAAATTTAGGGAGCTTAATAGTTCAAGTCAGTTTCAACAGTCCAATCACAACTTTTGCTTCCTAGAATTCAGAGCAATATAAGAAAAGAAAAAAACTTTGAAGATCGTGTCTACGACAAAGTGATTCAATTATTTAAACCAGTTAGCCTGATCATCATAAAATTTGATTCATAAAAATTATCCTGGTGGATCTTTTCAGTTATTCACATTCAGTCATGGTTTTGCAGGTGAAGACCAGGAAACCTTGGCCGACTATAAGGAGCGCACGCTCCGCATGTTGGGTCACTCAAGAAACTGAGCAGAGACGTTCCGAGAGCACTCGCCCTTGCTGTTGAATGTGAATTTGTAGTAGCTACCATCGGCGCAGACCACTGGAAATAAAAAAAAATACAGTGTAGTGAATTTTACTTTTTCAACGGAAAAACGTCATTTTATTACCTATTACTGAGTTGGCCTCCGAGCCAAAGGCGCACATGCACTGAGTGCTGTTTGGCACCTGGAATTTGCAGAAACTCCAGCTCGAGCTGAAGTACTTTGGCAAGAATGTTGCTGACGCCAAACTGCAAAATCAAAAATATTTGGGTTTTTTTAATAGCAATTAGGCAGATAATTAAATCAATGATTTTGTCTCAATAGGAAATTTTTTAAACTGACCTAGAATGTTTATTCTGCTTTGGATCTTCCACTGCAAAAATGTGAACGGTGCCATGATCGCTTGCCACACAGATGAGACTCGAGTCTTTATTGAAATTGATACTAGAATACAATGAAACATTACTTAATTGAATATTCATACATGGAAAATAGAATATATTACCAATAAATATTTGCTGCGTTGGCCCCTCTCCGCAATTCATTGACCATTGTCCCTGTTGCTGTGTCAAAAACCCTGATCAAGGTTCCCTGGAAGAAATAAATTATTAGCCACTTTAAGCCCAGCTCAAAACATAATATCCTATGAATTACTTTTTCAAACCCAATTTTTTTAAGGTTATTTTGTTATATGGTTGTAAACTAGAAACCTGTTCAAAAATTGTTTTTTTATTTAAAAATAACCTTTTCTGAGGCTGTTGCTAGTCTGGTGCCTTGGAGATTAAGCGCGATGCAGCTGAGGGGCGTCTCGTGGGCCGAGATGTCCATTGGCGGACTGTCTGTGTTGGCAAGGTCAACCAATTGGACGTGGCCAGTTTTCCGACCAGGAAAAGCCAGAATGGAGTTGCTCGAACTTGGGCACAAAACGCAGAGACCACGAGGATTTGGACTCGTCTCAAAGACGTGGACCTGCTGCGGACTTTGGGTGAAGGTGTAGACTTTGATGACACCTTCGAGGACCACAACAATACGGTCTCGTCGGAGCCGGACACCTTTGACGGGCGCACTGAAATCCAGGGAGATGGCCGCCTCCTTTTTCAAATCGTCCCAAATTACCACTGCAAACAAATTATTGAGCAAAAATGTATTCATAATTTTGACATTGAGCGCATACCCCTATTAGGAGGGTACTTTGGTTGGAGGCCGCCACCGACCAGCGCCACGTAGTTGCATCTGAAGAGCATCTCGACGTGAGCGAGGCCGCCGTCGTCAAAGTCTTGTCTCTCTTTTTCCTTCAAAGGGTCGCAATTGAAGACCCTAAAGCCGTTCCGCATGCCGCACGCGAAGCAACCTGGGAATTGGATTGTTAAATTGGAGACTTCAGCAAACTTAACGGCAACTAACCTTGGTCCTGGTTGAAACCGGCAAACAACAACCCGGATACCCCCTCATCGACGACGTTCATCTCAATGAACCATCGGACGCAGAACTTCTTGGGAAATACGGTTTGTCCTCAAAGTCGAAGGTTCGGGACAGGTACGCGGAGTCGCGGAGACAGCAAGCCGGAACAGCTGGGCGAGAGAACCAAACACTTTTCGCAACACCCACTAAAGCTCCAATCAAATTCAATCTTGCCCCGGTAAAGCGCGGGTTAACTACAAACGTGGAGTGTTTTGCAACACGTGGTGCGGCTAATCGGCTATATATTATAAAAGTTATCCATTTTACTAAACTTTCCTTCTTTTATAATTTTAAAGAACAAAATTATACATTTCCTTGGTACGCGTTGTACCATCAATAATATAATTATTGAATTTTGAATCTATAAAATAATATAAAAGTTTTAGAAACAATAATTGTAATTAGATTATGGAGAGGAAATTGTGGGTAAATAATTTTAATATAACTAGTTTACAAATAAAGTGCACACAAGTAAGCTATTTTATTTTTCTGAAAATCCAATATAATAACGTAAAGTACGTAAAACAGGAAAAATTATTTAATGCAAATAAAGGATGCAAAAATGGAGAAAATTGCAGGTCAAGGTTAATTAACATATGAATACATAATCTTTTTTTTACTTTTCACAAATTAAGTTCTTGGTGGTATTGCAGCTGAAATCGTACAGTTTTGCAGTATCAATTTTCAATGCACCGCAAGTTTCCAATCCTTCGGCCGCATTATTTGGTTGCCCTCCGAAGAACACCTTGTCCCAAAAATCGCTGTCCTCGGCAGGGAGAGCACGTCCATTGAGCCAAGCAAAATCTCCAGTAGACCTGCCAATATCTGAGAGCCCAACCCAGTAATATTTGCCTTCTATTAAAAAAAGAAAATTTCAATTTATTTCTTTGATAAATACTATAAATAGTTAGAAAATATATATACTGTCATTCAAAAGTCCTGCTGATGACACATCTTTCAACTCATCAACATCCTCAAAAGTCGCGAGCGTGGCACCCAAATTGACGCAAGTTTGATTAGCTTCTTTCCATGTCACCTTTAATTTTTGAAGATAAAATATGGTAAAAAATTAAAAATAGCAGTCAGTAAAATTATTATAAATACCGGAAAATAGCTGAACATGTAATCACCCTTAGGCAATGAGATTACTTTGAATTCCTCTGAAATGACAAACGACTTTATTGATACTAAATTAAACAATAAAAAAAATTGTTCGATCTGCATAATTTTATTTACTTTCACACCTTCTGTTTTTGGATGAGAAGCATCCTCTTTGGTTGGCTCCTGTATAAAATTGAGTGTTAAGTTTTCTTTTTATTATTTTTCCTTACATCATTTTGAACAAACTCGGCATAATCGTACTCTCCTGGATTCTTAGACTGTTTTTTGTGTGTTGGAATTTTCAGAGCGTCAATCGCCTTTATTTAAAATATATTTTATTTGTAGAGCATTAATTTTAAATAACTTTTACAAACCTCTTCAATCTTCTGAAGATCATCTACAAGCAGATTGCTCTCATAAAACTTAAGTTCAAGTTCATTTAATTTCCCATTTGCTGCGTTAAACCACTGAAGAACTCTCTCCTATTTTTTCAATAATGCTTATAGATTTTTAATTTAAAATTGTAATTTTCGTCTAACCTGCTCTTTAGATTTTTGGAGGATTTGTTTCACGATTTTCTCGTAATTTTGATTGATAAAAGCAGATTCATTTCTCAGTTCTCCAACTCCTAATTCCAGTTTTTCAAGCGAATCTTTCGATTTTGTGTGAAAAATCCCCTAAAATAATTTGATAAAATATTTGTATAATTGTTTGAAACTACAAGGTTGTAAAAAGGACCTCGATGATGGATGTGTTGTTGCTGAACCTGAGCGCAAAGTCATCCAAAGCCATGGTGAAATTATTTGCCGCGCTTAACTATCAGAATAATAATATGACTTCGTAAATTTTTTTTATAAATTCACGCTAATAGCATCACCATTAATGAACAGCATGTTTTGACTTTTGCAGTGACATAATCGTACTCTCCTGTTGTTGACCCTTTTTTGTGAGCTTGTGTTTGAATTTTCAGAGCGTCAATTGCCTTTAATTAAATATATTTCATATTTTATTTGTGGAGCATTAATTTAAAATATCTGTTACAAACCTCTTCAATCTTCCGAAGATCATCTACAAGAAAATTGCTCCCATTAAACTTAAGTTCAAGCTCATTTAATTTCCCGTTTGCTTTGTTGAACCACTGAAGAACGCCCTCCTAGTTATTCAACGCTTAGAATTTTTAACAGAAAATTGTTATTTTAGTCTAACCTGCTCTTTAGATTTTTGGAGGATTTGTTTCAAGATTTGCTCGTAATTTTGATTGATCAAATCAGATTCATCTTTCAGCTTTCCAACCCCTACTTCTAGTTTTTCAAGCGAGTCTTTTGATTTTGTGGCAAAAACCCCCTGAAATAATTTGATTTTTAATTTTAATAATTGTTTCAAAATAAGAGGTTGAAAAAAGGACCTCAATGATGGATGTGTTGTTGCTGAACCTGAGCGCAAAGTCATCCAAAGCCATGGTGAAATTATTTGCCGCGCTTAGCTATCAGAATAATAAAATTTGGATTTGGTAAAATATTTTTTATAAATACGCTTTTATAATGTATCACCATTAATGAACAGCAATTTGTTTTGACTTTTGCAGTGACATTGTATTCATATATGATATCAACTGGCTCAATCTCGTCAAAAGGCGTATGCCTGAGAAACATAATATTTCTGTCAATCCAAAAATAAAATAGAACAAGAAAACTCACGTATAAACGTCCTCATAGATATCATCATAATAGTCCTGTTTTAAAAAAAAATGAGTATAAAAATATTAAATATGTGGAACCTAAAATAATTAATTGACCTCGGCAGTGCCAAAATGACTGGCCAGGAGCAGCAGGAACGAAAACGCCAAAAAATTTTGGAGCATGATTGATTGCGTACCAGCTACGAGCGACATTTTCCTGACACTAAGGAAACTATTAACAAAACTTCATCAGACTCATTATAACTTTCATCGGTTCTTTTATCTTGAACCTTTAACCTCACGTCAGAGTAACCACATCGCATAATTTTCCTCGGTCATTTACCGCATGAAAATGATTAAACGCACCATTTAATTAGAGGTTTTTCGGTTTAGTCTAATTACTTGGTGATAAGAGGCAGTCATTAAAATAAATCACAATCTTTTTTTTTGTATTATTATTCAACAGAAAAACTATTAAATACCATTAAAACATTCATGGTAAAGGTGTAAAATCACATTAAAATAGAGCAGGAACAGATCGGCTGAAGCGGCTCTTGACAAAACCACTACTCACTTATTTATCTGCAAATATGCAGTGCCCTTATCGAACAATTATCTAAATTTTAATTAAACATGCAACAGAGATCCCCGCGTTACAAAAGGGACACGTAGTGTTGATATTATGTTACAGTGGCAATTAATTTAATTGCAGTTGAGCTTAAATGTGGCCTCATATGGCATGTATATATTTTATTCGTTGTCCTACTGGTGCAATAAATGATTATTACGCAGTATATATAAATTCTTTGTTACATTTGTTATTAATTTCCCTCAAAAATGAAGACATTCATGAATGAAAAGTTGCATTAAGTAAGCTGCATTATTAAATTGGGAAAAATCTCAGTGCTCTAAAAAGATCATGTAATAGTTAAAAAATGTCTTCCAAGCCGAGAAGTATTATTGATTCCAGTATATGACTGCAAGCCAAAAACATTCCTAACTCCCCAATAAAAGAGAAAATATTTTTTTCTATGATTAAGTTTCAAGGAAGTGAAAGACCAGATGTTAAGCAGGGGACTAAATTTTGGGCAGCTTGGGCATCACTACCAGAGGGTTAGTCTGGCTGAGGTACTTGCGTCCGTCCGCTTTGTAGTCGAATGAGCAGTCGTGGGTCTCGGCGTAACGATGGGTGGCGCAAAACAGTCCCGAGCACCGGCACGTATGGCTATTTGTAATGTTGAGTCGGCGGCGACACACCTGAAATTTTAACAAAGAAAATTTTTTACGACTTAAAACTTTTTTCAAAAATACAAAATAACAAAACAAAAAAAAAGGTTTTTGCGTTCTCCTAAAAAGAAAAAAAAATTTTTTTAACGAGTTGAGCAAAGCTAATAGTCCTTTCAGACTATTATTAAAACATTTGCTCAAAAAAATTTTTTTTAAGTTTAAATTAGTTTAAATAATACTAATTTACTTTTCTATCCTTATAAAATAAAATGCAATTAAAATTATAGACACAATTTAATTATTTTTCATTTTATGTTGTATGCAAAGGTCCCTCCCTACCTTGCATCTCTTCTTAGCTGGTGGCGGTGCAAGGGAATTTGGCTCCTTGGTCACCTCTTTTGTCCATTGGCGACGTCGCACTTCTCCCAGAAGCCGGCACATATCTTTGGCCTCTTTCTGAACCGCCTGGTTCAGATTGTGGCCAACCACGTACAGCGTCTCAGGACTTGTTCTTGGCCTGTTGTCCAGAACGAAGTGGTTCAGGTGGATCTGCTTGACAAGCGACGGATTAGTTAAAGGGTCGGGGTTGGGAGTAGTGAGCTTCTGAGGGCCAATTGGCGGCAGCAGGGGTTTGTGATTGAAGTCGGACGAGGTTGCTGTTGGAGTTTCTGCTGGCGCCTCTAGCTGGCTATTTAGCTTCTTGAGCTGAAAGTTGAATTTCACAAGGATTGTGAATTAATCATAATATTTTGAATATCGTAGATAAAAACCTTCTTCTTTAGAGACAGCAGCTCAATTTTCTGTTTCAAATCCTCGATTTTGCTCTTTGTGATGGCGTTCTGCATTTCCCAAGAGTCAGTCGACAGGGCAGGCATGATCAAAGGCAAACGTTGGTCATCTCCGAAATCACTCGAATTACTTTCCCTGCAAAAATTGACAGATTTGAATATTGTTCCACTCTCAATTTTAATAGCCTTACATAAGCAGGTCAGGACTAGGCCAGTCTTCTTTCAGGGGAGAGAAGCTCCCGTCGTCATTTTTTACCATCTTCAGCAGGCTGAGGTACTCGCCCTCTTGCGTCAGCAAAACAATGTGGCTGCCCGAGGGGACTGGCTCAAAATCCCTTTTTAAAAAAAAAAATGGAAAATTTTACTTTCAATCTGCTTAAAACTTTGAAAAACCTACTGCTCAAAATCATCTCCGCTGCAGGCGAGTACTGGAAGTCTTTTAGTTGAGATAGGCCCTCCTCGCAATGACAAAACCAAACGCAATTTGGAACCATTTTTCAGACCGCACTCAGACAAAGTTGCAGTGTCGTTTTGCAGCTCTTTTAAATTGTAGATTAGGTGCTGGTGAGCCACTGGTATTCCTAAAAGGAAACAAAAAAATTGAACATTTTTAAACTTTTATACCATTTTCGGAATGACATTTATAATACTAAAAAATAAAAATCAAGAAGGATTTGTATAAATTTGAGGGAAATTTGACCTTTAAAATAGCCGCGAGCCAAAGATTTGAGGGTCAGATTGGCATAGGCCAAACACAATCGCGATTAATAGGTGGAAATAAAAATGAATGCCGAGAAATAAAAGCGAGATGTTTCGTGACTGCCCAATTATCGGTGGCGTGGAATAGTATTAAAGCGTGTCCTTGACCAAACGAAACGCACCCTCAACGTGTTGGATCTTCGATTTTATGGAAAGCAGCGTCTCAGAGGGCGAGGCGGTCATTTCGAAGGCCGTTCCTGACAGCGTCTCGACGATGATTTCGATTTGCTGGTGCTTGGAGGCACCAGGTGTGCCGGGACACCTGCTGGCCCGGTAGTTCAAAGGCTTCCTGCGGCTATTGCTTCTTGACATAATGTCCTCTCGCTCGCGACAAATTATAAAAAAAAAAACTGGTGTCCTTCGTTATTCAGACGAGCTCATCCTACCTCGGCTCGGCCCGTCAAACCTGCGATTATTTGCTGAAAAAAAGCAACGATCGAAACGAATTTATAGATTTGCAATCAGGAAAGAACCACGGATGGACGTTACCTAAGAGTGAAGGCGCCGTAATCAGGGGTGGTGGCGGTGGTGCTCGGCGAACGGCTCAATGCTAATGCATTTTGTGTTTTATTATTATTTTTCACACTCCCATATGATCGAGCGGGGTGCGGGTGGGGATGCGCAGGGGCCACGGCGCACGCGCTTTTGCCCGCGGCGCCCTTTAGGTACCTCATTAGTTCACCATAGCGGCGGGCACGTGGTCGTCCATTAATTTGTTTTTCAAATCAAGGAATTTCTAAAAATTTTCTGCAATAAATTCAGCGTGATTATTTTGAATTAAAAGCTCTTCTAATCTAAACTGTTCTATTTCTGTCTGCAAATTACCTTGAATTAAGTGTCCTAATATTTAACGAAAATTTAAAAGACGGCGTGAAGTCATAATATAAATTTTTTGGTTTTATTGGTGTTTAATTCTGTAATTAAATTTTTTATTTTTACAATTATCAAAATTTGAAATTTACTATGCTATATATTTTTCATTTTTCTTCACAAGGATGACTCTCGCAAATATAGAAATGCTGTACGTCACACTTATTATCGTTCCACAAATGGTTGTCTGCAGCCGAAATCTCTAAGCAATGCTCACTCCCAGATTGGGCGTTGTCTGGTTGACCTGGAGCCCAGTACTTGAAGCCGCTCACGGCAAGTCCCGTCGCCTCCCAGTAAAAATTACCCTCGTGTCCCAGGTCAGAGCCCGACGTCCAGAAAGAATCTCCAGGTCTTAAAACTATCATGAACCGATTCAATAATATCTCCAATTTCCTTTCATTATAAATTAATATGCGCACCGATTTGCTCCAGCATGGCATTGTTTTCCTCCGCACTTTCAATGCTCAGCAGCTTCATGCCTTTTGATCTGCAATCGTTTTTTGCTTGAACCCAGCCAGCCTTTAATAAAACATGTTATTAGGCACGTGCTATACAAAAAACTTTTACACGCACGTACCATACTAGTTGAAATCTCATAAGTTCCATTTCCAAAGGTAAATACTCTATTAGCTGCTCCTTCTAAACATTTTTAAATAGCACTATTTCAATTATTTTTATTTTGCATAGGAAATTCATCTTACTTGTCAATCCCCTAGTTTCAATCAAGCTCTAAAAATTCCAATAATCAAATTATCTCTCAATTATAGTAAGAATTAAAAATAGAAATACCGATTGGCCAGGTATGAGTGCACAGCTAATAGCAGCCAAGAAAAGAATTTGTGCTTGCGCCATTTTTTCCATTCGTGTCCCTATTAACACTCTCATATGCATCAGTTAGGTAGGAAGAGTAAAGTAAGATATTTTTTAGATAAGTGGTATTTGGCGAGAAAAATTGAGTGACACTTGAGAAAACTTTAAGATTATAATAGGGGACGTGTAAATAACATTATCAGCAGGATTGCTTTTTGTGAAAAATCGGTCAAGAGAAGAAGTGGCAATCAAAGCAGCTGAAATGTACTCTATAGTTAAATTTGCATTTCTGTTTGTAGCAGTTCAATCAGTGGTAATATTTAAATTTTTTTTCTTTGTTTTTTTCTTGTTAGCAGCTACGTAATTTAGCAAACATTAAGCATTTTGTTAAAAATTTCACATTTTTTTCAGGTATCTATACCAGCGAACGGCAAGTTTTAATTTTAAATGGAAATAAAATCAAAAAAATTCTAATAATATATTACAATTTTAGAAGATGAGAAGACATTGGATTTGCGTTTTGAGTATGGCAATGCCACTTACCTAATTTCGTCCATGCGAGTAAAATATTATTTGTTCTAAATTATGGATAATGCTGGGATAATGTTTTGCTTATGAATTTTAGCTTGACTGGTATCATGCCCGAAATTATTGCAAAGTTCAGGGAATGGATTTGGTAAGCATTGAGTCCGTCGGAGAGAACAGTGCCGTCATGAACGCAGTTAGTAAGTAATTAAAAATATGAGAAAAAAAGCTTTTCATCAAATGATTGCTGGGCATTCTTACTTTCAAAGGTGATATGTTGACTGAGTCATTTTGGATTTCCGGCTCTGATCTTTATCAGGAGGGTGCCTTTTACTGGGACTCGACGGGACGGGCCATTGGGCCCTTCCAAAATTGGGCCCCTAACGAGCCATCCGGCGATCGCAATGAGCACTGCGTCGAGCTTAACATCAACGTCAACCACTTGTGGAACGATGTTAATTGCGATCTGGAAAAGCTTTTCATTTGTGAGATGAACCCTTGCGTCTGATGATGATAAAAGCTTCAAGCTATAATAGAAAGAAAAAATAATATAATATATAAAAATATTTCCGTTTGTAAAAATAAATAAAGTCTTTTGCATTTCATTATGCCTATATTTTCAATATATATTATTTCCTTTTTTATTTTCAATAAGCAAGCAGGCATATTTTGGACAAGCTTAATTCCTCTATTAGAATCAATAAGATTTGCACTTAAATGCGACACATATTTGGGTCATAGTTCTTGACAAAAATGATTCTAAAAATTTCCAGGGCAAACAGTTGAAAAGTATTTAGTGCAGGAAGCATCGCAGTTTCCACCGCCATAATTTTACTTTTTGTATAATTTTTCCCTTTATTGTGTTAAGCGAGTCTCGCCCTCACATCTTGCACTAGCAAATCTTTATGTGACGTTAGATCTTTTTGATCAGTTAAGACTAAATTAATATTGATTACATGGAATATATATTTTCTCAAATTAAATGCACGGAGCTAATTAAGAAATTTTTCTGTGGATTATGGGGAATCCAATTAATAAAAAATATATTCATGCTCCTTGAAAACTTTCAATTGAGTAACAGATGGCAGAGTCGCTGTTAAACTGCACTTTGTTAGTGAGAACGCCAGCAGGTCAGTGACTTGGACTTCTAACTTGCGCGTCCAGACAAAGAGAATAATATGAGAGTGCACCGCTTTTCTTTTCTTTCGTTTTCTCTCTTTCTCTCTCTCGCTTGTCCGCGGAAGAGGCACGATTTTTACGTGCGAGGAGCGCAATACAGATCACAAGAGAGCATTGAACTAAACTTTACTTGCCGATCTGCACGACTTTTGTTTCATCCAAGAACCCCTACATCAAATTTCAAGCGTTTAAATCTCCAAAGGCGTTTTTGTTGTTTGCTTTTGATTAAATAATGAAATTCTTTGCTGTCATAAAAAGTCGAAATTGCGTGCTGCCTATTTCGGGTTTATTATCATTAGAGCGCCTGTGTGTCGGTGATTCACTCGCCCGCCTTGTGTGATGTGCAGATTGACGAGCATCCTCCCACTCTGATATTACGCGGCGCACAAAAAAGTCTCCGCGAACACAATCGCGATTTTTTGCTCTTCATAAGGATGCTGCGTACTCTGAAATTCTTATAATTTAAATTGCCACTGAAAGAACGAGAGCAGATGAAAAAGTGTAAATTAAATTTACTTGAAAATCGCATCAAAACTCAACGGCTTCATGATCAAGTGACTATTTTTTGCTCATCTTAAAACGTTCAAAATTAGTTACATAACAACATAACTCTGAACTACCAGCTTTTCCAGGAAGGAAGTAACTGAAGTACATATTTACAAAATTAATTTATTATTAAAAAAATCACATAAGATTAGAAATGATGCATATAAATAAAAAAAAATGAAATAAAATAATTAAAAAAATTTTTTTTCCTATTTTTAAACACTGTGGTAGTAAAAATTTTAATAAATAAATTTATGCAGTTGCTAATTTTTTTTCTTTACAATGCAATTGGAAAAACTGATAGCGCATATTTAGAGGGTGGGTGGTTGTCACGGTCTGCGGCTCCGCGACGCACACCTGCAATTCTGCCACTATACGTACCTTTGTAATATTTTGCTCACCGCCGCTTTTTAGCTTTTTTTATTCAGGGTGCTGTGCTGTTGAGCGTCACGAATTGCAACCGTGCGTCGGCGATGGAGCGGAGGGGTCCGCGGGGAGGGCCGGGTTTCCAGCCAACTTCCAGCGTTGCCGGCCGCCAAACAGCCGAGCCAGCGAACGCGAAACGCGAACAGTGTCGGTCTGCGCCTTGTTTGTGATACTCGCCCGCCAGCTGAAGCGCCGATCGCGGCTGGATTTTCGCGGAAAAGCGGCGAGAGCAGCTGATTTTCCACTGCCGGTGAGTTGATTTCGGTTCGCAAAAGATTCCTCTGCGTGATTTTTCAATAAGCCACTCGCAAATTTACCGCGTTTTAACACAAAGTCGCGCGATACTTCGAAAAAAACTTCTTTCGCTGCACGCCAGCTGATTCATCTACAGTGATACCGCCTTTTTCATATTTATTTACTTGCCTCCTCAACTCTTTAATTCCAGTGCTGATTCATAATAATTAATATTGAGGTATTTTTTATTTTATTGCGTTTGACTTTTCTACTCAATTCTATGATTAAATTAATTTTGTATTATATGTTTAATTTTCCATTGTCCTCAAGTACAAAAAAATATTTATAAATAAGCGTCTCAAGTTTAGCTAAAACATAATTAAACGCCGTCAATTCATATCAGTTTAATAGTTAATTTTGAATTATTTATGGAGCAAAATAGTATTTGTTTGAGACAAATTTTCTTCTACACATTAATTTCTGAACATATAATTTTGAAATTAATATGATAAATTATCAATGCTAAAAATGTTATTAAAAAAAATTGTTTTTGTCGGTTCAATATAAAATATTTATATTATTGGTACAACTAAAAATTATTTTTTTTTTAGCAAGAAAAACGGTATAAATTTGAAGTTGAGATTAGTGTATTTTTTTTTAAATTTTAATTCAAATTTTTAACAAGGAACAAATGTTGAATGAGAAACAACTTGTTAAATTTATAAATTTTAACAAATAAAGCAGCACACAATTGTGAGTTGTTTAATAAAGTGTGTAATGAAAATATTATTTTATTATTTTTAACTTTATTTTACTTTAAATTTGAAATGCAAAAGTGTTGCCATTAATTTAAATCAAACGTTAAAAGTACGCCTTTATTTTTATCGAAGTTAATAAAAGTGGTCGAAAAATTCGGATTAATCATCAAATTGATAAGTTTTGATTTCACGACTTCAATAAGCTTAAAATTTATCCCATGGTTTAATTTGGATGCTTCAGAATAATTAAAATTTAGCCTCCCATGGTGTTGATTAGCATCAACAATTACTGATTAGCATTGAATAGGGGCACTACTGGTAATCAGCAAGCAATTATCATCATACTCGGCTCTGCTCTTTTCATCTTTAATCAGGGGCCTTGAGGTGTCGATGAGTACGCGTCTGCGGAAAAATTCCCCTCGCAATTATGCAGAACCGACAAGTTTCCAATTCAACGCACACGCTGACAAATAACGAAAAGCAGAGTGCAATTACCGCTTACTTGTACCTAATAATAAGTATGCTAATTGCGCGTGAACCTCCGAAACAAGAGCAGCAGCTGCTCGGTCTCTTCCCTCTCAATGCAGATTTATTTCTCGGTCGAGGGCACGCGCGACTTACGAAATACCGATCTGAAAACGCGGAAGCGACACTTGCACGAAAAAAGTTAAATGCAATAACCCGTTACACTCCTTGCAACTCATTGCAAGGCAGGTAAAGATCTTCCGAAACCTGATTGCAACCGTATTATTTTCGAACTGGACTTTCCTCTTTTTTTAAATTCCGAAAAGGTCATCGATGTTCAGAATGTGCTGAGCACGGTTTATTTCCCTGGCAATGAATCTCTCGTCGGGGCGAGAAATTTTCATGAAAATCGGTGCCAGTCCTCGCGTTTCCGGTTTCGGCGCCGTTTCCGCTCCACGCCCCCGCTGCCGTGAAAACGAATCACCCTGACCGCTCCACCTGACCCTGAACACTTGGTCATCTCACTAGACTTAATTTTAGGGCAAGTTTTCAAACTCTCTTTTTGATCCTTGTTTAATAAAATTCATTAGATTATATTCTTTATGTACGATAATATAATATTGCTTAACATGGGATGAAAAACAAAAGTTATACATGCAACATTGGGTAGGAAAAAATGGTAAAATATAGGAAGTTGATATCATACTAAATAAATAGTAAAATCGGTTTCAAAACTCAGCAAAGTTCAGAAGGAATTTTTACTTTTATTTATCTTTTCAACTGTCGTCAGCTCCAACATGACTTTTTACACTCCTTTTTCTATTTCACACCTGAACAGTTTTTTGTGGAAAGGATTAGTCATGCACACACGGAATGCTGTTCGCACTCCATCCTGCTCGGTCAAATACTTTGTTTTTCATTTACAAATTTTTGTCACTCCGGGATTCCCATGCAGTGCATCAATCTCTCTGTATCTCCTTCTCACCGCCATTCGTCGAGTCAAAAAAGTATATAAAAAAAATTAGTGCGGCTCACTTTCTCCGGTCGGTAGCTCGGCGCCGACGAGAATGAAAAATTTGCACGCTGAGTTGGCCACGGCAACAATCCAAGCACATCAAACTGCCGCTTTTTACTTTTTCCTCGGCTGCATCAAAACGTATCTAGAAATGTTGAGAGACGCGTGAACTATTTCCAAAACCACTTCTATTGTTAGAATTTATTATTCCTTCGCACCTCAAATCGAACGGCCGTTAGATGCGTAAATTGCTGCTGGCTCATCATCGGTGATTGTGCCGTGCCGACTTCCCGCCGCAAGGGTAATGACGATCATTTCACTGTTTTCTTTTTCCTGCAATGCTCATTCTCACGTGGGACCCTGCACATATAAAAAAAAACTCCGCGGCCCCGTTTACACGAAACACATTTGAAAATTTTTACAGCGCCTTTCCTATATACTCGGCTCGATAATTGCTGGTGTGGAAAATTATGGCAGGCAAATCGCGGTACAAAGAGAGACGTCGGGACACACTTTTGATTTTGTAACCAATTCACACTTTGCACAATAATCTGCCCGCATAAGCCTCTGCAGTAATTCATGGGTGTCAGAATGGCCTGAATATTTTTATTCGATCAGATCATATTTACATTTAATTTAATTTTATTTCACTTTTTATTATTAATTTTATTCTAATTTCAACAGTAAATATTACTTCTTTCTAAGGAAGCATCTATTAAATTACACCTAAAAATATGTTTAACTATTTTGTTTCTTCTGAAAGTTATGTTTAATTATTAACTCTTCTTTCTTTCAGAAAAATTTTATTATATTTTTAAATCATTTTCAATCTATCCAAATTGTGTGTTTAAATTATAGGCCCAATGAAATAGAAACAAATTGCAAAAAATAAAATAATTGTCTATTAATTTTTTGTGCTCCTAATCTAGGCATATGGCAAGGATAGCTTAACAGCTTATGAAATGAAAAGCTCTGAAATAATTAATTATCTTTAGTTTTGAAGTGTGGTCCTGGGCGTCTTTTTACATTCCAATCAATCTGTCCTGATAAAAAAATGTCCTAATCAGTAGCTTTCAGATCAATTACGCGCGTGCGGTCCCCAATAAACGTTTAATGTCGTCACATTGCGATAACCATTTTTCTTTGAAATCCGCCTAAAAATTCTTCCCTCCCCAATATTCGGTTGACGCACACACGCCTTCTAATCAGCCATCGTGTGTACACTATTTTTACTGTTAATGACAGTGTCGGTGAATTCTTATGTTTTTACGCAAAAAGAAATTCCATTCCAATCTGATTTGCGGTTTTGTGGCGGCGCATCACTTTCTTCGGCCGAGTTTTGAAATGAGCTCTTATCATGAGAAGCACCTAAGATACATTATATTGTTATTAAACGCCATTTTCGCTTTTGAGAGGAAATTGAGCTGCATAAATATATCATCCGTTTAAGATAATGGGTTAATTTGGTTCCAAACGCTGCCCCTGCATTGCAGGATGCACGCTTTGCTGGAGAAATTTCTCGCTTGTACATTTCATATTAGAGGGGTCGTGTTATCAAGAATCAAATTTAATAGTCAGGTGCAGTGATCTTATTAAAAAAGAAAAGTGCAACTTATTTCTAAATGTAAATAATTTTGAACCGAAATATTGTGGAAACTTTAAATAATGTTCATTTAGAAATTGGTGAAAAATTAAATCTCAGAATGTTTTGCCTCAAATTTTGTTTATTTTTTAATTGAACTAAAAAAAATCTTTATTAACATTCTAGCTGTTTCTATATCCCCAAAACTGGAGAATGCATATTAGGCTGCAGAAAATTCCACACACTTGTAGAGTGAGCCGCGCTCGCGCCCTTTTTTGGACCAGATGAGTCACTTATTCAGGCTCCTGACTCCCATTCAGAAAAAAAATCGACCTCACATCAAGTTATCAGCATGGTCGTTGTTAATTTTGTTCTTGGAGTATAAAAAAAATCGCTGCGCCTGTTAAAAGTTCATTTCTCGCGCTTCGAACGTTCATTCCCGTCAAGTCACGAAAGGGAAGCCGCACAAGGTTTAACCTGATTAGCAGGGTGTTACGTGAGCGAGAAATGGAAATAACTGTTACGTTGGTTCATTCGCTTTTCAGCCCCGGCGTGACCACGCTTCGGCGTGTGATTTGTATTGTGTGAGCAGCAAATTTTCTTCTTTCTTCCGCTTTGTTCACCCAAGCGTTTCGCGTGCCGTTTTGGTAGAGTCAAATAAAAATACGCCGCTCAAAATGTTTATAAGCAGTTTCGAAAGTATAATTTTATCACTCGCACCTCCATGCCGTAATCAGACCGCTTTAATTAACTACAGTGGTTGACAAACTTGTTATTCGCGTGCTACAACAAATACAAATTACAGTCTGTCCGCGATATCCTACCGACTTTTCGTGTTTTTGGGGGAGGAGCCCAATTTTAGGAAGCTTCGCGCGGATGTGCAGCTGGAATGCATTCCAATGCAGTGAGGCCTGCACGCGTGTCTCCTTTTGCTACCTTGCTTTAGCCTCCTTGCTCAGGTAGGCCGAGCTAAACCGGCACTCTGTGAGATTTTGATAAATTTTAATTTCTAACTTTGGGTGAATAGATGATCACAAAACTACTATGGGTAAATATGTTTTTTCAAAATTTAAATAATGCGGTCTCACATACTTTTTTCAGAATTAAATTATTTTATTTTTTATTAATACTTGAAGGTATTTATTTTTTAATTTCCAGTTGTTGATTTCCATAAATATTAAAATTATTTTTATTTTATTATCTTTAAATGATGATTATAATTATTATGGTGCTGAACTGGTGCTGAAAAAAGGAAAATGAAGAAACTCAAATTAAAATAGGAGTTTATATCCATTTCTATTTTATCGTTATTAAAATGAAAAAAAGGAAAAAATTGTTTTTTTTTTCAAATTTTAATTAATTCTAAGGATAAAAGAAGTTTTAACTTAACAAAAATATCTACTTTGAAAAATTATTTTTTGAACAAATGTCAGCATTTTAGTAAAATAGTTATTAATATTTTTTTATTTTTAAACAGACTGAAAACTTTTGAATCAATCAATGTGGTACTATGTTTGTAATATAAAAGTCAACATCGTAAAATAATATTGTAATACTGAATTAAATAATAAATAAAAAATAATAAGGCTAGTTATGCCCAAATTATCCAGGGTTAATTGAATATTTAAATTTTTGTGATGCAAAAATATTAATTTTTGGGTCATTTAAAATTTAATTCCTCAATTAGAAGTCAATATTTTGGTACGTATTCCAGCCTTTATAGCCGAGTTTTTCTCGCACATAGTTTCAGTAAAACCGTGTAAAAACCATTAAAAAAATAATTATTTATGGTTTGAAAAAAAAACAGAAATTTTAATTTTTTTAAGCCTCTATATCAATTAAAGTCATTTTTTTTTAAATTTATATAATTAATAATATTTTTTTGTTCATATATACTTCTCATCTATTCACCCAAAGTTAAGAAATTAAAATTTATCAAACCTACAGTGTGCCCGTCTTATTGTTAGCTCGGCCTACCTGAGCAAGGAGGCTAAAGCAAGGTAGCAAAAGGAGACACGCGTGCAGGCCTCACTGCATTGGAATGCATTCCAGCTGCACATCCGCGCGAAGCTTCCTAAAATTGGGCTCCTCCCCCAAAAACACGAAAAGTCGGTAGGATCATGGGTAGGATATCGCGGACAGACTGTACACTCTGACGCGGTGCTCACAATTAGATTACAAAATGATTTTTTTTAGCACTGAAACATATTTTTTATCATTTATATTTTATTGCATTCAGAAATCCGTAAAATACCGTCTATAAAAAACATTGCAAAAATAATAATAAAATTTTGTAAATCAACCTATATAACTAGAAAGAAACAACTTATTGCATACGCTCTCAGTGGCAACACCATTTTTTCGCTTATCAGTTGATGAGCTCATTTCCAAAATTATCTTATCACCTGATATTTGAGCGACTGGCAGACCAAAAAGTCGTACATTAGTGCTCCCTTTTGAAGTGCAGCTTGATTATTCAGGGAAAATTTTCCGTCTTGTCCGCAGGCATGTTTGAGCGGCAGAAGGTGTGGGTGCCTGACCCGCAGCATGGCTTTGTCCAGGGGCGCATCCTCGACCTGGGTCTGGACGAGGCCACTGTGCAGCCCTTTGAGCGATCAAGGAACGCTTTCGTCTGCGGCCTTGACCGAATTTACCCGGCCGAGGAGGATGACAACAAGGAGGTGGACGACAACTGTAAGTTCCTGCCCATTAAAAACGATAAATTACTATTTTTTAATTCAACTGATATAAAACCACAATTTATTTTAATTATTTTATGTTTGAAGGTGGTTTGATGTTCCTGAATGAAGCCACCCTTCTGCACAACATCAAACTCCGTTACAGCAAGGACAAAATTTATGTATGTTATTGATAATCTCTTTATTTTAAATTAAAATTAATTTTGTAAATGAAATTCTAGACGTATGTAGCCAACATATTGATTGCGGTCAATCCGTACATTGAGCTGAAGGGACTATACTCAAGTGAGACCATCAAAAAGTACAAGGGCAAGTCCCTGGGAACAATGCCACCTCACGTTTTTGCCATAGGTTTGATTCAAATCTGCTAAAATATGAGCTATTTTTAATTAATAAAAATTTTAGCTGACAAAGCATTTAGAGACATGAGAGTTTTGAAGCAGTCGCAATCCATCATTGTTTCCGGCGAATCTGGAGCTGGAAAGACAGAGTCGACTAAGTATTTGCTGCGGTACATGTGTGACCACTGGGGCTCTTCTGCTGGACCGATCGAGCAGAAAATCCTTGACGGTCAGTTGGCTATAAAATTGATGGCCACCATAGATTTAAATAGTACAAGTGGAAGTGGAATACTAAATAAATGCAAAATATTTTGTAGCTAACCCTGTTTTGGAGGCTTTTGGCAACGCCAAAACGACGAGAAACAACAACAGCAGTCGATTTGGAAAATTCATCGAGGTTCACTTTGACGCAAAGCACCAAGTGGTTGGTGGATTTATTTCTCACTACCTGCTGGAGAAGTCGAGGATTTGTTTCCAAGGCCCTGAGGAGAGGAACTATCACGTCTTCTTCCAACTCTGTGCCGGTGCTTCTGATAAACTCAGGCAGCAATTGCACCTTACCAAGCCAGATGACTTTCATGTGTGTTAAAAATTGTTAATATAAATTTTGCCCAAATTTCATTTGTTTAAAATTTTTAGTATTTGAGGAATGGATGCACTCAGTATTTTGTGAGCGGCAAAAGTAAACTCAGTAGCAGTGTACTGAGCCAAGCTCATCAGGCCAAAGGTGGGCTCAAGGACCCAATGTTGGATGATTCCAACGACTTTATCGAAATGGACAAAGTAATTTTTTTAAACATTTCTCAATTGTTATAAAAGACTTCCAATTTCCTTTCAGGCTCTGTCTCGTTTGGGCCTGCAGGAACAGGAAAAGTTCTCCATTTACGCAGTTGTTGCAGCCGTCCTACACCTTGGGAACGTTTCCTTTGAGGAGAATCCTGAGGACACAAAAGGTTTAGGTTTTAATAGGTATAAAGTGAAAATTTCAAATAAAATAATTTTTAGGTGGCTGCCGCATTTCTGGCTCCTCCGAAAAGGCACTGACCCTTGCAGCTGGTCTCATTGGTGCTGATAGAGAAGAACTCCGGCAAGCTCTTGTGTCGAAAGTCATGCAGACTAGCAGAGGGGGCGTCAAGGGCACTGTTATTATGTTAGTTTTCCTATACCCATGAAAATGAAAATAAAGTAAAAACTTTTTTCCTTTAGGGTGCCTTTGAAGGTTTACGAGGCTAATAATGCGCGGGACGCATTAGCTAAGGCCCTTTACAGCCGCCTCTTTGATTACATTGTTGGCAGAATCAACCGAAGCATCCCCTTCAAAACGTCAAGCCACTACATAGGTGTGCTTGACATTGCTGGATTCGGTTAGTTTTTCTCTTGCTAGTAGAAATTTTAAATTTTTAATCAAGAATATTAAATTTTAGAGTACTTCACTGTGAACAGCTTTGAGCAGTTCTGCATCAATTACTGCAATGAGAAATTGCAACAGTTTTTCAACCAAAGGATTCTCAAGGAGGAACAGACTTTGTATGAAAAGGAAGGTCTCAATGTCAAGAAAATTGAATTTGTTGACAATCAAGATTGCATTGGTACCTGAATTTATTGTCATTTTAATTAAATACTAAATTGTTTATTGTAGATTTGATTGAGGCCAGGGGCAATGGAATTTTCAGTCTGCTAGACGAAGAGTCAAAGTTGCCAAAGTCAAGTGGCAGCCATTTCACCACTGAGGTCCATTCTCGTCTAGGTGGACATTTCCGCCTTGCTCTTCCACGAGCTTCCAAGCTCAGGTAATTTTGTTTAAGCTAATGCATTCAAAATTAAACAAAACCTTGTTACAGGGATCACCGTGAGGTGCGAGATGATGAAGGTTTCCTGGTGCGCCACTTCGCAGGTGCTGTTTGCTACCACACAAGCCAGTTCATAGAAAAGAACAATGATGCTTTGCACGCCTCTCTTGAAGGCTTGGTCCAAGAGAGTCAGAATCCTTTTGTTCAGAACCTATTCTCCAATGCCTCTCAAAGTCAGCAGAAAGGAAAACTCACTTTCATCAGCGTCGGCTCCAAGTTCAAAACACAACTTGAGGAACTCATGGAAAAACTTCGAAGCACGGTAAGCTGAAATGATTTTTTTAATTGTATCATTTTCACATAACCATATGTTTTTAGGGGACCAATTTCATCAGGTGCATCAAGCCCAACATTAAAATGGTTGACCACCAGTTTGAGGGGGGCTCGATTTTGTCTCAGCTCCAGTGCTCAGGCATGACATCAGTGCTGGAACTGATGCAGCAAGGCTTCCCATCAAGAGCGCCTTTCTCTGAACTCTACAACATGTACAAGAACTATTTGCCACCCAAGTTGGCTCGACTTGATCCTAGACTTTTCTGCAAGGTCTATTACAGAAAAATATTTTTTCTATGTTTATTTATAAAAATTTATTTTAGGCTCTCTTCCAAGCTCTGGGTTTAAATGAGAACGACTTTCGATTTGGATTGACGAAGGTGTTCTTCAGGCCTGGCAAATTTGCTGAATTTGACGAGATCATGAAGTCAGACCCTGAAAATTTGGCTATGCTGGTAGCCAAAGTGCAGAAGTGGCTGATTCTGTCTCGTTGGAAGAAGGCGCAGTACGGAGCCCTTTCTACGATTAAATGTAAGTTAATAATTTGTGATATATTAGTTTTTCTTAAAAATCAAATTAAATTACATTGCAGTAAAGAACAAAATCATATATCGAGCAAAGAACTTGGTGGTCATCCAGAAAACTGTTCGAATGCACTTGTGCCGCAAACAGCACCAACCACGTTACCGTGGCATTGCAAAAATCAACAGCCTCAGTTCGATGTTGACTCGTATGGAACAGTGCATTGGCCAGATGAAGAAAGACAAAGAAACTAGTGCTGCTGAGGTGACCAAGCTGAAAAAGGATATGACGGCCGCCATTCAAAAAATCAAGGTCAGTGCTCTCATAATTAAAAAAAGGTATTTACATTTTGGTGTGAAAGTGCAATACTCACTGATAACAATTTTTGGTTCACACTAGGCTAATCCAAAGATAAAGCCATCTGAGGTTAGCTTGCTGCACACTCAGTTGATGAACCAGGCTAACACTTGCATGGCAACTGTGCAAAAGAGAGTTGAGACACAAAAAATCGCTGAGGAGCAAGAGAGAATTCGCAAGCTTCAGGAAGAGATGGAAAGAGAACGAAGGCGCAAGGAAGAAGAGGAGCGCAAAAAGAGGGAGGAAGATGATACTAGGAAGAAGTACATAATCATTTTATTTTTATTTTTTAATTTTATTGAGGAATTTAAATTTGAATATACTTGCAGAAAAATGGAAATGGAGGCCAGAAGGAAAATTGAAGAAGAGGAAAGAAGGAAGCTTGAGGAGGCTGACAAACGTCTTGCTGAAAAGCTTCAAGTAATTAAATTTTTTCACCATTTAGTAATAGTGTTAAATGTATTTTTTGTTTAGGCTGAGATGGAAAAGGAAAATTCCAAATTCAGGGAGCAAATTGAACAGGAGCGCAGAGATCACGAGTTGGCCTTGCGATTGGCTCAAGAAACCCACAGTCAGGTCGAGGATATTTCGGCGCCTGTCAGGAGGTAATTTTTTTTATAAATCTCATGCTTCAAAGTCAATGTAAATAAAATCAAGGAGAGGGAATTTTTTACAAACCGAGCACAAAAATGCACTTTTTGCAATAAATAATGTTGAGAGGGACAATTTTCACAGCAATTTACTAAATTAAAGGAATAAAATAAGTTTCCTATTATACATCATATTAGTGCTTCAACTTGTGGGTAAAATGTCTTGTTTCTTGTGAGTGTGCTTTCTGTCTCTGACTGTGTGGTGTCTCAATGTCTGTCCACAGCTCGAACAGGTTGGCTGATCCCAAGAGCCCCAACAACTTCAGACTCAACAGGTAACCAATTCTTTAAGAGAATGTCTGTAGCTTGTTGCAGTTTTGTACATATGTTTAATTTGTTAATAGTTTTTTTTAATCTTTGGTGATAGGCAATCTTATCAATGACCATTCCTCATATCGCATATATTTGGCAAAATGTTTAATTCCTGGACTTTAGTCAACTTGAAACCAAGCCTCATTGTGGAATAAAATTTCTTTTTGGTCTTGATTTTTTCCTCGAGTGGCAGCGCTGTATTTTGTCTAGAGACATTTTTCCTCTTACAAAAAGCATTACCCTTTTTCATTCCATGATCTCTTGTTTTTTTCTCATTAGTTTAAACAGAATGGGGCAAAAAATGTATTTAGTTACTCTCAATTAGTGAATTAATGTAAATTCTAAAATGATAATTATCTGGAACAGGTCCGAGAATGTTAGAGCGCAACAGGCGGCCAACAAGGGCAAGTACGACCTCTCGAAGTGGAAGTACTCTGAGCTGAGGGACACGATCAATACCTCTTGTGATATTGAACTGCTTGAGGTAATGTTTTTCACCAATTATTTGCAGATAAGAGAGTAACATTGTAATGACGCAGGCGTGCAGGGTTGAGTTTCATCGCCGCCTTAAGGTTTACCATGCTTGGAAGGCCAAGAACAAGAGACGTAGCACCATGGAAGAGAACGAGCGTGCGCCTCGTTCCATCATGGAACAAGGTCGGAATTATTTGCTATTTTTTAATATAAAAAATGTTTATTGAGTGTCATTATCTAAATTTTAACAGCAAACAAGCCTTTGCTGCATGTGAACAACAATTCTGCTGCCAGAGTGCCCATCAACACTGAGCAGCACCGCTTCTTCCGCATTCCTTTCATTCGGCCAGGCGCTGGTGTCCAGAATGACCAGAACCACAAGAAGGGCTGGTGGTACGCCCACTTTGATGGACAGTACGTTGCCAGGCAGATGGAGTTGCACCCTGAGAAACAGGCCATCCTTCTTGTAGCAGGTCAGTTTTTATAGAAGTTTTTTTATTTCATAAATCAATTATAAAACGGATTTGTAAAAACACTCAATTTGGGATGATTGTTGTCCAGGGGTGGATGACATGCAGATGTGCGAGCTCAGTCTTGAGGAGACCGGGTTGACCCGCAAGCGAGGCGCTGAAATCCTCGAGCACGAATTCAACCGCGAGTGGGAGAAAAACGGCGGGTCTCCCCACAAGCCACGCGCCAAATAACACCATTTCTTTTGAACCTGGACCGACCCCTAGTCAGCTGCTTTCAAACTCAATTTTTAAATAGCTGGCGGAAAGAATTTTCTTGTAATATTTGGGGCGCCACAAACTGAGCATTCATTTCCACCAATGTCAGCATTACTTTTTTGTCGTTTTTATTCCAAAGTTGTGGCTTGTAGTGAGCTCTGAGCCTTTCTTCGTATGAAGGTAGTTTAGAGTGTCACTTGATTTTTGTGAATTAATTTAGCACAATAATTAAATATTAACTTATATCTGCAGCTTAGAGAGAAAGAAAAATTTATTTAAATTGATGTTCAATAGTTTTGATTACTGAATGCTTAATCCATGTTTTGTGAGTTTTAGAATAATTGTTGATTGATTCAAATTATCTACTTAGTTGTGCAATATTATTACTTGTTTGTTTTTTTATTTTATTTTTTAGATTTAGCGTTGGGAAGAATAGTGTATTTGGAAACTATGTAATTGAAGCGTCCACCGTTTTTGTAGTGAATTAAATTTATTTGCACGTCCAATGAACAAAAGCTTTATAATTGCATTTTACTATTTTTTTTCCATTTCACATAGATCTTTGGTTATAAGTTTAACACAAGCAGGAAAGATTGTGAAGGGGACGCCGAGAATTGATTCCTTTAAGGCTCAGATTATGCGACCAGTCCAGTCTGAGGAGGGTGCCTCCGCAGGGTGGGTTGGGCGCGGAATCAACTCAGCAAGCGGCCATAACTCAAAAATTTTCATCTGATGTGGCCGCTTTTGAGTGTATCAAACGTGGTTGTGTTTGCTGAGGATAGGTCTCAGCAACAGACTCTTAGTCAGCTTCGAGAAATGAGTTTGGATCTGTAAAAAAAGCAGGTTAAGTGTTTGAATATTCAAATCGGTCAAAAACTCTCTTTAAATTGGTTATTTAATTGATCAGTTTTTTTTAATTCGCAGTCCAATTGGATTTTGCTTTATATAGATTTGGAAAGGTTTATTGATATTTTTCTTCTAAATTGGAAGCGAAACAAAATGAAATTACCAAACGAGAGAATGTAGTTGGTATTTACCACACTGTAGAAGAGACAGTGGGTGGGCAACTCGTCTTCACCATTGGGGCAGTCACGCATGTGGTCGCACAGTTGAAATTCTGTCACACACCGCCACTGTCCATTTGTGTCCGGGGTGGGACAGAAGAAGCCTGGACTGCCCTCTTCAGTATCTGGACATTCTGTAGAAAAATAGGGAAAATATCATAAGAATGCTGCAATGAGACTAAATTTCAAAAATTCTTTTTGCACTTTATTTTTATTTAATTATTTGGTCAAAATAGCAATCATTATAATTTTCCTTAGTAAATGGACAAATGGAGAGCATTTAGTAAATTAAATTTCGAAAGGCAAGAAAATTTTTACTGTTAATGGAAAATATCCTGGGATCAGCAGCACAGAACGCCTTTTGTTCTCTTCTCTGTGCGCAGTGAACATTTAATTTGGTCAAGGGAGGACAAAATCGAGGGCTAATCGTCGCCGGTCCTATTATTCGCGGCAAATTTTGCGCCAAATTAATTGCGCGTTTGCCATCGTATCCGAAATAATGGGTTGAATGGGAGCGACGAGGCACGTATACGTTGCTCGCGCACCCAGAGGTCTGCCCTCTGAGAGAGCTGCTTGCCGGTAGTCGGAAAACGAACAAAAAGAAGCGAGAGGAAAATGCAAAGTGCGTGGGGGCATTTTTCTTTGGGGCTTCTCATCAGCTAATTGAGTTAAATCCGCGCCACTCAAGCAAGAAGATATGTATCATAATGTTTTGGAAACATGATTGCAAATTAATTGAGTTATAGCGCCGCGAAAGTTTGAGCTCTAACTAATTGGTGCAGCAACTGCGAACCATTTTTCCGCGTTCATCTGATTCCCCTCGAACAGGATTATTATTATTTATTACATTTTTTCCAATTAAAATTTAAATAGTAGATCGTCAAGTGCCTGTAGCTTAAATCAAGAAAATAAAAATATCAAAAATAAAACATTTGGTACAACTTTTGTTAATTGAAATTCCGCATACTGGTGCGTAGATTGCAGGATTAATTGTCTTCGTCTAAAGAATACAAAATGTGGATTGCTTACTAGATTGTTACGGTAAATAATTCTGGGCAATAAATCAATGAAAAATTCGGCTTTTGATTTAATTATTAGGAAATTTTTTAAACTGACATCAGGCCGGCGCCAAGCATGAGAGAAGTTTTCCCAGGAAGCGCCAAATTAGCGCCAGTCTCTATTCAATTTCCTGCCTTGTCTCTTGCTTTGTAGGCAAATCAATTTTTAACCCTGCCGGGATCAGTTTTATTTTTTAATTAGTTATGAAAATATGAGAATACATCATTTCCATATTTTTTAAGGCATTATTTAATTATTGAACAACATTGTATTCCTGACAATCCTCACTGACAATAATTTCTAAATGATCAGAGACGCTTATAAAATTTAAAAATATTTAAAAAAAAGATGATGAAAATGAAATAAATCTTTTCTGTTATTCACTCTACTCATCTACTGCGTTTGTTTGTAATTTTAGAAGGAGAGAATCAAGTGAAAAAGAGTAGTATAGCATCGTTAATTTTTGTGTGTATTTTTTAAATAATTAAAACTTGATCTTGAGAATTGGAAAAATCTCCACACACTTACCTCCAGACCGTAGCCAAAATAGGTATTCGCTGTAAGGATGGTGTTTTGAGTGACGTTTTTCATCCTGAACCTCCTCCTGGTCGTCATCTTTCTCTTGCTGCACGCGCTGCACCAAGCCAGGTGACAGTAGAGCGCCTAAATCTGGCATCGAGGCTTTGGAAAAAATCAAAGGAAATTAAATCTATTTCACATTTTTATTCTTCACTGAAGTAATGAATAATGATACAAAATATGTATACACAAAATAAAGCGGAAATCGCTCAAGAATTTAAGATTTTTAATTATGGTCTCGCTAGGATTGAACGTAATTTACTAGTAAAAAATAAATTATTCTATACACTTTGTCCAAACAAATAAAGAATTTCTGCCATACCTATGCTTCGCTTGGCCTTTGACGACTCGGAGGTCGCAGGGGTTGAGAGGCCCCCGATGAGCAGCAGCGCTGTCAACACCACCGCCTCTCGATGCATCTCGCACTGACACAACAACCCACCCCTGGCTGCCCGCTTTATACCCCTGAGGAGCACGCGACAGCACCCCACCTGTTGGCCCGCCCACGTTGCTATGGAGGCAGCGCCGCCTCCGGTGCCCATTCAGCAATTGGGCATGGGCATCCCTTACAACAACCAGTAATAAGCAATTTTTCAAATAAATTTTTTTAACGCAGTTTTTGATATTAAAATTTTCTTTGTTTTATCATTCTTAAAACAACAAACGCAAAAAATGAGTAATAAATATTTATTATAAAAAATATCCTAAATATTTGGGCTGACGTAATTTTTTGCGTTTCAGTTTTTCTTTATTAATTTAGCCTGTTCATTGGCGGGCGGGTTGATGTGCTGCAAAAAAGAATTTGCGCACTGACAAAGGACTTTTTTCTCTCTCTATGCATAACTGTTGGACTCCTGGCCTACCATGCTGTGATCGCATTTAAATTCTTTTGATACGCACCTAATGGAGCAGCGGCCTTTTTTGCATCTCCCTTAGCTTTCCACCGCTGACATGATACTCGTACCTTTTTCCACTCGCTCCGGAAAAGAAAGGAGCCAGGTAAAATCTCGAGGGGGCAAATTTCGACTCTATTTTGAGCCACCATGTGAGTAGGCGTTGTTTTTTTTTTGTAAAGGAGGAAAAAAGGAAAAACCACTCATTTTCTTTTCATTTCAGAATTTTTTATTAAAAAATGTCAGCACTTCGCAAGTCTTGTGATTTTTTCACAAACATAATTGTTTAAATGCAATTTAATTCATGTCTTACTTAACACTTAAAAATAAGTTTCAAAATTGATTTGAGCAATAACGTTTTTATTGAAATATTTTGGGGAGAGCGACAAATATGTATATTTAATTTCCTATAGCACACTGGCGATTGTTCCCATCATCGTCCTACACTTAAGGGACTGCTCTTTGTCAACTATACAATTATCTGGTGAAGTTTTTTTTCTGCATTTTTACTCTGTCAGTTCTCTGTAGTGATTGGACAAGCATAGTTCTGAATAAAAATTATTTAATTAATATTTGTGATGTTTTCATAGAATCTTGATCGGTTTGGCAAATTATATTCTCCTTCTGTTCACATCCAGAATGCCACTAACAATGACAAAATCGTACAAAATAAAGCTTATACAGTATTTATTTAATTAAAGGCACGTTGGAATATTAAGTATTTTGGGAGCGATTCAAATCACATTCATGACTAAAATAAATAAGAACACACTTTCTCATTTAATTTAAATATATCATGATTATTTCTAATTTGTTTTCAGATTTAATACTTACGTTGTAAAATGTGCTGAAAAAATAATTAATTTTGATTTGACCAAAAAGCTATAAAATGATTCTGTGAATCGCTCTCAAATATTTTAAATAAAACTATATAATGAGCGTAACAAGCACTGTAGTTTGTTTCAGTAACATTACAAAGTATATAATATAATGCAGGACTAAATTTAATTACACAGTTTATTTTGTCCGCATCACTAATCAAAACTCTAACTCTCCAAACATAAAAGTTTGACTATAATTGTAAGGAAATCTGCTCATTTTTTTCCACTCGCACCCCTACACCTGGATCGAGTTGTCATCTCTTCATATATTGTAATTATTAGTGTCAAAGTCCGACCCGACACTGATTTCAGAATTTCGGCACTGCGGTTCACGTTGATTTTTTCCCGCGGTACAGGACACCCGCCGCACGTTGGCGCTCCTGTCTCGAGGGGATTGAGTCAGTCTTTGTTCAGCTCGGATTGTGTCTCCGGACTTATTGTTGGATGACGAATTTGTGCCAATTTTCCGTCGCAATCAGTGGTGATTTCGTGATTCGTGTTTCCACTACTTGCAAGTGGTGCCAGGAGGACTCCAGCCGCCCATCAGACGTTGCAGTTCTTGGGCGACGGCGATGCTCAGACGGTCCTGGTTTGGTCCGGCGACCACCTGTGGGCAAAAACAAGCTGCGGCGTCAACACAAAGGTATGTAATTATCAGTGGTGAAGGGTTGATTGCGATCGTTAGGCTCCTATTGAAGACGAGGTGGTAAACAAAAATTATTCTATTGATTCGTCGTTGATTCTTCAGTTCCATATCGGTCTCGAAAATTTGTAACGTTTTTTTAGCTTCAGACCTTATTTAGCTTTTGGAGTGTGAATAACATGGTTTGATTGAGGGAAAATATTTTACTATTTGTTTTGCGTGGGTCACGAGCTCAATTTTATCGATTTGAATCCACATATCGTTTACATTATTTTCAGACAGAAAATTTTTATGAATTTAAAAAAAAAATTATCACTATTTTCAAGAGTAAAATATGAAATGGAATTAATTTTATTCTTGCTGAAATTTTTTGTTTTGTTAATTTATGATAGAAAAATTAATTTTCAGTTTGATAAAGAACTAGATCGACATAAAAATTTTAGTCATTGAAAAAGTAAAGATAGCTGATTTTTTTTATGAATATTTTCAAAGATTTTAAGTTTTTTGTCATATTCTTAACACATATTTTGGAGGAAAAAGTTTCCAATACTAATTTTATAATTTAATTATGCATCTAAAATATTTCTGAAAATTAAATCCAAGAGATCATTTGAAATTTTAGTAGTTATTTGCAAGGTCAATTTGGAGAGCCACCGTTAAATTGTATTATTTTATTTTTTTTAGTGTTTAGATAAAAAATTTCATTGATTTATTTTTTGAAATGTTAAATTTTAAAACTAGATTACATATACATTAATCAATTAATTGATTTAAAAGGAAATCTTATTTAAATTTAATAAAAGTTTTTTAGTTTTTTAAGATAAATTGTTTAAAAAATTTAAGCTCCTCAAGTTATTATCTCTGGCAATTTAATTTAGATACGACTTTGATTTAATTACAAATTAAGATCCGGAACTTATTATTTAAACGCCCAATATACATTGAAAATATTTTTGTATGATCTTAAAGTTTATATAAATATAATATGTAAGAGTTAATCGCACCTGGAAGCCGAGTGGCAGACCCTGCGAGTTGAAGCCGATGGGCACCTGCGTGGAGGGCAGGCCAAGCGTGTTGATGGCCATGGCGTAGAGAACCCCTGAGGTCTTGACGTACATTTCGTGGTGGAAGCCGGCAGGCGTGGGGTGAGTGGGGTAGAGGAGGACGGCGTCATCGCCGAGCATGAGACTCAACTTCTTGCTCAGGGCCTCGTTCTTGGCCAGGTAGTGCTGGAACTTGCCCTTCGGAATGAAGCAGTTGACGTCGCGCAAAAAGTAGAAGGCCAGCGTCGAGAAGGCCAACTTGGACAGGCCGAAGCAAGACTTGAGGATCTCCACGTACAGGTTCAGACTCTGCTTGGGGTTGTACGGGTTGTTCAGCAGGTCGGGGATGCCGTCCATGCCAAAGAACACCGCCGAGCTGATCTCCAGCGATTGCCCGAATTCTTTTAGCTTCGCCTGCGAAATTTCAATTTAGTTATCATCATGACATGAATTTTTAATAAAAAATCAAAATGTGTACATCTGGTACATACTTTGTCAATTGCACCTTACACAATTACTTTACCAATTGTTGAAATTATATAATTCTGCTGCGGAGAGAAATCAATTTGAACTTTGAATTTTTTTCTTGTTTTGCTCCGATCGGCTCGAGTTTGTTGTTTATATTGAAGAGTCATTCATTTTTTTCCCATGAATATTTGAAAGATTAGTTAAAAACCTGCAGTTCCCTTAAAAATTTATATTGGTTTAGCTTTATAAGCTCTCAAGTGTTATTAAAATCAACATAAATAAATTACTTAATTTATGTGGGTAATTTTTTGGCACATGCATAATACTGTAAATTTGTAAATTATTTCTTCACGATTTAGTGCACTTGAATTTTAATTTTTAATTGGTGTTTTTTTTTCTTCAATGTGGGTGGGCTTTTGAACTATTTTGGACTTCCAACCTTCTCCACGTAGACATTATGCTCCTTCCTCAAAGCTTCAGCCGAGTTCCTGATGCACTTTTTGATTGACTTGTCCACTGGCAGCACAGCCATCGAAAACCCTGCGTCTTCCATGTAGTAAACTCTCAACTTTGATATGTCCACCTGCACAGAAATCACTCAATTTCAATATTGAAATTTGGAATTGTCACTTTTTTTGTCATCTTCAGATTTGATTTCTTTTTGTTCAGCCAAATCTTTTTCTATTCTATACCCACTTTTTCGTCCAGTCTGAGCTTTTTGGCGTTTTCCCCTGAGAGAACTTTAACCATAGGGTTGAGGTCTTCTGCGTATCTGGCCATTGGACCCACCACAAGGTACTTGAGGAAGTTCGGGTCTTCATCCACATAGGGATAGTGGCCCATAATAGGAATCACTCCTGAAAAAGCGGAATTCAAAATGTCAGTAGAAGTTAAAGGTTTAAAAATTTGGGAAAAGATTTTTGGACTTTGTCCATATTTTATTTATACATCGCCTCATTGCTGCTTTTGTATCAGGGGCAGGACTCTAAATAAAAATTCAAAGAACTTCAAACAAGAATTTCAAAAAATATGGAACCAAGAAGCAAGCGGTAAATAAATTGCTTACAAACAAAGCAGTAAAAAAAATATTTAAAATAAAATGGCAAAAAATAGCTATTTGAAGGATTTTGATCAAAATGCCACATACCAGGGGTGGGTTTGTGACCATAGATTCCATTATACATGGCTGGGATGCGGATGGAACCGGCAATGTCAGACGCGAGGCCGATCACCGAGCCCGCGGCGCCAATTATGGCCGCCTGCAAAATCCAAAAAAGTCAGAAATTTTTAACAACTAACAAAAAAATTTATTCTTGAATCTGAAAATTTGTGCAAATTAGTTTAAATTGTTCATTAGTTGATACAAGACCTCGCCGCCTGAAGAGCCGCCTGAGGTCCTGCGCGTGTCGTAGGGGTTGCTGGTGGAGCCCATGACCAGGTTGTTGGTCTCCCAGCTGAGGCAGAGTTCGGGAGTGGTGGTGATGGCCAGCACGATGGCGCCGGCCTTTTTCATGTTGGCCACGGCGCCGCCGTCGCGCTCAGCACGACGACCCTTGCGACCCACAGAACCCACCTCGTAACTCATTCCTGTGAAATATCACAAAATGACAAATTAAAAGTAGCAATGAGGAGTATAAAATTGAAGCAAATTGTGAGTTCCTTTTTACATTAGGAATCAAAATTTCAATTATAATTATATATACATTTTTAACAGGTCAATAAATATCATAGCTTTAACAACAAAAAAATATCTTCTTTAACATTTAAATTATTGACGTTTAGAGAGCTTTATTATTAATTGTATAAAAATATTAGCATTTAATCATAATATATTTCAAACAACTTGTCATGGTCAGAGATAATAAATCAAGAAAAATCCACGCTGTTTTTTTTACAGTAAATAAAATAGCAGTTTTCCTCCTTTTAATTTTGATTGATAGCGGATTTTGTAAGGTTGGGGACCCAATATTTTTTTGTTTCTCAGATTGCTTCACGCTTTCATTTGGAAGTTAGAATGTAATTAAAACTGTCTGGTCAAGCTACGAGTTACTGGATAATTTGAAGAACTCATTTTGCACACTCTGTTCTCGCTCAAGGCTCAACGCATTGTATAATTGCTTTGCGTTTGCTACAACTTGCATGAGAGATTTGCTCAAATTGGATAATGAACAATATCGTCTCAAAGCTTTTTGAAGCATAAGGATGACGATTTTGGCATGCGGGGCCTAAACTCCAAATAATAGAATGTGCAAAATTGATGCTACCAAGAAAATATAAAAGAATTAAAAAACTGAAATGATTTATAATTGCACTAAATTTGCACCTTTTTTCATTCCACTTAATTACAATAAAAAAAGTATCAAGTATTTTGTGTTAAAAAGAAATATTTAATTTAGTTCATAAAATAGCAAAATCTCTTGGCCTCTTGGCCTCTGAAAGATAAAATTAAAGGCACCCATGCCAAAAACTGATTAACTTTTCTTTATATCCCTGTATAAATTTAGGTTCCAATATCCTTGATAATTAAAATCCCAATTTTAATAAAAACTACCAAATTATGCAAATTTCTAGAAATTAAATAACAGGTTAAGAAATCAACAAGGTAGAATTAAATGACAAGTCAATTAATACAACGACGTCAAACATAATAAATTCGGTCATCCGAGCCAGAAAATACGGACCTTGTTGGCCAACAACACTAAATTATCTAATGCTACTGAACTGTGACGTCACGGAGAACCGGTTTTGTGCCGTATCGGAGTAGCTTGTTGTATAATATGAGTGCATTGGCTCTCTCGCTCTCTCACCTTTGACTGAGCAGCTCTCTTTGACTGTGAAGGGCACACCGAGGAAGGGTGTTTCGCGCTCCATCTGCTCAGGGCTCTTCTGGCCGGAGGCGACCAGTTGGTCAACGGCGTCGGCCTCCTCCAGGGCGGCCGCGATTCGCGCCTCCACGATACAGTTGAGCACAGGGTTGACCTCGGCAATGCGTCTCGCGTACGCCTGCACCACGGCGCGGCTCCTCACCTGCGGCACACAAGGAAGTCAAAATTCAAAAGCCCCTACAAGGCTGGTAATAAATCAAATCACAATTCAAAACCGTCCACGTTGATGAAATTTATTGAGAATTTACGCAAAAATGAGACAAAATATCATGTTAAAAAGACAAAAAGAAAATTTGGCAACAATTTTCAGGCTATTTTTTTTATAATTTTAATAAAACTTTCAATATTTTCTAGACAATTTGAAAGTGACCTCTATAATTATCCCTGAAATAGGTCTACATATAATTTAACTTGACACTTGGCTTAAATTACAGGTAATTTTCCCCAGGAGTTGATTGACCTTATAACAATAATTGAAAAATTGTGCCAGAGAAAATTAACCAATTATTTAATTAGCTTCACCAATTGGTTCCAAGTTTTCCTGGTTTGGATTAGGCGTGATTTAATTTTTTAATATTTACTAATTGTTGTTCTGTCAAAAGGGTACTAAAAAAACTGTTTTTGTTTTATCGTTATTTTTGTTTTGATTCGTGCCGCGCGGTTGAAAGTTTTAAACGCGAAAAACAAAGTGGGTGCGAATGTGTTAATTCGCCTTGAGATTTTGTGCGGAAACGATGCTGCTAAGTGCTCCGGGAGACAGGAAATCTATCTCGTGGGCTGCTGTCTCCCGCGTAAATTGTTGCTCCTGTCAATTCTTCCTTTCCTTACATAACAGCAAATGTCAGGGTCTGAAAAAAAGATGTTGTCTCGCGACGCCAAGGCTACCTTTTAATAGAAGCGCGCGACTTTTTTTTTCAATCGAAATTTATAAAAAGGAAATAAGAAAATTAAAGAATCCATACTTCTCCCTGAGCTTAAATTAATAACTAATAACCTTCAAGATATTCAAATTTTAGCACTCGGAAGGCAGTCCACATTAAATAATTTGTGTTCTTAGCACTGCTCATCATCATTTCTTATGAATATTCGGTTTGGACATAAGTTATTTACCTAGAACTAAATATAATATGGCTCAAGAAACTGAAAGATTTTTATTTAATTGGAAGTTGCCACCAAAGAATTGTAATGCCATTAAAAATGCCATCTCAAAATCTGCTTGATAAATTTTCTTTTGATTTAATATCGACGTTTGATTTTTGAGCAAAATAATATATGATTTTCAAAAATTATGTATTAAATTTGACTTGACCTCATATATACGTTTAAAATTAATAAATTCCCGTTTGAAAATAAATTATTAAAAATTTAATTGGTTCTGTCCCAGATTAAAAGAAAAAATTATTGATGTTGCAATAAAATTGTGCCGTTGGAGTAATACAACAATGCAAAGTGGAGGTTAATTGACAATAGCGTGCCAAGCAAATAGAAAAACTATTATAAGTATTTGCTTAGCAGACGATTGTTTTTACTCAAGTGCCTTGCAAAGGTAATTTGGGTCAGGAGTGCTCGACGAGAAATAAAAAACCAAAGAAGAATCTCCAGTTTTCCGCGGGCACGTCGTTTGTTCTTTTGATTGCGAAAAGAGCCGATTTTGGGAGGCGCCGACTTAGGAACGTGAGTGGCTGGCAAAAACTTTCATTTTTTCGCTTGAGCATCTTTGCGTGCTGCCGGCGACCCAGCGAGTCAATGAACGAACCACTTTTGGTTTGGCAATCGTTGATAAACGTTCTAATTAACTTTGTTTCAATTCAAAACATTTTACGGGGTAATAAAGATTTGTAAATTTGTGCAGTTCAGTCTGCGATTTTCGGTGGCAACAGCCGGGAGGACCGAAGGGGATTTTTATTTTTTATTACCTTTCGCCGCACAGGCATGTGGGCCAGCCAGGTGATATAACCGCGTGCGTTTGCATAATAGGCATCAAACTCGTCAGACGAGCGTTGGCGAAAAGTGCAAAAATTTATAGTTTGGCTGCAACTTACCTGTCCCGTTCGGATTTTGCGCGCTAATTCGACGGCGCTCATGAAGACCAGGGGCTCTTTGATGGGTGGACAGGGGGGTGCGGGTCGCAGGTTGATCAGCCAGAAAAGCGGCCCCGTCAGGATGCGAACAAGCGACTGCACGGCCGCAAACACCCTGAGCAACACCTCCATCCCTGAAAATCAACGAAAGGTTCAAAAATTGCGAATTTTAATAATGACGTTCGAAATCGCCATCGCCGATCTTTAATATGTGCAATTTTTTTATCTCTGCTGGCCCAATTTTTGCAGATTAGATCACCATCAAGGCTGCTCAAGTACGTGGCCCGTGACCTTCATATTATGCGCGATTCCTCACGCTAGAAAAGCTTCTATTATAGTCTTGTGTCTATTTATAAATTAGAAACTCGTTTACATATTTTACACACAACTCAGCTACTAAAAGCTATTTTTATTATTTGGTATCATAATGATTGAAGTTTTTCATGCCAAAGTTTGTGTTTTCAATTGGAAAAAAATTGAGCTGTAATAATGTAATAAAAATGATGCAAACATCCAAAGAAAATAATTAAAATCTTTTAATAAATAAATTCTTAATTTGAACTAAAGTTTTACAATGGAGGAATGAGTTAATGATAGTTTATAAAACTGAGTGAATTAAAAAAAAATTCAAGGTTTTATTTAATTAAGCCTCAATAATTTAAAATCATCTTTAATGGAATATTGAAAAGATTTGTATATTGCTCAATTTAATTCATCTATAAAATAATTTTTAATTGAATTAAATGCAATGGAATGAAAAAAGCTTTAAATACTATTTTAAACTGGAAATTTTCACCTTGTACTAGCTAAATTCTCAGACCTAAAATTCTTCTTAACCTAATATAAATTTTTAAAGATGAATTAATGCGACATCGAATCTTCTCTAACTTCTAGAGGAATTTCAATTTGCAACGTTTTATTTTTAATTAAGTAACTTTTGAAACCAAATTATTGCACCTTCACAAAGATACACAGTTTTGTGTCATCTATAAAAAAAAATTTCAACAGAAATCCGCAGATTGTGCGTGCGAGTTTTGTCTGCGAGTGCGAAAACAAAGAAAGCCATCGAAAAACGCGAGCACCTGCGACATTGTTCCGAAATTAGAGTTAATTGGCTCGACGCAGGAGGAAGTAAGTTTTACTATGCAATTTCCGAGCATAAAACACACATTTTTATCTCTTGGAGCAATCAGATTAAATAGACTTAAAACAAGACGCTTAATTTGATTCGCCTTGATCTTTAAGGAAGCAAAAATTATGCACATCTCATGATTTTTAATCAATTTAAAAGTCAATTCTTCAGAGCATACGGTGTACGAGCGGCAGTATTGGATATGAATGTGCTGATGCTCTTCACCTTGAACTTGGACCGCGAGTGCAAGGGAGTACTTGCTGTGCATTTACATCGAACAAAAACTTGATGCAAAGTCTCGTTTCATCTTATCTAACTCCAAACGATGGTGTGTAAACACGCTTACTCATTTCTTGCCTCTGTATCTGAAATGCACGACGAAAGGTCGAGAGTGCGGCCGCGAGCGTTGATCCCGAAAACGTTGCGCAAATTATGCACTTGTTAAAATAATGTCTGCATTCCTTCAAGACGCTTGACTAAGCAAAGAAAGAAACAGGTTCCGATTGCTCAATTTGAAACTTAATCAGCTGTATCTTAAAGTAATTTAAAGCCGCATCAAACAAGCACTTATTTGAAAATAAAAAAGAATTGTTAAAATTTAAGATTATTTTATAGGGAAAAAACAATAAAGATTTTTTTTTTAAATCTATAAATAGGAAAAAATCTTATAGAATAGAATATTAAGATTTATTAAACAGTTTTCCTGGTATGATGATGCAATATTTTGAAGAAATGTTTATCTTTTCATTAATTTTAAGCGTTTTTCTACAATCCACAGTGATTCATTCCGGAATTCACGCGCGCCCTCGCTGAATGCAGTGAAAGTGAGTGACCCAGTCCAGCCAAACCCAAATAGAGACGCTTTGACGCAGAAAAACTTCTAGATGCCTTTTTTCACACCAGTACATTAATGAATATTATTTCCAAATAACATGTATTTTCTTTTTTTCTTATGAGAGGTAATTTATTAAATTTATTGGATAAAATGCAATTATGGACTTTTTGTTTAACAATTTGTAAATAAGTCTATTTTGTATATAGCAAAGTCTGAAGTCAAAAGATTGAGCCCTTATATGACGTTACTAATTTATAGCTGATTAAAAATGAAACAGTTGAATTAAAAAAAAATATTAAAATGTTTAAACTAGTTAAATAATTTTTTAATATCAATAAATATTGATAGCTCAAATTCTTCTGCAGAAAATTGCAGAGAAAAAATTAGTAACAAAATTGATAATTTTTTTTTTTTTAGATAATAGGGGAATTTTTCAACACTTAAGAATATCATTTAGATTTTTCGTCTTTAAATTGCTTGAAGGTACCAGTTCCTATGATCAAAATATTTAAATGTTGCACCAGGGCTCCAATTGAATCTGTAGTTTGAATTTCACGGTTAAATAAATTTGATATCAATGCGTTGTTCGCAATGCATATTTTGCGGCGAGAGAGGAAAGCTGGCGATTGTTGTTGCGAGTTTTGGAAGTGCGAAGACCTTCAGGGCTGGCCGCACTCTTCGGAGAGACCCACAAAAGCTCCTTTTTTTTGGGTTGTGCAAAACTGAATAATAATAATCTGCCGGCGCGAGCGAATAATGCAAGCGAATAACAACATCTCGCTTGCTGCTTACCAGACCAAATAATTATTTCAGAAAAAAATAACCACGAAAAAGGCAGGGTTTCAAAAATGTATTCTTTAATGTCTTATTTCTGTGTTATTTCTTCTCTTGTAAAGTTACTTGTTGTTTCCTAGTAAAAATTAATTAATGCTCCACAGCTATTCTCAAAGAATTTTGAGTGCGTTGCTTGTGTTCTATTGTAAAAGTGTGAAATATGGCTGTTTAATGAAGCAATAAAATTTGATGGGCTATTAGCTTTTATCGAGCCGCACGACTTTCTCCCAAAAATAGACGCGTGCTGGCGTATTATTGCTCTAGGAAGTGGAATTTCGATCACTTCACTTTTCGAGTTTGCACATTGTGCACATCTACACCCATAATGCATCCCAAAGTAAACACGGAAGTACAGCTAGATGTTAGTTTTGAAAGTGAACAACCTAAATATTATGCAGCGTTAGTCCAGCCCCAATATTTGACTTTTTCATTTTTGATTCTCACAGGTGTGCGCGCTTAAATAAATGCACAAGGCTATTTTCAGAGACCGAATTCAAATTGATTGTAAACGCTGACGTGACAGGAGTAAACCCGCAAAACATGTTTAGTGCATGTAATTAGCAGTACTAACGAGAAATAGCAATCATGATAAATATCATGATTCAGCGCTTTGCAAAACAAAAAAAGAGACAAGTTTTAATTTTTTCATAGTAGCACACTCAGTGGTGTACAATAAATTCTTTATTCATTCCTTTAATTAAAATATTTATTGTTTTGTTTTAGAATTAAAAATCAAACGCAGTTCACTACCTTCTCCAACATGTTACGGGAAGCCTAATTTTCTTAATTAAGCCATTATGAATATTTTGAGTTATTATTTGTTTCTGAATTGTATGAGACTTATATTAATTCTTTTGATCAAAATCAGCACAAATTTCAACCTTCATGAAGTTACTTTAGGAAATTAAATAAAAATTGGCTCACTCAAAAATTTTCCTTTTGAATAATAACAGGCATCGACCATTTGTACAGACATATATAGAGTACCATACACGATTTTCCAATTGTGATAAAAACTGACCAAGTGAGTCACATCCAGACAAACCATTTTTATCTTCAAACCGGTCGGGTTTCCAGCAGCCAAAATTGCAGAATGTGTTTTTGCGCAAAATTGAATATAGTACTCACCCTTTTGAAGAAGTGTCTAGCGCTTTTTACAAGAGTGCGTTTATTGCGATTAATTTTTCAATTGGACGCAGTAAAGCTTGCGTCTGTCAGTCTGCTGCTCTGCATTAGATAAACGCAAATAGACCGATGCAATAAGTGCAGCAAATTATTATAATCTTCGATAACAAGAAGTTTATGCCAAGATGTTTTCATTTATTTAAGCTGACGTCATATCATAATAATATATAAATGCACCGCAAATCACATCTTTTTTAAAATCACTTGGTTCTTTTCACACAATGATTCATATATTTTTATAATATAAAATTGAAATTTCAATTTCACTCACTCGCTCAAGGTCAAAGTTGTGTTTGATTTATTTTTTTCAGAAAGTGTGTATTTGCTTAATTTTTTGTCTTCCATCTGCCATTTCCTTTTTCCGGCAAGTGTTAAATTTTTTTACGTTTTAGTCTTGAAGCTGCAATCAAAATTACGATTGAACGTTCAATTTTGTCTCAGGGCCGACCCTCCTCTCACGAAATCCACGTGAATTTTAAACAGTTGAACCTACAAAACCATTTCAGAGTGGTTCCGCTCGTATTGAACAGATAATACGTTTTTGAACACAAGATTCGCGAAAAGGTCAACAAATTAGCAGGCCTGTTCACCTTCATTGGTTTTTTCGGCACGTGAATCGCCACGCTCTGGGCTTCTATTAATTATTACTTTATTTTCCTTTGTGCCGGAATTAACCTTCCCACCTGTTCGGGCGTCCCTCGGTTTGAACGAACAGGCGATAAATTTGTTCAACCGGTGTTGAAGAAAAAATTTAACAACAAACCCGTCGAGTTTGCGAAAGGTGATTGAGGTCAAGTGCAGCTGTAGGAAAACATGCTCGTCAAAGACTCGATGCCCAAACAGTGAAAAATTTAGCCGGTCGCGTCACTCTCGCCTCAACTCATCTTTACCCTTTTTCAAATCCGACGGCAAAGATTTATCGTCGGTCAAGGCTCGCGAAAACCCGTCAAGGCGAAATGAAAAAAATCGGATCGACTCGCCACCATGTTATGTCAATGCGGAAAGAGAAGATTTCGTAATCGCTCGTCTGCCCATGAAAGGTCAGAATAGGTTTGTTTGGGTGGGTATGCGAAGATGGTGATTTATTGATTATTGTATTGTTAAATACAAAGTTGTTTTAAGATAAGACGGAACGGACAAAACCGAAAACGAGTTTGTTGCTGTTAGGAAGAAATAGGACAAGATACTCATTTAACAGAAGCTAAACAACATTCACCTGTTCAGTGATTAAAATGAGGAAATTTATTGATTAAATAATAATTTAATATGATAGATAAAACGCTCCAATTAATATCTTTTTTTTTTAAATCATGCTAATAATTATATTAGGTAACTTATAAGTTCTTAATTAAAGTGTTTTGAAAGGTTTGTTTACTATAAATATTTCAATATTTTGTATCCTAAATAAAGTTTTGATAATCAGCAAAGGTTTTCAATTTCTAAGAATTTATTTTTATATTTAAAGCGTTATTATTCAATTGAAATGCAATTTTATTTTCAAGTCTCACATTATTTTGAATTCCTCAAGTAATTTTTTTCCATTGTAAATTCTAAAGTCTAAAATGCAGAAAGCAATTGAAAACTTAATTGCATGGGATTAAACTATAAAGTGTGAAACTTCCGGCAAGAAAATAATAGCTGAACCATAGACATAAATATTGCCAAATTTTTGTAGGTGTGAAAATTTTCATTACTGCAAGCATTTACGTTTGGGTGGGCTTGGTCCATAGCAATAATAATTCCTATGGCAGTTCCAGTTTGGTGAGCGTGCTGTGTGCAGCCCGCCGAGATTAAAGCGCGGCGTAGTGTTGCGCGCGCGGGCCAAAATTACACAACTCCTTTGGTGCAATAATGTTTTAAAAACACACGCGCTCACTGCCGGGCTTGCCTACTCCTCATCTTTTTGGCCGGTGATCCATCCATTATTCAACGAGAAGAATTGCGGCGAAAGACGTTTCGTAAGCAAATAAAATGATGAAAAATGACAATCAAGATTGGAAGGAAATTAGGTGCAAAAATCACCTTAGAAATGAAATCGGCGTTTTGTCCAAAAACTGGGTCACTTGAAATTGAAAGGCTTTCGATCGTTACGGAAATAATACAAAGATGTATTCATTCTTTTTAAAGCTATTTGATATTTTGAAGATCAGTAATTTGATTATTTTTCTTTTTACTTACTTGATGGGGTGGAAAAAGGGGTGCTTCAGAAAAACAGGGTTGTCTCAGCTTATTTGTTTATGGAAAATCCTTGATAATAGGACAAAACCAAAATGCACTTTCCAGAACCGGGTCCTTTTGTTGTTCGAAACAGCACTCGCGCCCGCCGAATCGGTTTTCACAGGCCAAGTCGCGAGGTAAGACTGGAGAGTCCCCACCTGAGCTGGGACTCCCTTGCTCAGGTATCGCGGAGGCGCCCCACTCTACTCGCACATTTTGAACCGCATCTTCGCCGAATACCCTTTTTGACCTACCATGACCGCAAAATCTGCAAAAAAAGTTGTTCAGCTTGGAGCTCTTCTTGTTACAAATTTGATCTCCATCGTTTTAATTTTTTGTGCTATAGAATTTGTATGAAAATGTAATTTTAAGTTATAATAAGTCAGCAGGAATCCCCTCTCGGCTGTCAAGAGACTGACAGGTTATATAATTGCTCTTCTCTTCTTCGTTGCGCGCAATTACGCTAATTACCGATCATCAAAATTTGATAATAAAAAAAGACTGCAGAGGCAGAAAAATAAAAATACGAATATTTGCGCCCTTTTTAATTTTTAGAAACCTCTAGTTGTTCTGTGGTCAATTACGGATTCCCCAGCCTTCAATTTTTATATGCGTCGTTCGCTTTGATTTTTTTTTGTATGATAATAAGATGGATGTAATGTGAACTGCAAAAAATGCTAATGATCCAATGCCAAGTTCAGCATAGTTGGCGTCGCGCTTTTCGCAAAGTCACCTTTCTTATCAGATTAATTTACCAAATGCAATCGGCATGTGTTTGTTTTTACTTAGCGCGGTGCTTGCTGGTCTCAAAGCTTAGAGAGACACGCACGTGGATTTTTTTGCATACTTGTGGTATTTCAACCGGATTTTCCTTACGATGACCCTAAAACGTGAATAAGTAGAATCATTCTTTTAAAATTGAAACTTAAAACAAAAATTTACAAATTTATAGTTTCATTTATGTGATGTATTAATCTTAGGTTCCATAATTCTTATCAATCAGCGCATTTCTGAATTTCAAGTAATATTATTACAGCTTTTTGTACATAATTGATTTATTTAATATTTTATATAGAAGTAAGAGGCTTGAAATAGCTTTCACGTCTATTTTCAATAGAAATAAACAAAAATTCCATAGCTAATCAATAAACAATTCAAATCTTCCTGGCTGAGTTTTAATTAAAATATCAGTTTGTATCTCGAAAAAAGCGACAGATTGCTTTATAATTTTTGAATTTATAAGCGAGAGGGAGGTGGAAAAATGATTTATTTAATGTGACGTTGCAATCAAAGAAATCGAATCTTTATAGCATCCGGATGGAAATTGTGTGCAATGCAAAGAGGCGTTTGCATGGTCATTTGAAGGGCAGCAGTTCGTTTGCTTTTGTTGTCGCAGTGTTGCGTAACTAGTTTTTTGTGATCTCTTTATGACGCACGGTGCAGCGTCGTCTGGCACAAAGGAAAAAATATCAATCTCGGCGGTTCTTTCCTCCTCCAGAGCGCGCGAATGCAAAAACATAATTTCATCTTGTGCGCCTCACACAATGCACACACTCCACAATCACATCCTGCTGCTAATTTTTTTTTCCAAAAAGAAAAAAACCCTTACGTCATTTCATGTTTTGACGCCCTTCTGCTGCGAGCCGTAAAAATCAACCATGCGAAAATATATTTTATGTTTTTTAGCGCTCCAAACAAAACGTGTTAATGATACGAAATATAGTCTTGGTGGTTGGCCGAAAAAATCTTTGGTCTGAACACTGAACAGTTCTGAACTTGACCTTTCTACCTGGAAAATGATCACATTTGATTGCCGTTATTTTGTCCCCAATCAACTTTAGCGCAGCAAACGAACACCATTCACAAGCGGGGGGAGCGATTGAAAGAAAACAAACTTTATATAGTTAACGACGACATTTATTTATTCACTTTATCGTCAGTGCGTGAAAACACTTGTATTTATGTAGAAAAATAATAAATATCGACAAATCAGGCACACACGTGTCTGGCCAGGTACTTTATTTTTCACCATCCTCCACTCACATGAGACCATTTCAAATCTATGCCTATTGAATATAATAATAAACGAGCTACTGAATTTTCGATAATCCAATCCAAGCCAAAATATGACCTCTGATTGGAAAATCAACATTCCGCGTTCGTGAATTAAAATTTTCTGCCAAAGTGACCAAGGGATCGGCACCACCTCGGCCACAAACAATTAGGCAATCAAAATTTTTCTCAATATTTAAAACTTCACGTTAAAAATCTTGAGCTGCGGAATTTTTGAATAGAAACTCCAATCCAAGCCTTTGGCCTCTGATTGGAAAATCGACAATCCGCCCTCAAAACAATAAAAAATCCAGTTGAAATCTCAGAGGGATCGGCACCACCTCTGGCTTTTGCGACTGGAATTAAAATTTAAAATCATTTTTACTTTAAATTTAAAATTCGGTCCCATGTTCTAGAGTGAGGAGGAGGCCTTGAGGGTAACAGATCGCCCTTGCAGGTTCAGGTGCGGCGGGCGTGTTTCTCACACAGTCTCCTTCTGGTCGGCAGGGGGAGGCGTCCATCCTCCGAAGGCGCGTTCAAGTTCTTGAGCAACGGCGATGGTCAGTCTGTCCTGCAGAGGGTTCGCGGCCACCTGCAACAAAACAATGGGTTTGACATTCACCTCGAGCCAAGGGCATTGATGAAAAAAAAATATAGTCTGATGCGAGTGTGATTGATGGTAAAGTTTGTTTGAGCTGTGATTTTTTGCCGGTGCCGCCAGCAGCGTCGAGTGATGGACCAACTCAAGGAAATTAATCGAATTTGCGCGGCAAAAAACGAAAAGGCGAGCAGAGGCAGAGATAGTTCCTATTACCTGGATGCCGATGGGCAGGCCTTGAGAAGAAATGGCGACCGGACAGTTGGTTACTGGCATCTCGGTAGCGTTGAAAGTGACCAGGTAGGAAACGTTGAGGAACTTGTAGTAGATCTCGCGGTGGAGGAGTGCCGGCTCGACGAAGGACGGGAAAAGTACCACGCCGTGCTCGCCAAGTTTTTCCTGCGTGAAATCAAAAATTTATTTATTATTTTTACTTCTTAATCAATACATTTTTTTCCTAATTGGAGTAGTAATGGCTTGAATTTACAACAAGCAGATGTCTTTAAAGCGCCCGATATCAAAAGAGATTCGGACGCCACGGCAAACTCAATGCAGTTTATAAATTACTCAATAATTTTAAAATTTCTCCTTTTAATTAAAAAAATTATTTAACATTTTATAATTTTAACCAAAAATTATAATGATCCATTTTCTGCGTATTTCTTTTATCACATTTTTAAAATTTTTATTTACAAGCCATTCTTTGTAACTGAACCCATAAAGGATTTATAAAAATTGTTTAAAATTTTGATCACATTCGAAATGATCTTATCTGGGTGTATATCATGATTAGGTGGAATATAATAGTAAAAGTTAAATATTCCACAACTTTTACTCTCCGATCATACATATTTTGCAAAATTAAAATTATGTTTTTCAATTTAAGCACGAGAAATCCAAAATTTCTTAATGAATTTGATCATTTTTGATCAATATATAATTTTTGACTGCCTCACTTTGGTCTTGGTCTCTTGAGATATAACCACCTCCATTTGATTGCTTCGTACAGATCAAACATTACGAAATAAATAACTTTTACAATTTTGGTCAATATCTAATACTTAATGGGTAATGCTCAGTCACTTCGTCATTTATTATTTAATTTAAGTAACAGCTATTAATACTGCTAATCTTCAAACAAACGAAGTTTCGAAGGCTGTGATCTGTCTGCGTATTTGGGCAGAACATGTCCAAATATGACAAGTTTTTTATTTGAAGAAAAAAAGGAGAACGTTGTGTTTACCATACCATATCACGAGCGGTGAAAGTCAAGGCCAAATGTTAGAAATTATATAACACACAGATTTTTATTGCATTGACACCTGCTATAGCATTTTGCAAATAATGAATTCATCGACTTGGAGAGGCTTATTTTAGACAATTTTAGTTGGTCCGTTGTGATTAAATTTCGATTACCTGAATGCGGACATGAAAGCAAAATTTGATTCCAAGGCAAGAATCGAGAAAATGTGGCGAGAGGAGCAGCAGGTTTTCTCAGATATCTAAAATTTGGCCTTGCGTTTGGACCGAAATACCTCCATAAAACGTATGTATGTTTGCAGAACCAGTACATACACAAGTACCTTCGAATCCCCTCTTACAATAAATAAATTCTTTTGCATTTCTGTCGCCGCCGCATTACCACCGCGTGACGGAGCTTTTCTTCTGACCGACCGCAAAATTTTTTACTTTGCGCCAAAAGCGAACGGTGTTGGTATTAGCAAAAACACCAGACAGATCGATGGATGATGCAAATATTGAAAAAAAGCATCAGTTCTAGACGTATACGTAACCTTGACATTGTAATAATAATAATTTAGCATTAATTTTAATATAGTTTGTAAAAAAGTCATAAAAAAGTAGGGACTCCAAAAAAGCATTGTTTTCATCCAAAATAAATTCGTTTATTTGTAATTTTTAATCCATAAATTTAAAGTTAAGAGACAAGAAAAAGATCACTGCTAGATGTTGAATTCTCAAATAACTTTAAATAAATAATTATGTATTATCATCATTCTTAAAATTCAAGAGAGGCACTGACTAAGAATTTTGAGCCAAACTTTCCTGAATCGTCTAGATATGTCAAATTTCTATCTAAAATTTAAACGCTAAAGAAAGAAAGTATAATTATATATTCCCTTCAGAAAACAAACTGCAATGAAGTTTGACAATGAATAGCAATGAGTACAAAGACTTTGATCATAAATGCTTTAAGTGAGATTTTAATCGGCGCATGTCGCAAACCAAAATAAATGGCGAACAATGCAGCAGCTCAAGGCGGCGGATTGGTTCTCCACCTCTTATTATTATCATTTATCATCAGATGGCCTAAACAATGGAGAAGGTGAAAATTGCGCCGCATTTTGCAACAGTCTCGCGTGTTCGGGGGACCTATTCATTAGAGAGGCTCGGCCGTCCGATGGACGCGCGACCTTGTCAACGCTGCACCTGATTTGCTATTAATTTCTTCATTAGAGCTCGATGGCTCCGTCAATCTTTTCTCCAAATTGTATATAATATAATTGTCCCTCTGCTCCTAACAAAACTCTGACCCGACACGCGGAGTGTGTTGAGCAAGACCCCTTGTTTCAGAGGGCCACGGCCTGCGGCCTCGGCCGTTTTAGTGAATCGCGCATTTCGTACCTTGAAAATAGTCTTGATCCTCTGGTTGGCCGCAACCATCTCTCTGAAATCCTCCTCGGACACGCGGTCGGCGACGCGTTTCAACATGCCGTACAACAGGGGTGGAAATGTGTAGTCGGACATGCAGGCGAAGTAACGCACCCACTCCCAGGTCACACTTTTCCATTCCTGAGAAAAAAGAACAAATAATTTATAACATTTTCAATTACAAATTGAATATTGTTAAAAAATAAAATATTGGAAAATATTTAAAATGCATAAAAATTATTCTAATCAATTAAAAACGTCAAAGTCTCTTATATATTACTAAATATTTTGGGAGATTGAGCAAGAATTGGATAAATTAAGAGTAAAATATTGCTATTTTCCATTAAATTAAAATTGCAGGAATTAAAATTAATGTTTGATTTTTATAAATTAATTGAAGATGAGCATAGTGGCTCTCTGCTTGCAGTTTAATTAATAGTATAGTCGTCAGTTTTCAGCATTCATCAAATTCTTTGCTAAACCTGCGTTGATCTGGCGAATTAGCCTGAAATTGTGTAAATGTTGGACCACGACGACGACTGCAATCAAATGAGCCCATATCAAACCGCTGCCTAGAGCGATATTCACAAAACTGCCGTGTCGCGAAATGGGAACACTCGGCGCTGCAAACTCTCAGGGGTCACAACGAAAACTCGTTTTCATTCCAAATAAACTTAGTAATTTTTTCTTAATTAAACAGCATACCTTAGAGCCGGGCTCGGCCTGGAACATGCACTCGACGCCGTTCATTTTCAGCAAAATCGTCGACGCGATTTCGAAAATGTCCTTCAGCTCGTCTATGCACAACTGAGCAAAGAAATAAAACCATAATTAAATATCAATCAATCTGATTAGAGTTCAAAGGAAATTAAAACTAGTCGCACCTTTTCAGCCTTGACGCCGCAAGACTTCTCCAGATGGTTCACAGCCTTCCTCAGGGCGGATTTGACCTCGGGGTTGAGCGTCCTGGTGAAGACGCCGCCGTCATCCTCAACATAGCAAATGCGCATTCCTTTCAGGTCCACCTAAAATGAGTAAGTACAAAAAATTTGTTTTTATTTTAGGAAAAAATTCAATTAAATTAAATTTATATTTCTTAATTGAATAAAAAAAGACACCTTATTTCAAGTTTCAAAGTCACGTTCTTCAAATATACGTCAGTTATTTTCTGTTTGCTATAAGTTCGCAAATATCTCCGGTTTAGAATTTAAATCGTCGATTTAAAATCGAGATTTTTTTCTGAATTCATTCTAAGTTAGTGGAGAAAAATTTCCTATTTGAAAATAAAAAAATGTTCATTTACAACCGTTAAGATCTACATCACGTGACATAATCTGATAGAGAATTTTTATTGCAGAGGAAAATTAACTAAAAAATTAATCTCTGCCTTTTATGGCTTTACAAGAAATTACACATTCAAAAACGGCTCGTAAACGCCAACGACTTTTTTATTGCCAAGGCGTGTTAAATTGCGGAAAATCCGTCGTGTGCAAACGATGCAACAAGCGCCGAGGGCGAATGTATTTCGGTGCCTCTCCTTATCTAGCATTACAAAAGAGCAACAGGTGTGTCCGCCGGTGCAATTTTCATTTTTTAGTTCGCCGATCAATTGCTCTAGATTAGGTTCACCGTCGAGATGATCACAATCTGGGCGAGGGAAAATTGCGACAGAAAAACGCAAGAAAAATGCAACGAATTTGCTTGGAGAGATAGAGAAAGTTCCACTTTCGTTGCCATGCAGCTCCAACAGAAGGAATATTATTCTGCGTTGTATAATAGAGGCGGCACGCTAGACAAGATCATGCGGTGCCGGTGCCAGTGGCGTAACATACGAGGCGCGCCACCCGAAAAACGCTTTCTTTCGTCACGCCTTGCAACGCATTGACACTAATACCTTGATTAATCCTTTTGTCCATCAAAATGAATTTGTGCAAGAGCAGTGATTCAATATCAGTTTGATCTTTTTTAATGCAACTCAATCAATAGAGCACTTGGAAAATTCTGAAGTATTTTACACAAAGAATAAATTTCCAGATTTTCTTTTAGCATTATATTGATGAATTTTAAATTAAAAACAAAGACAATTTTTTGAAACAATTGTGAAATAAAAACAATTTTGCAATTTAAATAATTGAATTGTATGAAAAATTAGTATAATAAATATGATGAAAATAGCTGATATTTGGAAGAATTGAAAAAAGTACCTTGCGGTCCAGGTTGAGTGCGGGGGCGTTACCTCCAGCCATGACTTTCAGGGTAGGTGCCAAATCTTCGGCGTACCTGCCCATCAGAGCAACGCTGAAGAATCTGTCCCAGTTGGGGTCGCTGGAGCTCGGGCAGTGGCCCTCGTTAGAAACGAATCCTGCAAAAAAACCAAGGTTGTGATTCTGAATAAAAGAAGTGCCTAATCAATCATTGTTATATTTGGTTCCGCGCCACGTGAGGAAAAGGCGAAATAATTAAGTATTTTCAACTGCTGGCGTTCAAATCTCCGTCGGAATATACTGACTCGTCCTCACCATCATGCACCAGCTTTTAAAACCCTCTCATCTTTGAGATGCTTTTGGCAATTCAAAATCATACAGTTAATTCACGCAGCTAATTAATCAATTAGGAGATTGGCACGTTAATTGTTTTGCAAATAGAAAGCAATATATGGTAGTAAGAGAATGCAATTAGTGCAGAGTGCAAAACTATGGTAGTATATTATGATTTGAAAAATCGTGTTTGATAAATTAAATTCATTAACGGAGCAGTTTCATTCATTGCAGCGATTCATTTCTTTTCTTTTTCAAATAGTTTTATTTTTTATTGATTAATTTTAGCTCTTTTCATAAAGAGCAAACATTATAGAAGGACGTAAAATTTTATAATATTATAATAACCTATGGATTATATCTTGAAACTTTCTTTTGCATTATGCAAATATCACTAAAAGCATGTAGACGTGTTGGAACAAAAGTACCGAAACTAAAACTCTTTCACCGCTGACGAGATTAAAATCAGATTAACCACGCGTGAATTCGTAAACACCATTATTTTCCAGAAACAGCAGCTTCCGCGATTTTATTCGTTCCTATTCAAGTCCGAGGCAATTAAGTTGCTAGCCCATTGTTTCTGCCGCACAGACAAAAAAAAACTGCACGACGGCAAGTTCAAGGACGGCGTTCTCTTTTAAACCGCGTCTTCTGTGTTTAAATCATAATTTCCCTCGTGCAATTATAAGCGCATCAGGTTAAAATTACTCTTTTTAACATTAACTCGTGAAAACCTCGACCTTTAGGAAAAATCAAACTTAAAAGCCTGAGACTTTTGGTGTGTATGTAATTGTATAGGAAGTAAGTGGTCAATAAATTTGAAGGTGCAGTGGCCGGGGGGCGATCGTTCATGTAATGCTCTTTTAAGGTGCGACTTGGAACAAATTCTTCAGCAATTTGCGGAAACCATTTGCTTGTAAATTTTAAACTGAAGTAATGAGCGTCTTACCTGGCGATGGTTTGTGGCCGAAGATGCCGGTGAAGGCGGCGGGCAGTCGCGCCGATCCTCCCACGTCAGATGCCAAACCGACCACCGAACCCGCCGAGGCCAAAAGGGCAGCCTGAAAAACAAGTTTCTGTATCATTAAGTCACGATCTTCATGTATTTATTTGCAAGACAAAATATCAAAACAATTGCTCTTCACATGAATACTTCCTCCAAGGTCTTCCATATATAGACATGTTCTAAAGTGGTTTTAATGAAGCTAAAAAAAATTGTTCGATAATTTAAAAAAAAATTATTCTGTTATCATGAAGCGTATCAATTTTTTTAATGTTTTTTAAATTTCTTTAAATAATTGAATCTAGAAAAAAATAAGTTTATCCTTAAAATGTTCTGTTAACAATTGCTCATAAAGTCTGCGGACTAAAAAGATTTTGAAATCCTTGTAGAAATCTCCTCTTTTAGGCAGGAAATCGTCTAACTTTTCAAAACCCATACCAAATCCTACATTATAATGCAATATTATTCGGAATAAAGGTTGTTGTGCTCTGGGCGATGCAATTAGCGAAGTGTAGTTAAGTAACTTGTTTGGTCACTTTTTAACCATATCAATTTGACGATTTGGCGGCGCCGGGACCGAAATAAATATTAAAATGTAATCATAGCGTGTGTGAGACCGAAAAAAAATGCATTAGATGTGTGGCCAAAAGTGTGCCAAGGTCGTGCACTGGTCACCAAATTATTTCTTCACTGGCTCGTGTAGAGGAACAGCCAAGTTCAACCCAAAATTCAAGTTTTTTTATCATCGAGATATATTGGCCGCGTAATTTGCGTACGAGTTGAGTAAGTGTGCCTTGTTGGCCATTCAACCGTAATATGCAGCGATATGGAAGAAAGAAAAAAAATTGCCAGAAATCTAATGAACCCCGACTACCTTGAAGAGAGCAGTCACCCAAATTTCCCAGAGGAAACTATATTTTTAATTCGTTTATCCTCTTAACGTGAGCAACATTTTCCCACCAAAAGAGTTTGTCAATCAAGCGGAATGCGCGATGAATGAATGCGCCAAAAAAGAGAAAGCGGTGCTCGAGCGGCCTCTGGTGCTCGTTCTCCGAGCCCAGGGTTCCTTCGGTTTTCTCACCTCGCCGCCGGAGGAGCCACCGGGCGATCTGCGCAAGTCGTACGGGTTGTTGGTGCGTCCGGTGTTGTTGTTGTCCGTCTCGTAGCACATGCACAGCTCGGGAGTGTTGGTCACCACGAAGGGAATGCCACCGGCTGCGCGCACCAAGGTCACGGTGTGAGCGTCCTGAGATGCGATTTTCGGCGCATGGAGCTTCTGGCCAGATGTGTTGCTCAGCCCTATTAAATAAAAATTTTATTACTTGACTAATAATTTAATCTAAGATTTCAATTTTCAATAAATAATATCTTTTTATATTGTATTGAATTTATGCACTAATTTAGAATTAAAGTATTCTTTTTTCATCAAATTGTATTCTGCACTGCAATAAATAATTAATTTTGTTTTACCTTGGACGGCGATGCTTTCCTTGACAGAAAAGGGTACTCCGAGGAAGGGAGTTTCCTGTTCCATTTGCTCAACGGTTTTCACCCCTGAGCGGATCATTTGGTCCACCTGCTGGGCCTCCTTCAACGCGTCTTCGTACCTCTCGTCGACAACGCAGTTGAGCTGAGGCTGCACCTCTTTGGTGCGCGCGATCACCGCCCTCATTACCTCCTCGCTGCTCACCTGCAAAATAGGGTTGTTCGAGGTTAAAACTTTGGTGCCGCTCTTTATTGAACGAGTGTTTACAATTGAGTTAGTATATCTAAAATTTGTTTGTTACTTTTTAGTTTAATTTCATTTAGTAAAAAGACGAAGAGATTTTTTTAAAACACACGATTGAGGGTTGATTCGTAGTGATTTGAATTAAAATCGGCTTTTCCTCGATGGGTTTTAAGAGTTGTTTATTGCTTAAAAGATCATATTCAGTGTTTAACAAAAGACAAACCGCTCACAAGACCGATCGAGGAAGAGCCGATTTAAATTCAAAATCCCCACGGATCAACTCTCAATCGTGAAATTCTTTCACGATTATTTTAAATAACAAATTGACAAGGACGATTATTTTATTTATCAATTTCACTTTTATATTCTTGTTTTTTTTAGTTTTTTTTTTATATAATTTATTCTATGAGGAAGAATATGTTTTTCCTTGTTTGCAAATTTGTGACCGAAGAGACGATAAATAACGTTGAGAGGTGTAAAGGGTCTCGACCGTGGCAGGAAACGTGCTAGCTAGGAAGTGACACGGCGAGATTGAAAGCGAATGAATATCAAACACACTCAAAGTCAATGGCGTGCAGATGCAAGGGACTTTGTTCTTGATGCACGGCTATGTTTCATTCTAAGTGGGAGAATTCAAACGAGGTTATTTGTTTGTGTCAACCAGTGGCTGCTGCTTCTTAGTTTTATCTCCGGCAAGGTCACCTTAATCTGCACAAGACCCTTCCTGAATTAATATTTCACAAGTCTTTTGTCGTTTTACAACCTATTCTAAACTACTTTTAGTTTATTGTTTTACAACGTTTCGATTTTATTTGAATGTTTATGTCTAGCAATAAAACTAACAAAAAAAGGACGCGTCAATTATGAATGGTCAGTATTTTCTTACTTTAGTTTGAAATTTTTGTGTTTTTTTTTTTTAAATTTGAATAAAGAAGTAAAATTATCTCTATTTATTTATTTATTTGAAATAATCTAATTGGGAGTTTTCTTACCTGTTGAGTTCGGATCTTCTGCGCAAGCGTGGTGGCGCTCTGGAGCAGGAGGGGGTTGCGGATGCGCGGTAGGCTTTTCGGTCGGCGGAGGCTCTTGAGCCAGATGAAGGGTGAGGCCATCACGGCTGCCATCCACACGAGCAGCCACAAAAGTCGTTTTGCGCAAGCGCTCAGCATTTCTGCAAACACATTTTCCTGGTTGATCAAAAGCACAACGTGCAAACCCAGGCAGTTGCCCATTTTTTTTAGTCTCGCGCTCCGAACGCAAGATACACTTTCGGACTGGGCTCGCTGCCCAGAAGGACTCACGCAGGCGCCCCTGCTAAAGCACGCCTTGCCAACTGGCGACGCTTCTGATTAAAATTAGCGATTAGCACATTTCCAGCAGCAGTGGCATTGTTTGTTTTGCAAGAGAAATATGACAAAAAAGAAAGACTCGTCGCTCGACCTCTGCCACTTTATCACGCCGGTCGTGTCGATGCAACTCCAATTAAAAAGCGAAGAATGCTTTTGCGAAAATGTGAAGAAAATTGTTGCTTTCTGCCTTTGTAGTTCATGCACGAGGCAATTTTACGTCACACCACGTGCTCAGTCTATCAAATTATCTTGCTCCTCAAGAGCCAGCGGTGATTATCAATTCTGCCGTCGTATTTTTTTAATATCATGAAAGAAATTCTATGTATTATTTATTTTTTATGCATGTGAGGTCAGCTCATCTTTATATTCTTGTTGTTTCTCGCCAAAAGTGCGTATTTCGAAACAAGTTTCATTCCATAATTTTCTCTTTTTCAGCCTAGACAACGTTGTAATAATACAGATTATCAAGATTGCAATAATAGTATATCACGATTTTTGCACGAGTGGATTTAGTTCTTAAGTAATCCATAATCCACACTATTCTTTTTTTATTATCTTTTTTCCATTCAAAATTGAGTTGATTTAACCTTTTATTATTGAATTTGGCAAATTATAGGCTTCAGTTAATTTTTTTCACTATTCTTCAATTAAAATAATTTAAAGCGGCTATGCTAAATAAATGAAATTCTGAATGTTGTATTTTTCTTTGCCGAGTCCTATTTTTGCAGATATCCTCCTCTTAATTGTTAAGATTTCATAAAACCGTATGATTTAATTTATATATTTTTAGAAAAGGAAAGACTCCGCCAGGAAGAACAATGCTTAATGCAGCGTGCAATTTGATCTGGTTTGCATTGAACTTGGCAATCGAATCTTCCAGTGCGATGAGCAAATTCATTTCCCTGTTTGCAAACTTGCTCGACCGGCTTAGAAGTAACACCGCTGCATATAATTAATCCGTCCCACTTGCAACTTAACGCAGCAGGAACTAGAATAATTATATTTATGTGTGACACATCATCGGGCGGTGATCTTGTACAAGGGCACACACGGCACAGCTAAAGACCTCATTTGTCTAGGCAAGCAGCTATGACCACTTTTAGTGAAAGGGGGCGCGTAAACAAGGGCTTTCTAATGCAAGTTTGTAGCACTATCATCAGAATATAATTTCTTAATTTAAAATCGTAACGTCCTTTTTGCACTTTGTGTTTTACATTAAATAATTTTCTGTTCAGTAGCCGTGATTTTAATAATTATGAGCGTTTCCGAGTGAATTTGAAGGGCGATTGGACGATTTTGGACTAGGCAGAACCTGTGTATGATTTTTATACATGTTTGAGAGGGTGCCCAGGGGTGTCCACACACAAATTTTCAGACCTCTAAAAAGGGGCGTTTCCCAAAATTTCGGGACTTGAAAAATGGGCAAAAATTATTTTGGATTTGCTATAACTTTGGAACGGATAAAGTTATATTGACGTTCTCAACTGTTCCTGACGTAACTTTTTACGCTGAACAACTTTGCTGTTGACACCAAAGTTGTATTGTTAAGGGAAATGTCACTTTCAGGTGACCTCTGACCAAAATATCAAATTTTGACAGGGAACGCCCCCTTCGATTTTTTTCCAGGTATAGGAAACAATGTAGCCCATGAAATTTTACATCACATATGTCAAAATTAGAACAAGGTTATTTTTTGTTTTCGAGTAATTAATCGTTGAATAAGAAAAAACGCGTCCGAGGAGGGTCGAAAATTTTGAGGTTATTTCAAAAATCGAAGGAAACTGTAAAAAATCGTGTCGTGTATGTTGCTTTTGCCTTACTTGAATATTTATGATACAATGGAACATTGCTGACTTGATTTAGTTATGTTTTTGTTAATTCTTTAATTTACCTCTAAATTTTCGACCCTCTTCGGACGCGTTTTTTCTTATTCAACGATTAATTACTCGAAAACAAAAAATAACCTTGTTCTAATTTGGACATATGTGATGTAAAATTTCATGGGCTACATTGTTTCCTATACCTGGAAAAAAATCGAAGGGGGCGTTCCCTGTCAAAATTTGACATTTTGGTCAGAGGTCACCTGAAAGTGACATTTCCCTTAACAATACAACTTTGGTGTCAACAGCAAAGTTGTTCAGCGTAAAAAGTTACGTCAGGAACAGTTGAGAACATCAATATAACTTTATCCGTTCCAAAGTTATAGCAAATCCAAAATAATTTTTGCCCATTTTTCAAGTCCCGAAATTTTGGGTAACGCCCCTTTTTAGAGGTCTGAAAATTTGTGTGTGGACACCCCTTGGCACCCTCTCAAACATGCATAAAAATCATACACAGGTTCTGTCTAGTCCAAAATCGTCCAATCGCCCTTCAAATTCACTCGGAAACGCTCTTATTTAATTTTCTATATGAAAAATTAACGACATAAAAGTTCGAGCTAAAATTAAATCTAAAATAAATCATGGTAAAATTTTAATTTATTTAAAAAATTATAAATGTATAAAAACATTAAAAATGCTAATAACCTTAAAATAAATAAAAAATAATTAAAAATTTTGTATAAAATAGTAATAACCTTATTATGCGAATTTTAGTTTATTTCTATGTAATTTGAATATTTGAGTGCAAAAATGTTGAATTCATGAACCTAATCAATTGAATATCAGGTAGTAAAAATAAAATTGTGACCTACCTTTTGCTTTAGAATCAGACCTTTTGGTGTAGAACAGCATTTTGTTGATTTTTAGTGTGGTTTCACAGAATAAGTTAATTAAAATAAATTATTAGAGAAATATTGATTTCTGCTTGCACTCTGGTTTTCGCTAATTTTTGAGCCACCAACAAAATAGTTGGTTTGCTCTCGTCTGCTTTCGACGTCTTCTCGCGAGAAACCAGCAGCACTGAGTGCATTTTCCTGCTGTGCCGCTATTTATACCTTTAGCTCAGGTTCTCAGGGCACCTGCAAGGTCACCTGTCTCTGCTACGCTTGCTCGTCCATTACGAAAATCCAACAATTGCCACTATTGTTGGTTGTTTATATTTTTGATCGGTTGTTTTGGTTTGTTTATGTTTTGTTTTAACAGGAAGAATCAAATAAAACCGTGACTTTTATTAAATAATTTATTAACTATCATGATGGTACTCAAAAGAAGTAATTCACTTTTTTGTTTAATTGCCATGACTTATAAAATTCGCATTAAATTCGCACAGACTTTTTTCTTACGATACCGTTTGTTGTGGATGTGAAATCAAAGTATTCTCATCGGCTGCAACGATGTTTCAATTTCAAATGGCAAAGTTACACATCAATAATGGTAACATTCAGTACAACAACAGCATAAAGATTTTCTTTTGCGGTAATTCAACCTTAAGAACTCCGACATTACCAGGAGAAGAGCGAAAACATTTATGTAATTGAGAAAAAGATTTTTTCGGAAGAAAGTGAAATTAATTGCAAAAAAAGAAAACAGTTCACGTTAAAAAGGTCACATTTGAGGGAAATGTGCTTTCCTCGACATTTCATTCTGTCGGAAATGCGTCGTGGTTTGTTTATAAATTAACTTATTTACGCGTTTCATATTTCGGCGCTCGCCATGGACTAATTGCTTTCTAACCTCGCGACTGCACTTGATAGTTGGAGGCCCTGAACTTGACTCTCTGCTTGTGAATGTAAATAATAATTAACAGGGAAATTTCCAAGAAACAATTAATTGTTGATTTCAAGCGTTGCATAAAATTCAATCAATTAAATGTGGCTTCATTAAGAAAGAAAAAGAACAGCAGAAAAATCAGAAACTTGTTTTGCAGTTGAAACGGAAACGAAAGTGCAGGTAAATAAACAAGTTTTCGCAGATCAGCTCACAACTAGCATTACCAGTAATCATCTCGATGATGCGATAGCTATTAAATAAATTGCAGAGTAAAGAGATCATCTTATAAATAAGGTACTGAAAAATACTTGTGGTCTTTTATTTTCTCAAAGAAAAATATCTAAAAAATTGGTGAATTCTAGAAAAATTAAAATTTTAGTATCTACCTTAAAATATAAATTATTTGTGAAATTTTGCTAGAAAACTATTAAATAGGAGTTCAAAATTATTGTCTTTGTGATCAAAAAATAAACACCATTTGCAACTAATTGTGAACACTTAAAAAATAAGCAGGCTTTAGCATTTTGTTTTATGTAGTTTAAATGATCAGTTAATTTTTATTTTTAAGAATAAAAAATAATTAACCTTTAGCCACAATATTTTTTTACTCTCATTTAAAGTAACAATTGAAGAGTTGTCTTTAAAAATATAAATTGGAAATAATTTTCATGGGCCAGTACAACCAAGTTGAAAAGTTTGCTTATTTATAGTTAATCCAGAGTCAAAGGCACGAAAGTATGATAGATAACATAGCAGTAAAAACGTACTTTTTTCTTAACTGTGGTGTGCAGTAATGCAGGCGAATCTGGCCGCTATCAGTGCGATAGCGCTCCAGCCGAAAGTCCTGCTGCTGGCGACGGGTGCGAACAGACTAACATCGTCTCGTCTCAGGGTATCCCTCGTCAGGTGCCCTGTTGGCGGCAAGGTCGAAGCCAGTTCGCTTTTGCACGTACAACAGGAACCGTCTTACCGAGAGTGGAGGCAGAAATCAGTAAATAAAAACCAGTTCAGCCTGATAGACGAAGGGAAGCTTCTTTGAACTTGAAATTTACGATTAGACCTGAGCGAGTTTCCCATATCGCGCAAAAGGAAGTAGATATGAATAAAATTATGATTTCCGAGAAATGAAAACACGTTTTAATTAATGGCACTAGTATGTCAGCTCCAGACTGAATTTTTTTATCCTTCAAATAATAATTTTTGAAATGGCTTTTTTGTAAAAAAATTAATAGAAATTTTAAAAAAGTTGAACAAAATTATTAAAAAACAATTATTTTTTAAAGCACGCGTAATATTTTATATTTATCAAGATAGATTAATGGATGAAAATCTAAAAAAGAGCGAATATTCGAGAAATTTTATTTTTATGAGCCCGTATTTGTTTGTAATTTTTTTAATAACATATCATTTGGGCGTGTTTTGCGTTGCGTAAGTAGGCTGTTGGCCTTGCTCGTCCAAAAAGCCGGTGCCCTTGCTTCCACGCTTCTTCGTAGTAAATCGAATCATCGCTAGTTTGTATGAATGCGGAAGAGCCAGAATTCAAATCAACACCCTCTGCTCCAATTGGTGGTGGCCTCTGGCGCTCGAAACGCAAACACAAGGGGCCACTTCTAGCCCAGAGCGAAGCAGCTTGCGCGATTTAATCTGATATTATCCGCGGAGGTTTTTTGCCTCCAACGCACGATCCTTCCTTCGCACCTGCTCGAATGCAGAGCGTGACTTTTTCTCGCCGAAACCCCTGCCACGGTGGCCCCTCTGCAACCGGCGCTGCACGCATTTTGAGCGGGTTGCCTGCCGAGTCGGTCCGCAGGCGCCCCCGCGCTGATGAAAATGCGGGGAGCATTTATTTGGAGGAAATGCATGCGTGCGGCGGCTACGGGTCGGCCAAATGGATTTTCATTATTTAAGGGCTGGAGTGACTGTTGAGAAGGAAATTGGATATTTTGTCACTGTGGAGTCGGTGATTTCATTAAAAATGGAAGCTAAACCTGAGAATGCTGATTTCTAGTCGTTTTTATTTTGCTATAAAACACTAAAAAAATTACAAACAATTTATTCAATGATTAGTATTAAATCTAATGGAACGTTTTTTAAATTGATAAAACTTTGTTGTAAACATTCTGATTTCAAAATAATGATTTAGACTAAGCAAATTAAGATGTTATAAATGTCAACCAAAATTTTTTTATAATATTGTTTAGTCACATATGAGTTAAAATAAACACCTGCTAAGACGGGCAAATTAATAAAAAATTAATTATAAACCATTCTAAATTATAATTGTCTGATTCTTTCTGTTTTCACATACCCCGCCCAAAGTTGAAGATATCAATATGAGATTTTCACCACTTCACCATCTTAGTTTGGAAGCGACTTTCCTAAATTTCTGACTAAAAATTTTCAAAATTGCGGGTTTTGCGGGACATTTTGGAAAAACAGAAAAACGTGATTATCTCAGCTTCTAGTAGTCGTAGAACAATTTTCCGGGTACGGCTGAACTCGTCTCAGCAAGATTTACAACTTTGATGTTGAGCGTAAATTTTTATGTCAAAGGTCAAGGTCATTTTTGGTGACCCGAAATTTTCAAACTCAAATTTGGAAATGTGCTGCATGATGAAAATCATTTTTGAGATTGCCATTCGATTCATCATGAAATTTTACATAATATATGTCAAAATTGCGATGTTGATATTTTTAGTTTAATTTAAATAAAAATAAGAACATTAAAAAATGTGGTTTTTCGCACCTCGGCAGGCAGTGTCAACAATATAATCGTCTGTAACTTTTGTTCTGATGATTTTAGGTACAAAATGGTAATGACCAATGTTAATCTCCACGTCAAGACCAATCGATTGGTGTGTATGTCAATGACCTTTGGTGACCTTGAGGTCAAAGGTCACTCCGGTCGGTGACCTGGGGTCACGCGACCTAAATGTGTGATACGTACTTAGAAAGGTCTTGTCAAGAGGATAATTATAGTCACCAAATTTTTTACTTTACGTCTACTACAAATTGAATAATTATAATTTTTCCTAATTAAATGCAGCATTTTGCGTGAAATGTTTTGTAAATTAGAGATTACTTGCTTTGTAGTAGACGTAAAGTAAAAAGTTTGGTGACTAAAATTATCCTCTTGACAAGACCTTTCTAAGTACGTATCACACATTTAGGTCGCGTGACCCCAGGTCACCGACCGGAGTGACCTTTGACCTCAAGGTCACCAAAGGTCATTGACATACACACCAATCGATTGGTCTTGACGTGGAGATTAACATTGGTCATTACCATTTTGTACCTAAAATCATCAGAACAAAAGTTACAGACGATTATAATGTTGACACTGCCTGCCGAGGTGCGAAAAACCACATTTTTTAATATTCTTATTTTTATTTAAATTAAACTAAAAATATCAACATCGCAATTTTGACATATATTATGTAAAATTTCATGATGAATCGAATGGCAATCTCAAAAATGATTTTCATCATGCAGCACATTTCCAAATTTGAGTTTGAAAATTTCGGGTCACCAAAAATGACCTTGACCTTTGACATAAAAATTTACGCTCAACATCAAAGTTGTAAATCTTGCTGAGACGAGTTCAGCCGTACCCGGAAAATTGTTCTACGACTACTAGAAGCTGAGATAATCACGTTTTTCTGTTTTTCCAAAATGTCCCGCAAAACCCGCAATTTTGAAAATTTTTAGTCAAAAATTTAGGAAAGTCACTTCCAAACTAAGATGGTGAAGTGGTGAAAATCTCATATTGATATCTTCAACTTTGGGCGGGGTATGTGAAAACAGGAAGAATCAGACAATTGCAATTTTAAGAGTGGATGGATTTATCAGTGAACATAACTTAAATAAATCAGCTTGAAAATATAAATGCTTTGCTTCAAATCAAAATTCGTTACAATAATTTTAATTGATTTTACAACTAAAACCAATATGATTTAAAACCCAATAACTTATTTTAATTAATTCAATCTTATTTATTTGATCTTAACTTATCGCTAATTTTGGGAAAGTGAAAATCATGTAACATGTTTTCCGCGGAACACAATTTTGGATCGATGAGCTTAAAAGCTGACTGTGAATACACAAAATTAGTTTTCCCCATTTCAAGGTATTTGAAAAGCGAGAGCCACTTTTGTCGCGTCGCCATACAAAGCCTTTCTCTGGCGGTTAGTTAAAAAGCTGCCGGGAAATTTCGTTGTGTGGTGCGAAAGGGGCAGGAGGTGGAGCGCGAGAGGCACTCGGGTGTGCTTTATTCAAATGTTGCGTGGCAGGAGAGCGCGAGCAAAGAAGAAGTCACGTTGCTGGTGCAAAAGCAGCCGGTCGGTCGGGCCCGCTGAGAAAAGGAGACACAAAGTTTATGTTTCGCACGCCTCTTGTGAATCAATAGAGAGAGAGAGAAAGAGAAGGGAAGGCAGGCAGGCAGGGGTCTCGCTCGAAATAAGATTTCTCCTCCAGAGATAAACTGCGAGAGATGAGTAATAATGCCGCCACCGCCGTCCCCCGACTCAACAGCATCCCTTATTCCGCATCAACCCCTTGCGTGGCGCCAACTCGGCCAATATTGCGCGGCGCGTGTCTTGTTGCTGCTGCTCTTGCCATTCCGCGCACACACATACACTCTCTGCCCTCTCCATCTCTCCTCCGCGCTCTCTCTGCGCCCCGTCAATTAGCATTCAAACGACTACCCCGCACAAATCACCCCCCATTCAACAAGCAAATTTCGGGGATTCTGTAATCAAAACCTGCAATCACGCTCAATGACGCTGAAGTAAATTTGTAAAATAAATCAAATTTAAAAATTTAATATGATTCAATAAATTGCCAGTTTGAAATCAGAAAAGGGTTATCTAGTTGCTATAAATATAATTATATAATTATTTTAAATTTAAAATAAATTATTTATTAAATAATTTTTACTTTGAAGAAATTTTTAATTTCTAATTATTAAAATACCTTATTTTTTATTGTTTTGGAGCTGGAAAATATCTTTATTTTATTATTATTATTATTATTATTATGATCCTGGTAATCACCTTTTTTTTTATCTTAATAGCTGTTTAAACCTCAAACCGCTTATCACTTTCACTTCTTAGAATCTGCGCTCTAAGCCCGTCCATCATACTCGGAAGTGAAACAGCGTGAGCAAAATTGGGCGATTAGGTTTGGCCGGGTGAGATTTAAATTAATAATTAAGAGGCGGCGGGGTTGCTGCGAAGTGTCCGACCGTTCTGCGCGAGTGCACGACGGGGGTGACCTTTAAAGGCCAAAAGCAAGTCGGTGGGTGTCAGCGGGGGTTGGAGATGGGGCGGCATCGCCATGGCAACCAAGCAGCGGCGGAGAGGGTGGTGGCTCTGGGGTGGGTGGCTGCGAAGATGGATGGCTGACCACAGCTATGCCGAGGCAGGTATTAGGGCCCGCACGTGATAATGCGGAACTGGGCTTGCGCTCTCCACCCTTAGAGAGTTGCAAACCCTTGCTAGTTACATGTTGAATTTGACAATTGATTGCGGCGAAAGCAATAGTAATAATTTTAAACGCATATTTCCATTATTGGTATCAAAATATCTAAAGCAAAAGAAAAAGTAGAAGTCAATCAATTCAATTTTAATTTAAAAAAAGTTCTTTGCAATCCAACTGATGTAGAAATGTAAATTACCTGAAAAACATACTTTTATCATTTACTTCAATTATTTAAAAAAAAAATCTAAAAATATTGGTTGCACTTTTTTTTTTAATAAAATATATTTTATCGTATAAAAACAATATAAAAATATTAAAAATCTTTATTGCTTACTTCATTTGATGCCATAAAAAGAGAGTTACTTGATTCTTGATTTCCTGAGCTAATTGGAGTTTATAAGTTTTTGGTGACAACTCTTCGCCTCCTTTGCAGTTCTCTAGTCTGTTTTCGCAGTGATAAACTCGCAGCGTTTAGTGTATCAAAGTTCTCTCCGGTGGCGGAGAGGGAGCGGAAAAGAAGAGAGAGAAGAAAGGGAGAAGCCGCCACCGCCTTTGTAACTTTATTCCTAATCTGCTTTTGCAAATAAAATAACATCACACCAGCAGCTTGTTCCTTTTGAGCCGCGCTTGCTCCTCTCTCTCTCTCTCTCTCTCTCTCTCTCTCTCTCTCTCTCTCTCTCTCTCTCTCTCTCTCTTTTGCACCCCTTACAACGCAATGTCCCAATATCTTTGACTCTCCCGCTCCGTTTCGCGTCGCGTAATCGCGATTTCTCACCGCACAAAATTCGGTCCGCACGGTCGATGCAGCGCCCCTTAAAAATTTTTACAACGTGACATTATGCTAAAAGGCAAAGAAGTGCGCGGTGAGATGATATTGATTTTCCGGCCGAGGAAAAGCGAAAGTGATGGAAATTGTGATTTCTCGCAGCAGTGAGCAAAGTTTGCAGGGGCGTGGGAATTTGGGCTCTCTTACTCTTGCTTCAAACAAGTGGAGACCCTCACCCCTTAAGGCTGACGCGTGCGCTGCTGGTTGCTTACTTTTGTTAGTGATGCTGTTTGCAGTACCGCAATTTCTACTTACAATTAGCCCCGCCCCGTTGTGTGGAAAAATTACAGAAAATTTGTCGATTAACGAATCTTAAATTTTATTTTCTTTTATCCTGGCATAAATAGGCAACAGATTTTTCAAACAATAACATTCTACATTAAAAAAGTTTACTGTGGACAATATTTGCTATTTTAATTATGATGCAAATTTCAACAAAATAAATAATATTTTCTGCAAATGATTTTTTTCATCGCTTACTTTGGCAAGTAGGATTTTTTTTAGTCCCCTTGTTGGAATGTTCCTTCTGGTGGACCTGGCGGGAATTGTCCACCTTGTTGTGGCGGTGGCCCCTGTCCTCCTACAAACACGAATTGACCCTGCCCTGGTGGTCCTAGCACTTGTTGAAGGAAAAATCCTTGAGGAACTTGTCCTGGAAATCCTTGTATTTGTCCAAAAGGTACTGGGAGAAAACCTGGAGGAAAAACAGCTTGGCCTGGTGCAAACAATGGAGGAACCATTGGAATTAATGGTTTGAAGAATGGGTTCAAAAACGGCGCCTTCAAAGAATTTAGGTTTCCGATGGTTTGATAAAGATTTGACAAGGCTTGTGCGTTGATTGCTTGGTTGGCCAGAATTTTACGCAGCAAGAGGCTTTGAGCGTCTGCTGACGCCGTCAGCAGCAAAGTCCACGCAAGTACCTAAGTGTGGTAGGAAATGCTTTAACCAAACCATTTAACCGAAAATAAAAAAACTCACCAAGATAGCCCTATGTAGAATCATCTTGTGCCAATGGTAGCAATGAGTGGTGTTAAAAAAACATACACAGCTCTTATATGCAATTTTCAAGCAGCTTATTTTCTTACAAAAACGCGGAAGGGCTTCAGGGCGTGACCATTCATAGAATCATGACGGTCCTATCTACATGGTTTTATCTTTAAATTACCAAACAATGGCATATTACAGTTTTTGTTATATTATATTTATTTTTCATTTAATAAATTATTAACATGCATATTAAGAATTGTATATTTAACCTGATATGATGATCAATTTGGTCAAACAAAGAGCTAGAGAAATTGGTTTTTTTTATAGAGCTACAAAAAATATTCATTCAAACATTTTAAGTATACATATATGTATATTTTAGATGAAATCAATATGTATTCATAATCCAGGCACTTTTGTAAATTTTACATTACAATTTGCAGCTCGAAAATAAATTAATTAAATGTATAAGAAAAAAATCAAGTTTTAAGAATTATTCAATATATAATTTTAAAACTTCAAATTACAATCTGCATGCTTTTTTTATTTGTTTTGGTACAAACATCCAAATAACTGAAGACCCTTTAGAACTGAGGTCATTCTATATTGCATTCAATTTCATTTCTCTGTTATCTGTTATCTTGTATTATACATTATATCCTCTTGCACTAATTTAGCAAGGAATATCGGCCATCTTTACATTCCTGGTGGGCCTCTTCCGGGGGGACCTTGCATTCCAGGTGGGCCCCCTCCTGGCGGCCCCCCTCCTGGGGGACCTTGCATCCCAGGTGGGCCCCCTCCTGGTGGGCCTCCGCCTGGTGGGCCTCCGCCTGGTGGGCCTCCGCCTGGTGGGCCTCCGCCTGGTGGGCCTCCGCCTGGTGGGCCTCCGCCTGGTGGGCCTCCGCCTGGTGGGCCTCCGCCTGGTGGGCCTCCGCCTGGTGGGCCTCCGCCTGGTGGGCCTCCGCCTGGTGGGCCTCCGCCTGGTGGGCCTCCGCCTGGTGGGCCTCCGCCTGGTGGGCCTCCGCCTGGTGGGCCTCCGCCTGGTGGGCCTCCGCCTGGTGGGCCTCCGCCTGGTGGGCCTCCGCCTGGTGGGCCTCCGCCTGGTGGGCCTCCGCCTGGTGGGCCTCCGCCTGGTGGGCCTCCGCCTGGTGGGCCTCCGCCTGGTGGGCCTCCGCCTGGTGGGCCTCCGCCTGGTGGGCCTCCGCCTGGTGGGCCTCCGCCTGGGGGGCCTCCGCCTGGTGGGCCTCCGCCTGGTGGGCCTCCGCCTGGTGGGCCTCCGCCTGGTGGGCCACCGCCTGGTGGGCCTCCGCCTGGTGGGCCTCCTCCTGGTGGGCCTCCTCCTGGTGGGCCTCCGCCTGGGGGGCCACCGCCTGGTGGGCCTCCGCCTGGTGGGCCTCCGCCTGGTGGGCCTCCGCCTGGTGGGCCTCCGCCTGGTGGGCCTCCGCCTGGTGGGCCTCCGCCTGGTGGGCCTCCGCCTGGTGGGCCTCCGCCTGGGGGCCCACCTCCTGGGGGACCTTGCATACCAGGGGGACCTTGCATACCAGGGGGACCTTGCATACCAGGGGGACCTTGCATTCCTGGAGGACCTTGCATTCCTGGAGGACCTTGCATTCCAGGAGGACCTTGAATTCCAGGGGGACCTTGCATCCCAGGTGGGCCACCTGGTGGCCCAGGAAGAAATGGAATAGTTTTGATTGATTTAAAGAAAAGTGGAACTGGCAATTTAATTTCTGAGGGAGGAATTTGAACTTGTAGTGCTTGACTTAGTCGATTCAATCTGGCGATTGCATTTGCCGTGAGAACTTGATTCGTGAAAACTTTTTTCAATAGGATTTCTTGGCCGTTCAAGCATGTTGCCAAAAGCGCCGTCAGCCAAAGGAGCTGCAATAACATTTTTTTTGTAGTTGCTACAAAATACCTTTTGTGGTTAAATTTAAATTCTTAATTTTAATGACTCACCGAGATGAACATCAAAAGTGTTTAGAATTGCTATGCTTCCACTGTGCGTACCATTGAGCAATGCTGTATCTATTTTAAAAGCATGAGAATATATACCTGACAATAGTGGAGTTGTTTATCTTTGCTCAACAGGCGGAAAAAGTAGCGACTGTATTTTTTAAGTTTACAAACTTTTGAACTGTTGTTAGATTTTATTACGATAGCTTTGTTTGCATTTCGAAATGTTAAATTTCTAGCTATTTCTTGCCATGAATGAAATTCTGGAGTAAATTAAATTTTAATTTGATTTGTTTTCACATTTTTCTTATATAAGATTTTTAAATAATTTTAACAATAATATAATCATTAAGCTTTTTCAGTATTTATTTTTTAATTGTTAATGTTTTTGAAATGATGCTATAAACCAGCATTCGCGTTGAAACTGAAAGTAGGCAAAAATGGTAGGGTCGGTACTGTTTGGGCATTGATCATGAAAAATGGTAACGTGGGCAATAACATCATTTGCCCATTTCCCATCATCATCATCATATTTCCAGGGGGCATCATAACCATGGCTGGACCAGGCGGTGGAGCGGGTAAATTTTGAGTGAGCGCTGGCAAAATTAACGCAGAAAGGGCGTTCAAGGCTATCAATTGTTTACCAGGGTCAAAAGCCTCTGCAGTCGACGTCATAAGGACTAACGCTCCTAACAGTACCTATAAATTATAAATATTTCAAATAATCATAGTTAATTCAATGTCCATGAGAAAATTAAAATAAAAAGGCGAGGCCTTATCTTACAAAGAACATTATCTTGAATGAACTGAGTTTCTTGAATGAACTGGAAAGTAAAATGCGTGCGTTATTTTATACTCACGCACTGACTTCCTTGTTTTAAGTGTTACAAATTGAATAAATATATGCAAATGAATAAATTAACAGACTAAAATTATGAATTATGAGCAAGATTATTTCCAATCTACTAATCCTATTCATTAATTGATTGAACTGTAGCATTCAGTAGAGAGAGGAAGTAATTTGACTTAATTATAAATCTATAAGATAATGAAAGCATGAATTGAATTTCTTACACGCCACTTAATGAAAGGCATCCTATATTTATAAACCACTTTTGAACAAGTAACTTGCGAAACTGCTGAATTCGCACGTTTCGACTGCTGATGTGGTGAGAGTGAAATTTATTTTAAAATTTTTTGCTCATTACGCTTTTTTAAAAGTATGTGAAAGAATTTCCAAACTTTCTGTAAAAGCATGGACGGCGCTACCAAGAAACCGGATTTATTTGAAGTGAGCGCCCAGATATGCACAACAGACTTTTTTTGTAGAAAAAAACTTGACTTTGCATAACATAACAGTCCTGTTTATTTTTTGATTCGTTGCATTGGTTGCTCGAGCAGCGTTGGCGAAATAGGTGCGGGGAAGGCGAAAGGGTGAGAGCTTTGTTGTTCTGTTGATCTGCGAGCGCTGATTGCGAGTCAATCAATAATTTTCACAGCCTGTGTGTCGCCTTTTGTTTGTTTTGTAGCGACGGCGGCCGCTTTTCGCGTGCTCGTTATGCGAGTGCCTGTTATTTACATGGCAAACGCCGATATGACATTATGGGAAAATTTTGGAAATTTTTATTTTTATTTTTAAATGTATATATAAATTTAAAAAAATCTCATCATTATATCTGAAAAATTTTTGAAATTAAATTAATTGTTTAATTTCAACGTATTATTTATTTTGATAATTGAAACCAGATTAAAACTTAAAAAGAACACTTCTTATGTTTGAATTAAACGAGAGATTAATGTAATGCATTAAAATTTTATAAGTTGGTCGTTTTAGAAATATGAAATATTTGCCAAAGATTTTGTGATTTACATGTTTTTGAAAGTTATTGTTTCCTTTGCTTTCATTTTATTCTATTTGCATAAAATATAATAACAACAACAAGTTATATTATGAAATATTTATTTATTTCTTCAAAAAATAAATAGTAACAATTTCATTACAAGAGCAAATATTTAGAATCTAAAAAGCTCGCGACCGTAGGAGCGGCCAGAAGAGAGTCCTGCCTGGCCTCTGCGTCCCTCTTCGCCCTGGCGTCCGGCGGTCTGCTGGCCACCAAATCCGCGCCTAGCCTCCTGTCCGAAGCGGCTATTTTCCTGTCCAAGCGCCTCCTCGTTGTTGCCTCTGCGCTGTCCCTCGGCGATGTTTCCCTGCTCGACGCGACGACTGCCCTCCTGTCTGCCAAAGTAGTTCAAATTGAACCTGGAGTAGAAATCGCCACCACGACGATTTTCCTCTTGCCTACCAAAGCCGCGTCCGGCAGCACCAGCCTCCTGTCCGGAACGTCCAGCTTCCTCCTGGGTGTTGAAACCGCGCTGAGCCTCCTGTCCGATGCGTCCACCTTCTTGACCAACACGGGACTCTTCCTGTACATTACGTTCAGCTTCCTCCTGGCGACCTCCTTCCTGTCTGAAACGTCCAAAAGTCTCCTGGGCGTTGTAACCACGCTGAGTCTCCTGTCTGACTTGTTCGCCTTCCTGTCCAATACGGGCTTCCTGAACATTACGTTCACCCTCCTGTCCAGAACGTCCAGCTTCATCCTGGGCATTGAAGCCGCGCTGCACTTCCTGTCCTACGCGTCCGCCTTCCTGTCTAAGACGGGCACCTTCTTCTCCATTACGCTGACCCTCCTGTCTGAAACGTCCAACATTCTCCTGGGAGTTAAAAATACGCTGCGCCTCCTGTCCGCCGAGTCTGCCTTCCTGACCAATACGGGCACCTTCCTGTCCGAACCGTTCACCCTCTTGTCCAGCACGCTCGGCCTCTTGTTCAAAACGGTTAGTGTCTTGTCCTCGCTGGCTTTCTTCCTGACGAGCAAAGCCGCGCTCAGCCTCTTGTCCGAAACGACTAGACTCCTGTCCGAAACGTCCAGCATCCTGACTGAAGCGGCTGCTTTCCAGCCCAGAGCCACCGAAGCGACCGAAGCCAAATCTTCCACCCTCCTGCCGGTCGCCAAAGCCACTACTTCCAGCAATGTCTTTCTGTAAAATAAACAAAACTTAAATTTTTATACTCTGCAGTTTAAAAAAAAAATGATGTTATTGGTTAATTATTTTTATCAAACTTAAAATTGATTTGAATTAAATAAAAAAACTTACCCTGAAGACGTAGGAGTACGACTTGCCGATCGGCTCTAGGATGAAAGCGCCGTGGACGAGGCAGACGGAAACCGCCAGGAAAGTGAAAATCTGAAATTGATTTTAAATTTATGAAAAAATTTGAACTTAAAATCGTAATATCAGTCTCCATACTTTAAATTGGTGAGCCATAATTGAACTGATCCGTTTGACGATAAGTGTGGAAGTGACAATCGTTGGGAAGTGACCGGCTTTTATACAGTCAACTGGAGCAACGTATCGGCAGGTAAAAGGTCTGTCGCGTTTATTTTTAACTCAATCACAGAGGTCGGTCTGCTTGTGCGGTGCCTCTTTTGGGAAGGAAACAGGTGCTTTGCTGCAAAACATACCTGTCGATGCGTAAGTGCTCTTGCTATATTTTTAAACAATTGGGTCACGCATTTCGCGTTGCACGTCATTATCCTTGACTATTTTTGCACGGGCCAAAGTCGCCCTATAAATTTGACTACGGAAACTACTTTCTCAAAATTTGTACAAAAATAGCGTATTTGTATAAAAAAATCTCCTTATTGAATATGTGGCAACAAGTAAGTTTGAATATGCGCTGAAAGAATCCAAGTAAATAAGAAAAGCATTCGTCCCTCTTTGATCGGGGATGACTCACCCCTGTCTGAAGGGGTCGTGGCCGTAAAGAGAGAAAACTGTAAATCGACCCTCTCGGAATGCTGTGCAGGAATGTTCAAAGGACTCTTCATATTGCACTGGACACAAGCACCTCTCAATTCTCTCAATATAGAAGCATAAATTGCCGGAGAAATGCATACAACATTTAAATTGAAATTATAATTGTTATCATAATATCATTAATTATATTTTAGAGATAAAAAAATCAATGAAAAACTAAAAAAGAAATAAAAATTAACAAAAAACCAATATTATCATCTTTCCTACTTAACAGCGTTAAGTAATGACAATTATCAAGAAATAATAATTACATTAAATTAAAATAATTTAAAAACATTCAATTTAATCCAAATTTTTTATTATTAATATAAGAAATATCAGAACGATATAATGCCTTTTAAACAAAATTATTTAATATAAGGACGTTGTCGCAGGTAATCCTCAATAATTGTCAGATGATAATATTCTTAAAGAAGAATGGAGTGGATTTCCATTTATTTGATATTATACGTAATTATCTGCGATATTGTATATTTCCAAATAATAAATTTATATAAAATGAAAAAGTTTAAAATCGAGTAATTTTTTTATTGATTTTTTTGTTTTTCAATTGCATTCCTTCTAAATCACACCTCATTAACGCGTAAAGTAATGGAAAAGTCGTTCGAGCAGACGTTTGAGCTGCCAAAAGGTTTGCGCTTTTTAATTGCTGGCAGCAGCGTTTATATCAACCCGCAAATAATTAGTGCCGGGAATTGAGTTTAATTTCCTTAAGTCTGCCGCTCTGCACAGCGCCAACGGCGGCGATTTCTTCATCGCTCGAGAAGGCTCTTCGGTATTTTTTGCACGTAAGTGTGGAGAGTGCAGAGCGCGCGCGGGAATAATATCAAACTCGCGAAACTTTTCCACCCCGCCATTTTCCTCCTCTCTTGCTCGCTGGAAACGCTGTAATGCGTTTCGGGGAGAAAAGAAGAAAAATAATGGCAGCTAGTTGCGGAAAAGCGGCGACGCTCGGCTCGGACGAGCAACAGGATTTATTTATTTTGCGCGTTGCCCGGAAATGCTGCGAGGGGCGAGAGCGGAAAAAAGGTCTACGACTTCATGCAGCAGCACCTTGGATGTGATCTGGTAACCAAATGAGCAGCCCCAGATCAATACGCCCTCCCTCCATCCCTGCGGGGCGAAAAACTACCCCTTCGGCACCCCTTACCACCTATGAGGCCAAGAGGGCATTAGGAAAAGAAACGTGGAGTTTTAATTAATTTGATTAAGTTTTATTCTGTGGAAGTGGGAATATTTGTTTATCATAAATTTTTTGCGTTTTAATAATTAGAAAAACTTAAAATGAATACATGTTAGTGAAAGAAATATATATAAATAATACAAATTTGAGAGTCAAAAAATTAAATCTCATCCATTTCATCCAATAGTTTATACTTCTTTATACACTATTTAAATTATTAAGTTATTATCTTAGGTTTCAAAATATCTTAGAGAGTGTTATATTTATTTAAAAAGAAAAAATCTTGGAAAAAGAGCCTACAAATAATAAATAGTAAGTAATTTTATGATATTTAAATTTATTTTTTATTTTTTCCAATTATTATGATAACATTACAAAGTGATTTTCAGTAATTATACATTGAAACCACACAAGTATCAAGCATGCAGATTCAAGCGATGTAAGTGATTAGTGCGCAACAAGCATGCAACTTTACTAGCGTCCGAGTCGAGCCGGTTGCCTAACACAAGTGAGAGCCTCTCCATTTTTCACGTTTAGCCACTTCAATCAATTCTCTCCTTCGGGGATTTGCGAAAAAAAATCGCCCCCTCTCAAAATGAAATATTCGTCCGGCAGGGAAATCCATCTCTTTGCCGCCTTATTAATTTCCGGCGGCATAGGAGACCGCGCAATCCAAACGGTTGTGGTGTTTGGAGAATTTTCAGTCTGTTTTTGCCGCTCACTCTGCTCGACACTGCGATGAATAATTGGGCAGGCACCGCCGAAATTAATTCCCCGCGGAACGCGCCACCAATTGAACGAGCGCCGCACGCACACGTATTCGGCGCCATGAATAAATTGGCAAAATCACAATCACCGCCCCTTCCGCAAAATTAGTGCTGTAAAATCTGTCCTGCTGGTATAGAGAAATTCTCGGTAGCAAATTACACACAGCTAGTATTGTTATTCCTCCTAACTAACTCTTAAGCTCGGGAAAATATTTTCCAAAATATGTATCAGAGTGTGTAAATTTGTAAATTGGAATTTTTTAACTTGCCTCTATCCTGTTTGGTGAAATTTCAAACAATTTTGTGTAAATTAGAACTCAATATAAACCATTTTCATTCATTTCACTTAATGAAAAAAATTATTTGAATGATTAATTAAAACAACTCTTATACAACCGGAATAGCATTCTTGTTCGCCCGGTTGCATAATTTTGGTGAATGTTTGTTTAATTCTAACTATTTTTCAATATCTTTTAATAGGGGAGTTTGTTCATTGAATGCATTACCGCCATCGCTAACCCCTTTTTTAAACCCCAAACTGTGAAATACGAATGATTCACCCTTTTCAAGACCCCCATCTGTCGCATCGCGTATGAAGCGGCCGAGTGAAGTATGTGCTTGTGGAAATAAATCACTTGAAATCGTGTGAGCACCTGCGCAGTTTGTATTTCGAAAGCACCTTGTTACTGTTAGTCAAAGGAGCCGCTTTGATTGTCATTATAGTAAGTGGGGTCGAGACAAATGTGTCGATTAAAAGTATCAAATCATTTGTTTGGAAACCGCATGTAAAATTTAACTATATTTTCCTTCTCCAGGCCAAGCTAAACTGAAGGAAATAAATTATCTAATTTAGCATTTCCTTTGATAAAATTGTTTGCGTCAGAAGCTATGAATTTCCTTGAGTCCTTTTTATCCCTATATAGATAACTACATAATTATCTAATAGTTACATTTTTTATTTTATTTTTTTCTTTTATTCATGGAAAGTGAACTTTAAAAAATATTTTTTTTTTGTATTGTTAAATATTGCTGTCCAACTGCAAAACGGTTTATTTTTTATTGATAATGTTGCACGCAGGTTTATTTATAAAGCATAAATTTTTTGTTTTGATTACAACTGCCATCGTGCTTGGCGCCTCACTGTGAATCTTTCTGTCCCAAGGACCAAAACACTTGAAAACAGACACTCATTTTTATTGTTTTTCAAGCTTCTTTGTGTTTTTTATTTTTCTTCTTGAGTTTCCACATTTCAAAGGAGGGCAAGGAAAATATCGTCTCAAAAATGCACATAAATTTCCAAGCGCTAGAAATTAATTCTCGGCCGTGGCAACAAAAAGTTCATATTCATACATATGTTTCTCTCCTCCTACTCATCCTCTCTTTCTTGCAGAGGATGAAATTTTCATTTGAGAAATGCTGGAAGAACGTCGCCGTCCGTTTTGGCGGAAAATTTATTTATTTATCGGCGGGCATTACGAGATTGAGTAATAAAAATAAATCACTCTTTATTACCCGAAAACATTTCTTCTTTTTTCCACGCACTATAGCTGGAGAGAGTAAAAAGTGCCGCTCGAATTACTCTCCTAACTCGGCGCGCGACCCGGGCGGGAATCAACAATAATGGACTCTTTCATTATTTACTCCTGATCTTTCCGATCAATACGGTTCGGGAGGCAAACCAAGTGCCAAAATTAGCCAGAGATTGAGTCAAACTGCGGTGGAAATTTCTGCGGTCTTCAACGCTTAATAAATTGCAATCAAAAGTGTGAGTTTACACGGCAGTTAGGGTTATGGACCAATTAAATTTTATTCCTGCCATAAACAAGTTAAGTTTTCTCCAAACTTGGGTCATTTTTCGCCGTAAAGTTAATAAAATTTAACTACATAACAAATTTCAATCTGACTCGTATAAATGTGATTAGTAAAAGATTTATTCTCTGAAAAAAATTGCACTCTAAAACAACAATTTTAGAAAAAAAAGGCTGCGAATTTTATGGACGAGTAACATTAGTGCTATTTTATTTATTTATTTATTTCGTACCAAAATAACGTATTTCAAATTATAATTTTCTATTAAATGCTGAAACTCATAAAAAACTATTAATAATTGAATAAAATAATTAAAATAATCACTCATCTATGAATTGTCATGTTTTAATCAACAAACGCAATTTTATTTTAAGTATTTTGTTATTTTATTTGCTGAGTTTTGTCATACGTCATAGCAGAAATGACAGGCAGTTTAGTTAGGTGCGTCCAACGCCAGTTTCCACAAATTTGGTCTGATGTCGTCTGTGTACGCTTTGTGTTTCTCGCTCCTCTGTCTCTATTCATTTTTATTTGTGTATACGTATTTATATATTAATTGTCGTTGGAAGAGCGATTATTCACTGCTTCTCCTTTTGTGGCTGTGGCTTTTTCAAGGTGTGTCTCGCTCCTCTCTCTCTCTCTCTCTCGCTGCCTATATGCCCGGCATATACATATATTGTTATTATTTAAACAACCTGAGCGGCAGCAGAACAAGAAAGAAAGAAACCTCTGGCTCT